TTCGTCGTATGTACCCGGTCGGGAGGCCCCTAGAATTCCCCCAAGAGGTCTATTTATTTATGTTGTTTTCACGGAGATCCGTTGACCCCAAACCCTGGGTTGAGGTTTTGTTAAGGATGTCTCTGCTGTAGCGGCACTCGGCCAATCCACTGCATGAATTCCACGAACGTTGCAGTGTGTACTAAGAGGATGATTTTTTGCTAGGTTTGTCTGCAGGTAGCCCCCAAGGCTTTAGGCGTTACGGCTTGGGGATAAACGTGAGAGTCATGTTCTAGCATCTACTGACAGTTACTGTAAGCCGTGATCTGTATATGTACCTGCCATGAAACACCACCCTAGAACCCGACCCTCACGGGTATTCATAAACACTTTTCTACATATCTTTTGTTTCTAAAATTCCCTAAGATACAGCTACTTGGTAAAATTGTGTGTGTGTTTTTTGCTAGGCGTCTAAGTTCATTAGAGGACATCCTAAACCATCCAAGGGCGAGGTACCAAACATCTTCCCTGAGATGAAGTACTTCCGCAAGGTGCCCTTGTCCTATGACCTTCGGAATTTAAGGTTTAGGGTTTAGGGTTTAAGGGTTTAGGGTTTAGGGTTTAGAGTTTAGGGTTTAGTGCTTAGGGTTTAGGGTTTAGGGTTTAGGGGAAGGTGGCTGGCTGTGTTAGTTTGTCTTGGGGTGCCTCCTTATCAAAAGCGATTCTTAAGCGGAGAACGAATAGTGTGCATGGACAGCTTAGGGTGTTTGCTGCGGAGTTTGATTGTTTCGGCAAGTTTAGAGGTTGCCTGTTGGGTTTCATCGGATTTCTGTCCACCACGCCTATCGCATGCTGGATGCAATGTTAGGCCGTCTGTTGTTTGCTGCTTGTTCGGTCACCATTCGAGCGTGGGGATTCTTTATTCTGCTACCCCAGTAAGAGCCCTGGCTCCAGCACAGTGTAGAGTCCCTAAGGTACTATAGGGGCTTCAATGATTACCAATACTATCTTGGGGGCCCTTGTTATGATTGTAGTATAATGGGCCCCAAAACCCTAGTAATATCGTGAAGGTTGCAGCTGAGTTCGAGGACATGTGTCTCAGCTTGTTGAACACGCCATGCTGAAGCTTCTGCGACGTTTCGCATTCGGGCAGTCGCCCGGTGATCCCCTTGAGATGAGCGCGAGGCCTAATTCCGTCACCTGGCTCATATGTCTTAGCTTGCACAGGTCAGACATGTTCCAGAACAGTCGCGTGCCATGTAGCCACAATTTTTCCGAGGCCAGCGACACTGCAAACATGGCCCCGAAACTCGTCAAAACTGAGTCAAAACCTTAAAACCTCAACCCTGCAGCAGCCAAACTCATTGTGAAGTCCGGCATTCCGAAGTTGCAGTAACCTCTATGAGTCTATGTGCCCGACAATTAGGTAGTTATTCGGGCAGGAATAACTGTTCGTTAGTGCTCGTATTTGGCAGCAATTTGGACCTGTAAATTACATCAGCCAGCCATGGCACTATCTGGCATGACCTTTACTGCCCCGTTTGGGGTTCTGAGTCCAGCACCTCTGGCAGAGGATGAAGACATTGTCGACTCAGATGAGGACCTGAGCATGCAGGAGCAGCAAGCTTACGTCATTCTGGTGGGCAAGGGTATGGCCTCACACTGGGCCTCGCTTTGGGTTTTTGAGAATGGTCATGTCTTCGTGGTGGAGCTGACGGCTGTAGACGAGCGCAGCGGATTTCGCTGGATTGGAAGCCGCTGTATGATGCGCCATTTGTTGCGCCCTCGCTTCGTTCGCCCCCGGCACACCAGAATCTTGTGGACGAGGCGTAGCCGTCCAGCAATCGAGCAGGGTCCTTCTCCGGATCACAGCCGGCCTGTGACTAGGTCCAGGCCAATGGGGCTTCAAGATGAGATTCAGTCGTCCGCACTGTCGCGCTCATCGCTGTCCGGGGTCCTGTCTGGGGAAGTGGGGAATGTAGCCAGCGAGAAAGAGTCGCAACTCGAATGGGTACTTAGCAATGGGGAGTCGGAAGGAGAATCCGTCGCGAGTGTGTCGGACACATACACCCAGGTTCGCAAGCTTGTCCGCAGCATAAGATTCAATTCAGTCGACTTTGACTGCGCTGGAGTGCGCCCCGGCATCGTGGATTTCGTCGACAAGCCTGATCTTGGTCATTACATCATGAACCCCGGCGGTATCATTCGTATTGAGAATGCCACGTCGCCAAACGAACTACGTATGAAGGCGAAAAGTGTGCCCCTTCATGGATCCTTTTACGACTTGCTATTCCACAACTGCCAGCTATTTCTGGTTCAGCTTCTTTGCGATGAATACCACGTACCAGTGGAGGAGCTGCCTCTGACTGTGGGATCGGTGGCTGCCGGGCCTATGCTGTTGGTTCTAGAGCTGGTTTTTCTCGGTCTGTACTACACGCTGTTTCGCTGGTCTCCCTGGCTGGCTGCTTTGGCTTCTTTGCCCTGGATAGCAGCAGAGACTTACTGCACATGGAGGTACCGTGGATGCTCGTACCAACTTTTCGACTCAGACAAGCGTCCAGACTGTGCATCAGAGCTGTTCTCCAAACTGGCAGCATTTATTGAGCAAGGCTTCGTGGCTGGCCTTCTCGGAACTGCTGCTATTTTGGGAACGGCATTTCGAGGGCAATCCTTGCCAGCAAGTCTTCCTGTCATCAGCCTGTGGTGGGACATTTGCCTGGTTCACGAGTCGATGCTGGCAAACAAAGTCTACAGAAATCAGCGCCTTACTTTGCTAAATGCCTCCCAGGTCCTGTTTGCACTGAGCCTTGTCGGTGCTTTGCAATGGCTGAACGGCTGGCCCGTCCAAGAAGCTTTCCTGGTACTTGCGGCCGTGGTTTGTGCTATTATCAGCGGCTTTGCCTGCGCGGCTCCCCAAAGCGTCCCCCCCAGCCCAGAGCCATCCGTTTCTCGGAGTCCCTCGGAAGAGCACCTCCTAGCACGGTGTCAGACACCAGCATGCCTGCACCCTCAAAAGCAACATGCTGGCATCAGGTCATTGAAAGGGTATCAGGGATTTCTTCGTTGCTGCAAGCATGATGCTAAAGATCACCAGCCTAATGACGATCATAGTCGCGAGGATGGCGATGGACAGCGATGGGGTGATGGTAGTGATACTTAATGATGCTCATCATGTTTGTCGTGGTGGCAGAGGCTAAAGCCGGTAGTGCTGCCCCTCCTGGGTCATGATGCCGATGATTGATTTATGGAGAGGATGGCAGCCACAATGATCTCGATACTTGCAGTGGTAATGACAGCGATGTTGACGAAAGTTACGCACATGCTGGTTGCCATGATGATGTAGATGGTGATGATCATTATTGTAGTGAAACGTGATGGCGATGACGATTCTGAACTGCTTGCGTTACAGTACTGCTGACTGTCGCCTGTGTTTATTGGTTCAGACCCACTACAGAGATCAGTGTGATGACTAGTAAGTCTGCTTTGAACACGGGGTTTGAACATAGGTTTTGCTAGATGACTTCTCCATATTCTCTACAGTAGGTTCCTTCTAAGATTGTGCGTGTGGCCTAAGTTAGGATATAGATGTTAGTAACCCCCTTATTAACCCCGCTGTAACCCCCTTACATCTTTGCCATCCATGTAGTAAGTCCCTACTAACTTGGGGGAAGTTAGTAGAAGGTTGGTTGGAAGAAATAGAAGTTACTAACTTAAGTTAACTTTTTAGCTAACTTATTCTAACTTATGTTAACTTATGTTAACTTATTCTGACTTTTTTTTGTTTTATGTCGGTTTTGTGTTAAATGGTTTTCGTTGTTTGTCACTGATGCTGTTCTTTTCTGTGCTCCACAAAGATAAGAGCAGATGCTATGGGCTTAGGGGGTTCAGGTGTTTAGGACCACCACCATCACCAGCACCAGCACCAGCATCAGCACCACCACCAGGGTTATAGGGTTTAGGGTTTAGGGGGTATAGGGTACGGTGTGGAGTGTAGAAACACTATCACCACATTATTCACCAACACCAACACCACCGCCGCAGCCACCACCACAACAACAGCAGCAACAACAGCAACCACCACGACAACAACAGCACCACCACCAACAGCAACAACAACAGCATGTCTAGGACGTTAGGAACACCACTAGCGCATGTTTAGAGTTCAGGGTAGTTTAGGGGCTTGGGTTTGGGGTGTAGGGCGTAGGAAACCTCCGCCAGCACCACCGCCAGCACCAGCACCAGCCCCAGCACTAGCGGAAGTGCCAGCACCAGCACCAGCACCCACCAGCACTAGCACCAGCACCAGCACCTAGCACCAGCACCAGCACCAGCACCACCGCCGCCGCCGCCCCCACCACCAGCACCACCACCACAGCAGCACCACCAGCACCAGCACCACCGACACCACCATCAGCAACCCCCACCGCCCGCGCCACCACCGCCAGCACCACCCCCTAGTTCATAAAGCCAGGAACCAGGCCGGATAAGTTCAGAAAAAGTTCATATTTCCAGGCCTGAAAAGTTCATAAAAAGTTCAAATTTCGTGGCCTGAAAAGTTCATAAAAAGTTCATATTTCGAGGCCCGAAAAGTTCATAAAAAGTTCATATTTCCAGGCCGGAAAAGTTCATAAAAAGTTCATATTTCCAGGCCGGAAAAAGTTCATATTTTTAGTGTTTTATTGGTATTTACAATGAATCCAAGCCTGAAAAGTTCATATTTCGAGGCCTGAAAAATAAAAAGTTCATATTTCGAAAAAAATTCATAAAAAGTTCATATTTCGAGGCTTGAAAAGTTCATAAAAAGTTCATATTTCCAGGCCTGAAAAGTTCATAAAAAGTTCATATTTCCAGGCCTGAAAAGTTCATAAAAAGTTCATATTTCCAGGCCTGAAAAGTTCATAAAGAGTTCATATTTCCAGGCCTCGGAATTAATTGGAGCCGGCTAGCACTCCACCCCCTGATTCGCCCCACCACCACCACACCACCCCACCACCTCACCACCACCCCACCACCCCACACCACCCCCACCACCCCACCACCCCCCACCACCCCACCACTCCCACACCACCACCCCAGCCCGCCCTTTACACCCCACCCACCCCACACTTTACCACCCCACCCCAACCCACCACACCCTACCGCCCCACCACCCCACTACCCGGTGCGTGGGGTGGTGGTTGGTGATGTGGGTGGTGGGTGGTGGATGGTGGGTGGGTGGGTGGGTGGGCGGGTGGTGGGTGGTGGGTGGTGGGTGGTGGGTAGCGTGGGTAGCGTGGGTGGCGTGGGTGGCGTGGGTGGCGTGGGTGGCGTGGGTGGCGTGGGTGGCGTGGGTGGTGTGGGTGGCCTGGGTGGCGTTGGTGGTGGCTGGTGCAGCGCCGAAAATTTCTATGGATGCACTAATCAGCTGCGCGCAAAGTTTTGCTGGGAATGGACTTGCCGCATTTTGGTGTGGGTGGTGGCTGGTGGGTGGTTGGTGGTGGCTGGCGATGGCCACCGCCTCACCACCCGGTACCACCACCCACGACCCCGCCACCCCATCGTTGTTTCTTTTAACCCACAAGTTCACTTTTGCTAACTTATGTTAACTTTCTTTAACTTATGCTAACTTTTTATCTAACTTACCTAACCCCCTAGTAACATCTATATCTTAACTTAAGCCAAACGCACAATCTTAGTTATTGTGCAATATGTGAACGGCAATCGCAACACCCGTTCCTTGGTCTTGTTGTCGATATAATATAACGCTTGAACGAAATCATGCGGTTCAGTTGAGTTGAAATGGGGACACCAATTACTGGGCTTAAGCCTGCTCTACAGACCAGCAGCAAGAATCGCCAATGCTCAATACAACTCTCCATGGGGGTCTACAGACAGCCTCTATTGATTGCAAACGACTTGTCTCTCCATCAGCTTCTCGAAAGCAAGAGAGCTGCTATGTTTCATGCAGTCTGGGAGTCGCGACATGCACCACTGAGGTGTCTGTCATAGAGGGTCACAACTACAAAAAGATGCTCTCATCCCAGGTGCTTCGGAGCTTGGTCCTTGAACCCGAAGCTCTACACCGTAAGCCTTGAACAGGAAACCTCAAATCCTTGCCTTCCAAGCCCACGGCTCGGAAGAGCCATGAAGCCTGATATTATGGGTTTGGGGTGGCCCAACAGGATCCATATACCCAGAGACTCCAAAACCCCTTAATTAAGGAATCTACCTTAAATTATAGTAGGGATCCTAATATGATTTAAGGTATATTCCTTAATTAAGGGGTTTTGGAGTCTCTGGGTACCTTTACGGCCACTCCTGCACCCCGGATTGCGTGCGGAGCAGCCACGTGGATTCAGGGTTTACCCGCACCCTGAGGTGTGGCACAGTGCCGTTTGTTTCTGGTGGCCAATGTGAGGGCATATGCTAGTACAAATATGATAAGCAACAAACGAAGTACGAGATGGTAGGATCAAGAGTTCAAGGCTCAGAGCACAGGATTGAGGAGGGTGCAGGATTTCGGATCTTGACAGGAGGTGATTATACTGGTGCGGAAGAGAAAAAGATTCCCCTAAAAATCATCCCACGTAGTCGGATGCGTGTGTTAGACACCCAACAGCAACAGCGGATTCACAATCTAGCGAAGCCCCCAAATGTATTTAGAAGAGACCCCCCTCAACACAAAATGCTGAAAACTCGAAATCGAACGCCTGGCCAGGCCAGGCAGGCAATAGGTCTTTCATCTACGGGCATGACCCTCCAAGCAAGCGCCACGGAACCTGTTTGGAACATTCTAGATGGATCCTTGCCAAGGTCCATTGCTGATTAGAGGGTTTCGAAATTTCTGAGTAGCCCCAACTCTGACAGGAGGAGCAGAACGAGTACAAGAGGCAGATGGCTTCCCTCCTGAGCGTCTACTGGGTCTGCTGCGGTCTCAGCACTGACATAGTTCAGTTTAGGCAAGGGTTTAGGCAAGGGTTTCATGGTTATATCTTGAGCATTGAGCAATTGGACGGTGTTTTTTGCAATTTTGCCATTAATCTTTGAGCTTCTTGAATTGGGGTGTCACTCAAACCTATCACAACTGCATAAACGGCATAAGCACTGCAACCCCACAGAATCCGTGCAGCACCACGTGTAGCCCGACCCAAGGTCGTGAAACCTACGCCGCTTGAAACAGCAGACCCAGTTTTAGGGTTTAGGGTTTAGGGTTTAGGGGTCTTCCAGCTTTTCGGTGGGCTCTTTTTCCCTTCGTGTGCTCTGAGGTTCCTTATAAGGTGTGAGTGTCTTTAGTGGGGGCCCCGCCCCCCGACCATTCGGGAGTGGCCTGAATCATGTGTTGCCCATGACTGGGCTTGACAAACTTGGAAAGGTTTTGGGGGCTCCGAGCGGTTTGGGGGTGGCTTGGGGTATGGGTCGGTTTGACCAGCTTAGAAGGGTTTTTTGGGAGGTGTGAGTGTTTGGGGGACGTGCAGTTGGTGAGTCATTACTAGTACAGTACAGTACAGTACAGTACAGTACAATACAGTACAGTAGTAGTAGTAGTAGTAGTAGTAGGAGGAGTAGTAGTAGGAGTAGTAGTAGTAGTAGGAGTAGTAGTAGTAGTAGTGGTGGTAGTAGTAGTGGTAGTAGTGGTAGTAGTGGTAGTAGTGGTAGTAGTGGTAGTAGTGGTAGTAGTGGTAGTAGTAGTAGTAGTGGTAGTAGTAGTAGTAGTAGAAGAAGAATATTCGTACAAGAGTACAGCAGTACACAAGTACTAGTAAAGTAAGCGTACAGTAGTGTAGTAGAGTGGTAGTACGTCACTAGTACAGTAGAATAGTACAGTAACAGGGTTTAGAGGTACCGCAGGTGTTAAGGGAGGGGGTTTAGGGGCCCCAAATCGTGGGCAGGGTAGTGTAGGATGAATGAACAAGTCTTCAAAACGAAGGGTTGTCAGTCTTGGTAGTTATCTTTCAGTGGGTTTGGTTTCGAAGTTTTGGCAAAATCTCGAAACCAAACCCCGATCGTCCAAGATAACTGTCAAGACTAAAATCCAGTTTGAAGACTTGTTGCTTCAACCTACCCTACCCTCCACAATCGACCAAGTCTGTGGCCTGCTAAAGTAGCAATCGTGGTAGTAATACAGTAGTGGTGCAATACCTTACATCCCCAATACCCAACCTTTAAACCTTTTTGGCTCTTACAGTGTAGCAGGAATCGGAAAGTTCAACTTTTCATTTCTGTGGCTTACTGGGTAAGTAAGATACAGTAGTGCAGTAGCAGTACAGTGGCAAAACGGCGGCAGTACAGTAGTAATGCAGTGGCAGTACAGTATTGGGTGTTGGGGTTTAGGCTCCTGATCCTCTACTCAATTATTAGATTGACAAAGGGCTCACATTTGGTGTTGCTTAGTAATGTGCGACTATCTTTAGTGTCATAGGCCTCTATAATACGTTTGTGGGGGGCTTACTAACCTTTGCCGATGACGGATCTCAAACCCTAATGAAGGAACCTGATTAAGAAACCTTGGGCCTTTATTAGGGTTCTTTAGATTTATAGGACCAGGGTTTCTTAATCAGGTTCCTACATAATGCCTTCGAGAGGCCGATAGACATTTACTTTGTAGGCAACACAAACCGTATTCAGCCTGCAGAGAACTTTCTACAGACGAGCAGAAGCTTTTGTAAGCCGCATAGACTTACTAGTTCAAGCGGAAGCCCCATGCGGCCCTAGGTGCCAATCTTGAGCCATTCAACCCCAATCAACCCTGAACCTACAAACATAAATAACTGGTTCGATTGTGATGGAGGTTGACAGTACAATAGCCCTACTTGTAACCTTGTTAAAGCCTACCTACTTTGTCGCCTGAGCAGCAAAGTACCCTAGACAATGAACACGACACCCCAAGCCCAAAGCTTTGGGGAGCCTCAAACATTTGTCCAGGGTCCATGTATCCGAACATAATACCCTTTGGCCCGACAGTAGCCATATGTAGGGACTGATTTAAGGCCATAGTATATACTAGATGAGTACATGGACCCTTAAACCTAAACCCCATAGCCCCTATAGAGACCTTATTACAGTAACCCTTCTTGGCCCTTCTATTAAACCCTAAACCCTCAACCCTGAACCCTACAAAGGCGCAAGCCTGAACCCTATATAAACCCCCAACGCTAAACCCCCAGCCCCAACCCTAAACCCTCAACCCTGAACCCTAAACCCCAAACCCTCAACCCCATTAAAAAAAAAACTAAACCCCAAACCCTAAGCCCTCAACTAATTATGAGAACATGAACCCTAGGCATTACTAGGACCTAGAGTAGGCCCTTATTCCCTTTTTCTAGGGTTTAGGTTCCCTTATAAGCCCCTTTAAACCAAAAAGGGCACCCTTTTTATTCCTAGGTTACTCTTAGGTCTAGATTAGCTAAGTCCCCCGAACCTCCAAGCGCCCCAGGCTCCGATGACTACGACAGCTTCGCGAGGAAGCAGTCGGACGAGCCACGAACCTACAGTGAGGGTTTGGGGGGGGGGGGGGGTGTAGGGTGTAGGGTTCATTAGGGTTCAGGGTTTGGGGTTTTAGGTCTTAAAGGGTTCAAGAAACCATGCGCTTTCAAAATGTGTTTGCGCTTCAATAGATGCGTAGTCTTGGACTTCCCTTTGTAGTACACTTGACGGGATTGTCGGCAAAGGGCTTTGCGGGCTACTTGAGGGTTCGAAGGCCCAGCGACGTAGAAGGGCTCTGCAGGGCTCTCAGGATGTTTGAATGCTTTTAGGCCCGAAGACCCAAAGCCCTGATTTTCACGGAAAGCCTTCGGTGTGTTGAATCTCACCCAGCAAGGCTTGCTTGGAAAAAGCTTGCGAGTCAATACTTCATAGCAAGGCGCTGCGGCTTTTAGGAAGAGGTGGGTTATGGGCTGTATGTACACTTAGTCTTATCCTACTAATCATTTCCTTACTCAGCACGAACGTGCCTCTAAGTCTTAGGGTGTCTTAGTGTTCTGTGGAGTGGTAGGGCCATAGGAGCTAAAGGGATTAAGGTCTGGCATAGGGCTTGAAGGGTATAAGGTTTTGGAGTCGGGGGATGAGGGGTTTAGGGTTTAGTTATAAGGTGTTGGAGTTTTGCTGGACTGAGAAATAGTAGTTACTGGTAGTGGTAAACGCAGCGTAAAAGAGATCCAGACTGTGGTTATGATACTTATAACTCTGAAAACTATTAGCTTCCTTCTAAGTCCTCCGTCCCGCAAGCAATTTCAAAGACTTCAGAATTCCTAAACCCTTTAATTACTTGCGAGATAGACTTTAAGTCGTATTCAGGACCCCTCTAAGTTGTTTAAGCACATTCTTCTCTTTTTAATGAAAACTCAAACCTTGAGGGTTGCCGAACCAGTACTTCTATAGCGGGGTAAGCATCTGATGAAACCCTTTAACCCAGCAGACATCGTCGGTGACAGGAAAGTCTGCTTCAAGCACGGCGACCTCAAATTCCTTTCCAAGCTTCTCCGGGGGCACGAGCTGGATGATTTCCCGCCGGTCTTCGACCGCGGATGCTGGACCGATGTGGACGCACTCTTGGACTGCAGAGGTTCCAGATGGGGGATTCGCCAGCTGCGTCGGGCAGCAAAGGCGGACAACAAAGGCCGCATCCGGCTGCTCGGAATCCACGTTCCGATGAAAGAAACAATCGGACAACGTCTCTTCCCCGTGAGAATCCGCATTTCTCAGGGCCACAACGAGAAGCTCGTTGGGAACAACCCCGATGCAGATTTCGTTTTGGCGACGAGATTCGATAGCGCGCTCACAAAGGAAGAGGCGGAGATCCAAAGCAGTGTGCGTGGCGTCACCGTGCTCTCGAAGGAAGACACTCAAAATAGCCCCGAGAGTACATATACCTTAACCTACCAAAACCTACTGTTTTGTAGGGTCCCTCTACAATCCTTATTAGGATTTACAGTAAGAACCTACAAAAAACTAGGTTATGGTAGTTTAAGGTAGGCGTATGTGGACCTTCCGGCTAACGAGAAACACTGCCGCCAACAGATGCGGCATAGGTGACGCAACTGAATTTCACAGACACCACGGAACTTCAATGAGAGGTCGCCTGTCGTAGCCGCTTAGATTTTTACTTGGGGTTTTCCTTGCCAAATTGTTGACTTCTGCTTGGAGGTTTCCTTCTTAAACTTTGAACTGTAGAAGGGTGTCCTTATCATGGAGGGGATACCGGGAAACCAAACTCAAACGCCCTTCACCCAAAACCTCTGGCAACCAGCCTTCAACCCTAAACCTTTAGGCCCTATAAGCCCTGAAAAAGCCCTATAAGCCCCAAAGCCTTAAACCCTAAACCTCAAACCCAAACCCTAAGCCGCAAGCCCCAAACCCTAAAGCGCTATGAGCCCTAATCCCAGGGAGAAGTTGAAGGAGGAATCGTGGGAAGGGCTCCAAGAATGGCCACACCGGCATGCCTTCTTTCCGGGGATTTGGGGGGTTTTAGGGCTTTAGGTTTTTTGGGGGTTTTAGGGGTTTAGGGCTTTAGGGTTTTAGGGGTTTAGGGTTTAGAGTTCAGGGGTTTAGGGTATAAGGTTCAGGGGTTTAGGGTTTTAGGGTTTTGGGGGTTCAAGGGTTTAGGTTTCAGGGGTCTAGGGTTTAGGGTTCAGGGGTTTAGAGTTTAGGGTTCAGGGTTTTCGGTTCGGAGGTTTAAGGGCTTAGGTGCTTAAGGTTCCCAGTGTTTTTTTGGAGAAGGCTTCCTTGCTTTATTTGCCTTCTGTCTGGTTAATTCCAGAGGGCTAAATGATTAGAGAAGGGTTCCTTTAGAAAGGTCTATAAGGGCTACTAAGGATTTAGTATAGATGCCTAAATGAATACCAATACGCTTTTGGGGGGCTCCATTTTGTAATTGTAGTACAATGGGCCCCAAGGTTCCAAAACCTTATTCTAACAAGTGAGGCCCTTGTATTACGCTTTCGGTTTGAAGGTTTAAGGGCTTGGGTGCTTGGGGTGCCGGGGCTGGATTTCCTTGTTTTACTTGGGGTGACCAGTCTGTCTCCTTAGGAATTACTGTTTTTGTTCATATAAAACCCAAGTGCATATTAATCGTAGTATATTCATTATGGTTGTAAGGGGGGTATAGCAGTGAGAAGGGTTAAGTTAAAAGCCCCAGGGCCCCAAAGCCTGCAAACCGTAAGTCTACGCGCAGTTTAATTAGCCCTAGGCCGTGGACCGTCTGAATTGAATGCTAGACTGTCTTGACACATAATTAGACTTTACATGTACTGAACCGCTAGAAGCCCTAAATAAACCCTATGAAAACCCAACCTGTCAAAATCTAAGTTCCAAACCGTTTGTCTTGAACTCTACAACAGCCCAACACAGCTATTAATTAAACCCTTTAGCCTATAACCCTAAGCCCTAAACCCTGAACTCTATGTTGCAAGTTTTTTCTTCCATAAGCTGAAACGGTATGTTTGGACGAGTCGTTGCTAGACCACAGATATTTCCGCGGATTGATTGGTTGGGTTTGGGGAACCCAGAAGCACAATAGTAGTGATTGCTGATCGTCTTGCGCTTCCCCAAAGCAACTATATGCCAGAATACATCCCAAACAGTGAAAGCGCACCAGCACCATGGCGACCATTACGATCAGGACGACCGCAACAGCCCCAGGAAAAGGAAACCAGCCGGATACCAGCTGGAGACCACGGCTCCTGCATCTATTCAGCGCTTCCCCGACAACATGGGTTTAGGGTTTATGGGTCTAGGGTTATATTTTCTTGGAATCTTGGTTTATTCCGAGTAGTCGAGTAGTATGGTCCCTATATAATCCCTATAGAACCACACAGGTCAACCTTTAGTACCCCATGATACCCGACAAGTAGGTTCAGCACTTCCCCGACAACATCCGGAAACAAGCCTGATCCCTACCTGGTGGGTCGGGGGACTTAGTAAGTAGGTAATAAGTAGACTTATAAGTGCCCTAAATGGTACTTATAAGTCCCTAAAATAACCAGTTACTAAGTCCCCCGACCCTCCAAGTACACGACTTCATGTCTGCTTCCGCCAGGGCGAAGAACAAGGCCACACGAGAGCACCAGCAGCGCACCGGTTTGCTAGGTTTAGGGTTTAGGGTTTAGGAGAATCCTAAGGCTTACCTGGACCCTAAGAAACCTGGTTTTTGGGGCTTCCTGAATATACCTGGGTGGTTGTCAAAATTATGGTCCCTTCTATGGGTAACCAATTATGATACGGCACCTATTATTTGGGGTACCCAGAAATGGACCCTAAAATTGACAACTACCCATATGATTTCCCTAAAGAGGTCCTTAATTAAAACGGTAGGCTCTTGGGTCCCGGTAGGGTTGAAGAGATTCTTTAAGCCTTAAACTCTAATCCCTAAGGGGTATTGGGCTCTACAGCAAAGAAGATCTAGTCCTGAAGGTTCATGCACTTTAAGGTACTAGGACTCTTTGGGTTCGGTTCGTGGTTTATAGATTCTCTAGGGTTTACAATTTCGGGTTGGAAAGTTTAGTTTTTAAGTGTACTTGGAGGGTTAGGGGACCGAGTTAGTAGGTATTAAGTAAACTGATAAACAGACCTTCCAATATCCCTTAATCAAGGAATGTACCTTAGATCAGACTAGGGATCCTCATATGATTTAAGGCATGTTCTTTCACTACGGGCTATTGGAAGGTCTGGGTACCCGAAAAGTGACCCGAAGTATCCGAAAGGGGATACGAATTGGGGATATTATACCTAGAAGTCTATAAAAGAACTTCTTACTAAGTCCCCCCGACCCTGCAAGAAATCCTGCAGGTCCATGCACCTGAAAGGTTCCTTGCAAGTTCAATTAAGGATTTTTATCTGGGTTTAAGCCGTTACAGCAGGTGCTACTGTTGATGATATAAATCCTGCATTACCCTAAGGACCCTAAACTATGGGAATTATTGTGTATTCCCTATTGTGGGTTATGCAGGATTTATATCATCAACCGTATGGAACAGTTAACGCCTAGATTTCAGGATTCTGGGCACATACACCGTCACGATACATCTCATCCAGTGGACTGTTCTCGTGCTGGACGTTTTGCACGGCGCAAACTGGTGATGTGATTGCGTGTGTATAACGAGATCAGATGCTCTAGCGGCTCGATGTGCCTGCTCCCCTGGCCGTGCTGCGTCAAGTGTCGATGCTCCTGCCGATTCTGGAACGTGTGCTCCGTGCCACGGTTGAACAGACTGGTGAGCTTTCGTACCACTACCAGTTTCTTCGTGCGGCTCAAAGGAGTATCCAGTCTGGCCTGCTCACCGAGCAGAGCGCCGCATTCACAAGGTCTCACAATGTCTTCGCTCGAGCGCCCCCGTTGCGAAAGGACGTATTGCCGCAGGGATCGCAAGTAACACGGGGGAGGCAGCGGAAAGCTAGCGGAACAAACCACATCTGCTCCAACCGAGGGCTGCGAGCGTGAAGTTCGGGTTTACTGCGTGGGGGGAGGGGGGGGGGTTGCAAGCGTACCTTACAGACTTCGGGTAGAACGGTTCATGTACCTGTATCCTGGACCCTAGATTGTAGTACTAGTACCGTCTTGGGGGATAGCCTACTTGACGGTTTTATCCTGTAGTATACACTGACACGGGGATCCAAACGCCGACTTTTGAAAGGTCATTTTGTAGACCTTAAACAAAGAATGTCATAACCTACCCAGGGTCATACCCTGCCCCTTTTTGGGGGGTACCTAGTTTGATGGTTAGGATCTCCTATATGGAAAAGTAGGTACCCTAAAACAGGGGTAGGGTATGAGCCTATCGTTACCATCTTGTAGGGTTTGGGGCCACAGGCCGGCCCTATGATATAACAGGGGGTGGTCTCGCGTCACAGCGGCTTTTTAGCAGCATCCAAGCAGGATTGGTTAGACTGGTTCGCTGCCGTCTTGTTTTCAGGTTTGACGTGAGAAGCGTGTCAGGCTTCTCGAACATCTTCTGCAAACCTTTTTTTACCGAAACCCGTGGAGAAATCTTCGAAGACCCCCAACTCGCCGAAGAAGGGATGCGCAGTGTCGCAGTTTCAGAAACCTGAGCACTGCCGATACACGGAACCCTGCGCTCCAACGCATACCAAGAGCCATAATACCCACCCTAGCCGCCCTAGCCGTTCCGCGGTTTAGGGTTTAACCTTAAACCCCGAACCTAAACTAGGATGCCCAGTAGTACCCTTATTCCCTTTTTGTAGTCCTAGATTCCTTATAAAGTTACCCAATACCAAAAGGGAGCCCTTTTTATTCCTAGGCTATTGGGCACTAATTAAGGAATATACCTTGGGGACTGCCGGGCTCCTGTAATAGTCGGATAATCATTTCTTTATAGCACAACTGTTTTTGGGCAAGGAAGTTGCCCGGGTTGGCCTCCCCCAAACACCTCCTGTTGAGCTCGTAAATTGCCCCTCCCCTCTCTCCTCCCCCTTTTCTCTTCGTTCTCCCTTCTCCCCCCTGGGCTGTTTTCCAGGCAGGCAGAGCGGGAGCGTTTGCTATTTTGGCGCCGCGGTCAGTGGCCAGCAGCAACAAATTGTCAACTCTACTGTTTTGTCAGGCAGGCAAAGGACGGAAAACCCGAACCTTGCCATTTTGCAAAGCTGCTAGTGGCCAGGGTAGCAAGTTCCCTAAAGCCTAGACTAAAACCTAAACGGCCCTAAACCCTCAACTTTGCTACTCTGCCAAGCAGCCAGGAGCAGCAATTTTCAAAATTTACCTTCCAACTGCAGATAAGCAGATGTCCAGATTTCAGTTGTGTTTTTTTTGGGCTGTTGCTCGTGCTTTTCCGTGGCCTGGCGGGGTGGTTGATTTGGACCACAAACTTCAGAGCACAAAAAAATCACAAACATCAAATCTAAAAGAAGTTTGTGGTTTTGGCTTTAGATGTGCGCCTACTAAAAAACCGCAAGCCAAACCACCAAAAAAAAAAAAACACAACTTCTTTTAGGTTTTGAGCACAAAAATAGCACAAACTTAAATTCTAAAAGAAGTTTGTGGTTTTGGCTTTACACGTGCGCCTACCAAAAAACCACAAACCAAGCCACAAAAAAAACACAACTTCTTTTAGGTTTTGAGCACAAAAAAATAGCACAAAAAAACACAACTGAATCCAGAATAAAGCACAACTGAATCCAGAAAAAAACCACAACTGAATCAACAAAACCTGGGATCTACCTGCCAAAACCCTGGGGCCAGGCCATTGCCTTTTAAAATGATCACTGGACCACCAGACCGGCCCGGGGTCCAGGCCGGCCAGCCCCAGCCCCCCTGCCCTTCCTGCCCCTGCCCCGGAACAGAGCAACGGCAAGAGAGAGAGAGAGACAGAGAGAGAGAGACAGAAAGCAGAAATGGGGGCAGCTTATAGCAGAGTATGCAGGTATGGCAGAAGCAAAAGGTTGCCCAGAAGCTTGTCCGACAGAACAGGTGCAAATTACCAGAATCCATATGGGGACACACCCTGTCCTTCGGGGACAACTGTAAATGTACGATTCGTTCTGCATCCTCTCTTTTCGGGGGCAGTTGTAAACTTAGGTTTTGCATGAAGCCCTTTAAAAAGAAGTTGTGTTTTTTTTTTGTGGGTTTCATTGTGGTCACTTTGACAGTGTCCCGGCAGTGTCCAAAATATACCTTAAATCATACTAGGGTCCCGATTATATTTTAAGGTATACTCCTTCATTTTGGAGTCTCTGGGGATAACTAGTCTTTCCGGGTCGCCCGCCTCACAGGTGCAGATGACACCGCGCAGAGCCCGGGCTGACATGCTTGCGCTTTCGCTTCAGGGTCGAAGGTTTTTGAAAGTGCATTTGTCAGGGCCTTGCTAATTTGAATAGGGTTTGGGGGTATACTATTGATAATTTGAATAGGGTTGGGGGTAATTATGTTATTGATAATTTGAATAGGGTCTGGGGGTATATATACTGTAGTGTAACTACAATAAGGAACGCCCCCGAAACCCTCTTCTAATTATGAAGGCCCCTATATCCCTATTGCACCCTCACAGAACCCTTAAAGAACTTTTTTAAAGGAGCCCTAATCTATATAATAAGGAACCCCAAAACCCTCTTCTAAATATCAAGGCCCTACATTAGGGCTTCAGGTTTGGGTCCAAGGCTCGGATGGGGAGAGGCCCGGGTTAAGGCTGGGATCTGTGATTTAGATTTCGTTTAGGGTGTAGGGTTTAGAGTTCAGGGGTGTAGGGTTTAGGGTTTAGGGCGCCTTTTTTTTGGAAGGCGGGGAGGGTGAGGGTGGGCGGGTTCATGTCCCCCGGCTAGCAGCCAGAACCGCGGCCAGCAGGCAGTAGCAGTCTCGAAGGACCCTCACAGCCTGTCGTCCTAAACCCTGCAGCGGAGAAAGGGGCGCATGTCAACTTTAAAAAAAAAAAACCCTAAAAACCCTAAAGCCCTAAACCCCTAAAGCCCTAGAACCCCTAAAGCCCTAAACCCGAAGCCCCTGAAGCCCTAAACGCTAAACCCTAGAAAACCCTCATCCGCCCTAAACAGCAAAACCACACGTGCACATACGTCTTCTAGGACCTGGAGTAGGCCCTTATTCCCTTTTTGTAGGGTTCAGGTTCCCTTATAAGCCCCTTTAAACCAAAAAGGGCACCCTTTTTATTCCCAGTTTACTCTTGGGTCTAGTCTTTAGATGCCTCCGATTGGCTGCAGACTGCAGACCCGAAGGTTCCATGTACTTCTAGAGCATGTACTTAGGGCCTTAAAGTACCTATGCAGGAAACCCCCTTTTTAGGACAAACATATGTGTGTGTATATATATATATATATATATATAGGTATACATATATACAAAGATATATATATATATATACATACATACATACATATACACATACATGTCATATTTCTCCCTATGTGCATATTTATTGTTGTTATTTTTAATTATGATGACTATTTTACAATATATATATATATACATATATATATATATAGATAGGTACATGGAGCTTCAGGGCGAGAGTATTTGCGGCCAGGTCGCTGCCGTGCTCGTGTACTGCGCCATCGCAGGTATCGGAAAGCCCCGGGCCCGGCGAGCCGAAGTTTGGGGTTTAGGGTTTGGTGATTTAGGGTTTAAGATTTAGGGGTTTGGGGTTTAGGATTTAGGGTTTAGGGATTTAGGGTTTAGGATTTAGGGATTTGGGGGTTTAGATTTAGAGGTTCAGGGGTGTAGGATTCAAGGATTTAGGGTTGAGGATTTAGGGCTTGGGAAGTTAGGATTTACGCTTTAGGGATTTAGGGTTTGGGGTTTAGGATTCAGGGGTTTAGGGATGTAGGGTTTAGGATTTGGGGGTTTAGGGTTAAGGTTTGGGGTTGAGGGTTTGGGATTTAGGATTTAGGGCTTGGGATTGAGGGTTTGGGGTGTAGGATTTAGGATTTAAGGTTTAGGGTCTGGGGCTGGGGTCAAGGTTTTAGGTTTCAGGGCATTTGGGGGGTTAGGAATTTGATTTCTTGGTGTCTTGGATTACTTTTGGTGCTGGGCTTACTATGCAATGAACGAACTAATTTGATATTCCATGCTCAACCCTCGTTAGCATTGAAGGCGCGATTACAATCATGGCGGTGATCATGAAGATGATGATGAAGATGGTTACTGGTATTCGATGTTATGGCAAAATATTCGCGCAGAGTTCTGTCCGTGTCCATGCATACATGGGAGATTCATCCATGTGTGTTCCCAGTGCATCTGGGTAATAATACGACCCTTTGCGGTCATAAACCAAACGGCAGCAGAATTTTAGGTGATTTCGAGCCGTATGTCGGACGCTAAACCCTAATCCATCCTTATATGCTCCGAACCATTTTACTTCCTGCATCTGAAAAGTCGCGCGTGCCGAGGATTGCGCCCTTCCAAAAGCACTTTGCTGCTGATGCGACGGACTGGTTTTGTAGGGATGTAGAATTAAACAGAGAGCCATGTAGAGTTCAGGGTTTGGGGTACTCTATGAGGGCTTCGAGGGACTGTCTACCTGGAGGGTCGGGGGACTTAGTAAGTCGGTATTAAGTAGACTTATAAGTACACTAAAAGGGATGCTAATTGGGGTTATGGTACATATAAGTCTAAAAGATAACTAGTTACTATGTCCCCCGACCCTCCGAGTACGGTTTCTTCAGAGAATCTTGGGGTTAAGAGCGTACGGGTCTTGAGTTTCGGGCTTGCGTGTTTTCCGAATTGGAGGCATATATAGTGCTGTAGCGCTTTGGGTTGTAGGAATTCGGGGTTTAGGGTTGATAGGGATTGAGGAAGATTGGGGTCTGAACCACCCAAATCCTAGACCCTAAGCAAGATTTCTTTCGGAATCACGTCAACCTCAGGTCAGGGTACCCTAGGTTTCGGATCAGGTTCCTGTTTATGTTGGGTGGACTGGCAGGAGCCCATATCGGCCTTGGCAAGCATCGTCCCTTGGGCAGAAAGAGATCTGAGGGACCTATGTACATATGTAGCATCTTCTGTCTCTATGTATACACATATACACATCTACACACACACACATGTTTATATATATATATGTATATATATATATATACACATGTCTTATGCAACACATGTGGTAGATTCATTGGCATTTAGTGTTTCGTGAGTATTTCAATTCAAGACCTCTGCATTTTCTGTTGGGTCGTCGAGCTGTGGCGAGCTAGGGCTGCGGCTGTGGCATCCGGTTTTGAAGAGTCCAAGTTTCGGAGAAGAGGCTTACGGCGTTCTCTTGTGGGATCTGCTGATAAGTTTGTAGGTATGTTTCCCCAAGGGTCCAAGTACCTAATAATCATATACTTTCCCATATCCTAACCTACATAACTACTATCCTAAAACCGAGTACCTGATTATTGGGTCCTTTTTGACCCTTGTTTTTTTGTTTTTTCGGATGTTAGGCTGGCTCAGACCCACAGCTGCATCGTCCTGTTGATGCATGTTGCATGTGGTTGCCGGTGAGTTCATTAGCTATACCACCATTCAGGACTTTTCCACGGGTTTGGGGTTTAGGATCTATAAAGATTACCTTACGTCATGGAGACATGATTGGCAAAGTTCGATTTGGCGGAAGGACCTGCGCGATATTCCGTCGAAGCTGTCAACATTGCATCAGAGCAATACATCTGAACTCCGGGACCACAGGTAGAATGTAAAATAGGCGCCTGCATAACTACGAATAATATTTCTCACGGCCCCTTTTCATACTTATGCTATATAGCTGTACCCCAAACCCTACTCTAACACTGAGGCCATTCCAGTAGACAGTTCTTTTGCGCCAAAGTATATTCTGCTTGTGTCCTTGATGCCTTCTGTCTAAATTTCCGTGGGTGGCAAAGCCTAGAGCCCCCCCCCAGCCCGAACCCTAAGCGCAGCCTGCACCCTGAAGCCTAAACCCGGCCCCAAGCCCTCAACCCTCAAACTAATAGGCCCCGACTACTTTGGCTGCACGGCTGCGGCCTGTCAGGGATGTACGTAGAGTAGCGGTTGGGATCGCGAGCCAGCCCCAAGCATCAACATGGTCCCGCTCACTCCAGAAAGGTTTAGGGTTAAGGTGGGGGCCCCATATAGCTGCCATCTTGGTTCCAGATTCGGAGGTTTCGGGTAGGGCTTAAACCGTCACGCTGTACCCAGTTCCTCAACTCCGTCCGCTCTAGGGTTTAGGGTTATATTCCCAGGTCCAGCGGCATTCTGTGTTAGTGCCTTCCTTCCAGCGCCTGGATGACGAGGAGGGAGTTCAGGTTTCAACTGGGATTTGATACCTTGGGCCCTCTGAAAGGGCCCACCCTCAACCCTAAACCCCAAACCCTAAGCCTTAAAACCCTAAATCCTAAGAACCCTAAACCGTTGTCGTTGTATCCTGGCGTCACGTCTACGAAGTCATGCTGAACATCGATTCTTGGGCCGAAAGGGCCGAGACGCCCCATAGACCCTCGGATCCCGATGATAGTCCCTTAAGTAAGGGCCCTTATAATATTTGGGGTTTCGGGCTTATAGGGCCCTTATCATAATGGTCACCGATTATAAGGTTTTTTTTGGCTACTTCGCAAGTTCGGTTGCAATGTGGGAGTTTCCGAAGATAGGGGACCGTAATCCACGACCCTGAATAATAGGATCCTTATTATAAGGACCCAAAGAGAAGGTACCCCTAATTTTCGGAAACTCCCATGTGCCCAGTCCTGGGGTACTTGGAGGATCATGGGACTTAGTAGGTAGGGTTATAAGTACCCCAATTGGGGTTATAAGTAGTTATAAGTATAGATACCCTAATTTTAACCCTAGTTACCAAGTCCCATGACTCGACCCTCTAAGTAGAGAACCTCTGACCAGGTTCACCTGCATCCTGTCCCAAGTAGCACGCCGATTTTCTGCGGAGATCCGGATTTTGATTCGACGCCTCGGGTGTGCCCCGTTCGGAGTTCAGACTTTCTTGGGAAACCCCCAAAACCTTGAACCCACTTAAAATAAACACAAAATCCCAAACCTTAAGCCCAAAGCCCCAAACTCTCAACCCCAAGCGCCGAACCTTAAACCTTGAATCCTAAACCCTAAACCCTAAAAGTTCAAGGGCCGGGATCTTCGCAGTACTATAGGGGCCTTAATAATTAGACGAGGGTTTGGGCTTATACTGTTCTATATAACTACAATTATTATAGTAAGGAATCCCAAAACCCTATTCTCATTATTAAGGCCCTTGTGGTCAGTTTCTCACAGCCCTCAACGGACGTCTGTTCATGAAGGAGCAGCACCTGATTCTGGGCTGTCTCAAGGCTCCTTTCCGAATGAAATGGTTTCGGAGATTTTGGCGTTTGGAGTTGATGTCGTTTTCAGGTTTAGGGCTTAATTCGGTTTTTAGGGAGTTGAGTGTTGTAAAGTGGTTTCTGCGATGCTTGATGCCAGTTTACAGGGGACCTGTATGTTCGTCAGGCGCGCCAATGTCCACGTAGCCGCTGGTTTCTTGAACTCATTTTGGAGTCTTGTTCCTTTCGCCATAGACTGCCCTCGTGCATCGAACTCCTGGGTTAGATCAAGTCATCTTGTCGACGTTACAGCATGCAGCTGCCACTAGGCAGTGTGTGAGGGTGCCCGAGCCAAACGCGCTCGCAGAGTCTGTCAAGGTCCTGGATCTCCGCGGCTCTAAATCCCTAAGGTCCGTGTGCCTGGACAGTGTAAACTTTGACCCAAAGTACCTACATAAGGACTACTTTAAGGCAAAAGATAGGGACTTGGCAACCCCGGGTGGATGACGACCGTAACTAGGCTGCTTTAAACGATTTCTGCCTAAGGCCCGAATCCCTCTTTAGTCAATACGGTTTTTCCATTGTCTTTCAGTGCTGTTCTTGGGTTGAGGATGCTGGGTGCTCGGTTATGTGGACGGCTCGAACAGGTCGTATCTTGATGGATTGTGATCCTCCAAGCCAATATGCGGCAAGGATGTTTTGGGTGAGGTGTATCCCTACAAGGCAAGCCCTATAAACCTTAAGCCCCCCAACCCCAAACTCCAAACTTTAAATGCTAAACCCTATCGTCAATCCCCCGAAACCTAAACCCCCACCCACATAACCCCAAACCCGTCAACCAATACCCAAGCCCGTATCCCGCGGCAGCAAAAGCAGAGGCTTCATACTTAGGATTAAACTACGTTTAAGGTTTTCGGGCTTCTAAGTTCAGGCTAACAGGGTTGTGGGTACCAAAACGCGTGCATTGATTAACTATGCAGCGTTTGCCAACTACATGGGTAACTGGCCTTCCACGGGAGAGTAGCGTTTCTCAAGGATGTCTTTGCGGGCACTGTCTCTTCACCTAGGATGGTTTGCATTCAGAATTGATTTAAGGTTTAGCCCTAGGCTCCATAGTAGTTCCTTTTTCGGGTTCATATTTAGAATACTATATGGTCATCCCAAAAAGGAACCCCTAAACCCTAAACCCTAAACCCTACTATGGAGCATAGGGAGCCTAGGGGTCGTCTTTTTCCATCGACTTGTGCGTGTCAGGCTCATGCCAACTTCAACTTTGGCCAGTTCCTGCAGGCGCTGCGCAGGGTCCGCTTACTTAGGGTTTGGGCTTTGGGCTAAGGGGCTTTGGGGCTTTGGGTTTACGGTGTAAGGGTTTAGGGTTTAGGGTTTAAGGGTTTAGGGTTTAGGGTTTAAGGGTTTAAGGGTTTAGGGGTTTAGGGCTTATAGGGTTCAGTCTAGGGTTTTGGGTTTGGTTTAGGGTTTAGGTTTCAGTTTTTATATGCTTCAGGGTAGATGGAGACGTACTTCTGGGGATTGTGCGCAGGACTTGGGTGAGCCAAGCCGGGGCCTGTAACCCCAAAAAATTCCAAAACTCCAGAGAACGTTAACCCCTGCGAAAATCCCCGCCCATGCCAAAAAATGAACTTGCATTCAAAAGAATCTTAAACCCACCCCGAGCCCTACAACCCCAACTTCATAAACCCTACTCAAACCCGAACCCCAAGCCCATAAGCCCCAAGTTCATAGATCCTAAACTCCTAAACCCTGACACCCGAAACCCATAAAACACAAAAGCGAACAGCAAAACTGAACCTGAAGCCTGAACCCACAGGCCCTGAAGGGTTTAGGGGGTTTAGGGGGTTTAGGGTTTAGGGGGTTTAGGGGGTTTAGGGGGTTTAGGTAGGGTTTCGGGTTTAGGGTTTAGGGGGTTTAGGGGGTTTAGTGGGTTTAGGGGCCTTAGGGGGTTTAGGGGATTTAGGGGGTTTAGGGTTTAGGGGGTTTAGGGTTTAGGGGGTTTAGGGGGTTTAGGGTTTCGGGTTTAGGGTGTAGGGTTTCCCTAAACTATCCTAAACTCGTGAGCGCTAACCCCCAAGCCCATAAACCCAAAGCTCATGCACCCTCACCCTAAGGGTCCATGTACCCGAATAGAATACACTTAGGCCCTAAAGTACTTATATAGGGACTACATTGAGGCTTAAGTATACACTATTTGGGTACATGGACCCTTAGGGTCAACCTGAATCCGGAAATCGGTCGCGTGGAAAGGCAGAAAGCCTGCCGGTCAGCCTCTTCAAATGCAAGGCCGGTGCAGTACTACGGTTGATGATATAAATCCTGCATTACCTTATAAGGACCTTAAACTATGGGAATTATGGTATATTCCTTATTACGGGTCATGCAGGATTTATATCATCAACCGTAAGTTTAAAGGCTAGGTTTTCGAGTAATGGTGGGGTTTAGCCCCTACCTGGGACCTCAAAAACCTACACTAGGTCATAATTTAGAGTTTTGCGGGCTCACCAGCAGGAACACTACGACACTCGACGCCAACACCACCGCCACCGCCACCGCCACCGCCACTCGCCACCACCACCAACCACCACAACAACAGCAACAGCGATAGCTGCAACAACAGTAAAACCCTACACTACACCCCAAAGAAGACGACTGCGAGGAGTTGGTGATGTCCCAGGAGGAGACCATGACGAACGTTTTCGGCATCGGCCTCGGTTTCAGGATGAATGGGGGGAGTTTGGGGTTAGGCTTTAGGGTATGGGTTTCGGCGTTCATCCCCACTTGTGTGGTCAGCGGTCGGCCAGAGGCAAAGTGGCTGGCAAAGCGGGCTACTTTGCTATATGTACAGAGGCTCAATTCAAGACAGCGACAAGTTTAGCAAATCGGCCAAATCGAGCCGACACAATAACAAGCACAGGACTCGTACATGCAAATGTGGTATGGCTTTTGCTAGTCTTTCGCTATTGTAAGAGCCTGAACAATCGGACTTGGCTTTCGGTGCGGCTTTATACTACAAGTAGATGGTTGTCAAAATTAGGGTCCCTTTTTGGGTCCCGAATAAAGTACGCCACCCCCCCCCCCCCCCCCCCTATATTTAGGGTACCCCCAAAGGGACCATAGTTTTGACAACCACCCAAGTAGATTCGGGAAACTTCAGGAATACTATTTCACTAGTCCTTGCAGCCAGAAAACCTGCATGTACCATACGTGTAGAGACAGACTCGAACCCCCGAAGGTTTCTTCCTCTTCACCGTCTTCATGTCCCTTTGCGCCATTCTTGGCGTGAAGAGCCTGCAGCTCAGCTCCGGAAGACGTTCCCCCGGGCAAGGAAGACTGAAGTTGGCGTTCCCAGACCTTCCAAAATCCCTGAATTAAGGAATATACCTGAAATCGTATTATGGATCCTATTACAATTTACGGTAGATTCCTCAATTAAAGGATTTTGGAAGGTTTGGGCTGAGCCAAACCCGAAGGACCCAATGAGCGGGTACTTGGGTTCAGGAGAGTGTTTTTTTAGGTTAGTGTTTGGGAGGGTACATGAACATTAGATACTTCTACCTTCAGGGTGTGTAGAGAGTGCATCACCATTAACTCGGTACTTCTACCTTGAGTGTGTTTGGTAGCGGTGTTTGGTAGCCTCACTATGCAGGCTGCATGCTCTTCTGCGGTTCAGTGCTGCATACTTTTTACCAGTGGCTTAGACCTAACAATGGCCTAAAACAAGTTTAGCATGATTTGAAAACCATGGGTGCCGTGTGGCTTTGAACTATGAACCCGAATGGCCTGATAGTCTATACATACTAATAATATGAAATTAGGTCCCCAAAGCCATAACAAGTATGGCTTTTTGTGACTCAATGCCACAATGGTAGTATGTGTGAACCCTCTGGGTTATACTGAAGCAGCTACTGTTACGCCGTGAAAGACTCTAAGGATCTTCTATTCTATAAGACCTCTGTTACTTGATCTACTAGAGGGTATTGGGTGTTCCGGGGAAGACTGTTCGGGCAGTAGTTCTTGATCGCTCCTCGTAATTAGTGTACCTGGAGCCCTAAACCGTAAACCCCACCCAGCTATCAAGGGCCCATCTGGTGCTGTTCATCAGTAGTAGGGCGTCTAGGCCCCTCAGCCTCACTGACGTGAAGCATGGCGGCCTGGATCAACCTCCTCAGAAGTCGTTTTGCCTGTGAGTTTGCAATCGGTTTGAAAACGCCCGCATCCCAAACACAGAAGCCCGTGACCATTCAATGCTGGGGGGGGGGGATTTAGTTTATTAGGGGTGCAGGTCTTCGGGTTTTGGGCTTATGGTTCAAGGTTTATAGGTTCGAAAGGTGTAATTAGTATAGGGCTGCTGCGGTAAGGTCAAGGATGGCGGAGGCGAGTTGACTGTGTGTAGCTTCGATTATTATGAGATCCAGTACATCTGAAGAACCTGGAACCCTTTATAAATCTAGGTAGGTAATTACGCGAAAAATCCTGGCTGTAACTTTGAGAACAGGGTTTCGAGAATGTGAAATACACACCCAACGCAGGACTCCGAGGGTCAACCAAAACCTTCTCGGAGGCTCGGGGGAACTAGTAACCGGTTATTTCGTAGACTTCTTATACTAGGACCCAGAGTAGGCCCTTATTCCCTTTTTTAGGGTTTAGGTTACCTTATAATCCCCTTTAAACCAAAAAGGGCACCCATTTTATTCCTAGGTTACTCTAATGTCTAGTATAAGTACCGTAACCCCAACCAGGGTTACTTTTCGACCCTAAAGCCTAAACCCTAAACCCGATTTGATTTGCAGGGTACTTAGAGTAGGTATTTCCTACTTACTAAGTCCCCCGACCCTCCATTATAGAACCCCTATAGATCCCTTCAAGGATCCCTTTCAGGAGCCCCTTAGGGGATCCTTTCAAGGATCCCCTTAGGGATCCCTTTAAGGAGCCTCTTAGGGATCCCGTAAGGAGCCCTTTAAGGCCCGACCCTCCAAATAAGCCCGAGCTGGAGGCCTCGAGGGGTCCTTGTTCATGACGGAGGAGATGTACAAGAACTTCAAGGAACGACTTAGGGGTTTAGGGTTAGGGGTTTAGGGGTTTGGGGTTTTGGGACTTATGGGTTTAGGGTTAGGGGTTTAGGGGTTTAGGGGTTTAGGGGTTTTGGGTTTAGGGAATTATGGTATATTCCTTATTGTGGAACTTCAAGGAACGGTAACCCCAGAGGGTCCACGGGTTGTTGATACAAGTCCTGCATTACCTGAAGGATCCTGGACTTCGGGATTTATGGTATATTCCTTATTATGGAACTTCAAGGAAGCTCTTAGGGTTTAGGGTTCAGGGGTTTAGGGTTTAGGTAATCCCAGACGACACTATGGTCGTCGGCATCGGGCTCAAGGTTTAGGGTCTAGAGCTTGTAGGTTGAGGCTAGGGTGCAGTATTCTTCCTTTGTTGCGGCGGTCCGACTTTGCTAATGGGCCGGGAGTTGCAAGCTTCTTTCTCCTAACATGACAGAGTTTGTCTCTGGTGGTGTTGGACTTGTGCGGTGAGCGTTTCTAGTTTTGGTCACTCATGCAGGGGGCCAAATAACTATAACAACTACCAATATTATTCCTTAGGGCGACGATAGTAAAATATGCACCCCGAAACCCCATTCCAATTATAAAAGGTTCTTACAGTAGGCCTTACAGTAAGGGGTATGCCATGGGGTTGACATGGTTCAAGGGTGTTACAGTTTTGAGCCTAAACCCTAAACCCTAAACCGGATTAGTGTTTAGGGTTACTAAACCCGAAATCCCTAAACCCTAAACCCTAAGCGGGCTCGGAGATCAAAGTATGCAAGGCTGTTGTGACATGTTGAGCCTCGGGGGCCAGCTCTTTTAGATTCTTACGATTACTTAGATCCCCATTCCCCAACCTTTACTTTTTGGGGGTTCTTATAGTTTATTAGGAATTGGAAAGTTTAACCGTTTATTTCTGTGGCTTATTGGGGGAGTAGGATTAGAACAAACGGCCCAAAGAACAGAACAAATCCTAAATCGTGGAAGAGGTTGGGCTGGAGTCCTTGACGAAGCTGACGGACGCAGAGAGCGGTGATGCCGGGGGTCCCGAACGGTGGCGGTTTCTGCGTGGTAAAGGCTCTAACCTCTGTAGTAGTTCCTCTTCTGGTTACCTGTTGTCTTGCGGAAGCTCATAGAGCACGAACACCTTAGTTTATGGGTTATCACCGAAAAAGGTGCCTAGAAAAAGGGTTTGCGTTTTGTGGCTCTTGGGGTGTACGGAATTAAGGTGTGAGGCTTTGGCTCTAAGGGTGTAGGGGTTCAGGGCTTAGGGGTTCGTTAAGGATAACCCCAAACCCTGCCTTAAGGATTGCCGGGAGGGATCGCAACGTTAAGGCTCTCGAACCTCCAAGACACTCTGCTCTAGGGCTGCTGGTGCCAAGTTAAGGGTTTAGGGTTTGCCAAGCCCTCAAAGGATCATGGGACTTAGGAACTAGATTTTACTAGGGTATAACTACATATATAATACCTTTTCTCCCCAATGAGGACACCTATAGCCATACTTACTAAGTCCCATGATCCCCCAAGTACTCCAGATTGTACACCCCGGAAGCATCGGTATAACCGGCACTCGCAGGAGCCAGAGACTAGGCTGCAAGACCACTACATACAACTAGATATGTGTCTGTAGAGTCATCTGGAGTCAGAAGGCTAAACAGCATCGCTACCGTGGAGGCTGAGGGTAAGTATGACTGTCCAGGTAGGTAGAAAGTCTTGCGCCTGAAGTATACTCCGGTCCAACACGCAGTCCAAGTGTACCAAGAGCAGTCATACCTAGGTCGTACATAGACTGCGCCTCCATGCAGCTTGACAAGCCAACCTATGTTTTCATCCGGTTGAAAACTGGCAAACAGCCTTAGCCTTAACTGTAACGCCTCAACCCAAAACCCCTAAACCCCTGAAGCCTAATTTAAGGGTTAAGGTGTTGAGAGTTTGAGCCCCTGAACTTGAGAACCGTAAACCAAAGGTCTACAACGGCTTCCTGCGGAAGCGCGCAGAGCTCGCAGGGGTCGAGACCCATCCTCAGCTTGCTGGGGTTCTCGTCAAGGATATCATACATTTTATTTTACCAAAATTTAGGGTTCCTTTAATTTAAGGGTTCCATGAGCATGTAGGGTTTAGGAACCTACCGTTCTGGAACGCAGAGGTCTCTGTGTAGCGCCCGGAGACAGGTTGGGGTTTTGGGGTTTCAGGTTCATACTTATCAAAGGGGAAAAGGAGGGACCCTTAATGGGGACCCCTACCCTATAATGGGCTATATAATGGGTATATAATAGCTATATTAAGGGTATATACCTAGGGGTCCTTATTAAGGGCCCCTCCTTTTACCCTTGGAACTTAGGGCCCTCAGACAGTTTAGGAGTTTGAGGTTTGGGTGAAGGGAGTAGGGCCCAGCGGTATGAACTTCAACGTAGCTGGGGTCATTGGCCTTGTTTTAATTGTCTCGGTGATATAGCTTGGGGTTTCATGTCATGGTTTCTTCGTGTTGAAGTGTCTCGAAAATGCCTTGTAGAGACCATCGAAGGTTGAATAAAGCTCCAGCTGTAAGTACCCAAGCAGCTGGATCCAGACTCGCGCCAGACTGTTTTAGCACATGCGACAGTGCGATCATGCACGCGCCCCTTTGATTTTTAATAGGGATTACGGCTTTGGGTTGAGGTCTTAGGGCTAGTCCATAGTAGGCTCAAGCATGAACTATGATGCCTGCCAAGTTTTGTTCGTCCCTCTGTGTCGGTAGCCTTCCCGCTGGATGTGTTCGTTCGAGCCCTAGCGGTCCAAAGGGCAAGACTATAGTAAACTCGCCAAAAACGTCTCCAGCCTGCCCCCAACCTGTACACGACAGTGGAACCTAGAAGCCGCACCTTTTCCCATCTAGGTCCCTTATTCCCCTGTTTAGGGTTCAGGTTCCCTTATAAGCCCCTAAAAACCACAAAGGGCACCCTGTTTATTCCTAGGTTACTCTCCCAAAAGCTCCACGTACCCATATAGTAGGTACTTAGGCCTTATAATGTACCCATATAGGCACCCCTTTAAGGCCTAAGTATCTACTCAGGGCACAAGGTCTTTTGTCTATTTCCAAAGCGGCTCGAGTCCATAACCAAAAGCCCCAGGCTAAACCCTGTAAGCCCTACAGCTTATAGGGTTTAGGATTTGGGGGTTAGGGTTTAGGGTTCAAGGGTTAGGGTTTAGAGGTTAGGGTTTAGGGGTTTAGGGTTTAGGGTCTAGGGGTCTAGGGTTTAGGGTTTAGGGTTTATGACCCGTCCAACATCCCGGAACCTGAACCCAGCGTAAACTCAGAAGGCCCGGAAGCCCTAAGCCATTCATCAATGGCTTATTCCCCGTGTCTAGGTGGGATCTGGAGTGCCATACTTCATCACTGCTTTGGACATCTTCCGGAAAGAAAAGCATAATGACCTCGGGTTAGGGTTTAGGGTTTAGGGTTTAGGGCTTGCTTTTGTTGTCCCTGGCTACTGCAAAGGCCCGACCATACATTAAACCCTGAACTCCATAGCGCCTGAGCCCAAAACCCTAAGCTTTAAGTCCCCAAACCCGAAACCCCAAGCCCGAAATCTCCCTAAACCCTAAACCCTAAAAAAAAAAAAAAAAACTAAACCCGAAGCCCTTTGAACCCAAAATCCCAAACCCCTCAAACCCCAAACCCTTTAAACCCCAAGCCCGAAATCCTCAACGCGAAAGCCGAGACCCTAAGCCCTGAACCCCCAAACCCCTAAACCCGAAGGAAGCTGGGCTTTGGAGTATCATACTTTAATGCTTTTTCGGGGACCTGAAAGGAAAGTAATGTGGGAAAAAAGTCTATACTTTTTCTCCATGGCTATTTCAAAACCAAAAGCCCAGTATCCAGGTTCGATGAGGAGTCTCCGACTTTGGAGTTCACACCTCAGCTGTCAGCCGCTGTTCTTTCGGGTTTACGGGTTCAGGGGGTTTAGGGTTTCGGGGTTTAGGGGTTAGGAGTTCAGGGTATAATTAGGGGTTTATAGGTTTAGGGGTTTGGGGATTAGGAGTGTTTTCACGGGGCTCAGGAGTGTAGGCTTTTCGGACGAAAACCGTTAGCACAAGTGACGCATTGGTCCTGCAGGAACATTGGTCCGACAACCAGTGAGCTCCTTCGGCGCAAACAACCTTCCAGCTTTAAGCCGTCAGACCCTGAAGCCTAAACCCTTAACCCTGCCTCATTGAGGCTCTCCATGCACTGGAAAAGGTCCTCAAAAAAAACAAAAACCTTAACCCTGAATATGTAACTACAGATGGCTTGAAGGCAAGTTCTTCATTAACCCCAAATCCTATGGCTTCGTTTTGGCCACTCGATGACAACACCTCAGCGAAACCTGTTCTTTTTTGACAAATAGTGGCAGCGCGTTCTGTCCATTTAAGGAAATAGGGGCTTTCGTGTCCAAGGTTTTCGGGTTCAGGTTTAGGGACCTACGAGGAGACCAAAACCCATCATGCAAGGAAAACACCTAAATCCTTATGAACCAACTTCGTAGAAAGACCATACTACTACGGCTGATGATAGAAATCCTGCATTACCCATGACAAGGAATATACCATAGTTCCCATCGTGTAGGGTCCTTAAGGTAATGCAGGATTTATATGATAGAAATCCTGCATTACCCATAACAAGCAGTATGCCATAGTTCTCGTAGTTTTGGGTCCTTAAGGTAATGCAGGATTTATATTATCAACAGTAGGATTATATCACATAGACCATCCAAGGCACACCCCAGTGACATGAAACCTGCCTTAGCTGTTCGAACTAGAAGCAGTTTCTGGCGGAATTTAGACCTAAAGTCTCTGGTGTAGTTCCTTTTTGAGGTTACCTTATGGCTCTAGGATCCTACAATATAAGTATACATTTGGTTAAACCAAAGCAAGAACTACGGTGGAGACTATAGGTACTGCAAGTACTAGCAATCATACTAGAAACTATATGGTAATACTAGCTGGTACTGTTTCTTCCTCCCCCCTCTAGGGCCAATAAGTCCCAACTCACGCTCCAAAATGGGCAGAGGGCTCCTGAATACAGGTGTACTTCCGAATTCAAGTGCTGGCTGAGTTTCCGGGAACACGTGATCCCTGAATGCTAAACCCTAAATACTAAGCCCTTAAACCCTACAAGCCCTACTTAGACAACTAGACCCTTCGCCCCAAACCCCAACCCCCACACCCCACTTGGAGGGTCGGGGGACTTAGCAAGTAGGTAATACGTAGACTTATAAGTCCCCTAAAATAAGGGACCCTAATTGGGGTTATGGTACTTGTAAGTCCCTAAAATAACCAGTTACTAAGCCCCCCGACCCTCCAAGCAGCGGCGCTAAAGGCAGAAGGCCATCGTTCGCCTCAGCTGCCTCACGCGGATCTTCGAGAAGGAGAAGGGCAGTCTGGTCGGGGGCACCCAGGGTTTAGGGTTTAGGGAAGGTATTATGGCTTGCTGTAGCCCCCCCCCCCCTGCCTTTTTTAGGTCCCTTGTTACGGGTTGTAATTATATACAACTCCCTCAGAAGGTGGATTCTACCAATAGTCTCATACCCTACCCCTTTTTTGATGTACTTACTTGTCTATATAGGAGATCCTAACCATAAAACTAGGTGCCCTAAAAAAGGGGTAGGGTATGGCCGTCTAGGTAAACCCCAAACCCCTTATATAACCCTAATCATGGAACCTTCTACGCCGTGGTTACTGGTAGATGGGTGCTCTCCGGTCTGAAAGTTTCTTTCAGTGGCCGCTTTGTGACAAAACCCTATTCGTATTTGTGTCTTGGAAACCTATCTTGCATTTGATGATTAGCACTGTTACGCACGATAGGAGCTCTAGTTAGCGCCTTTTGGCACTTCTGAACTAGTTTTTGCATCACTTGAGCCATATTCTAGCATTATCTAGCAGCATTAAGCACAACATTGAGACAAGAGAGCTTCTATTAAATCGCTTATTAAAGTTTATTAGGTGAGGTTTTTTGGGCCACAGGGCAGGTTAAGACTTTGGGGCTTGATTTGGCGTTTAGGGTTTAGGATTCAGGGGTTTGTTTGCGGTTTGGGGTTGCAGGGCTTAGGGTGTTTGAAGCTTAAGGTTTAGGGTTTGAGGGCCTTTTGGTTTTATGGTGGGTATAGGGTTTGCAGTGTTTACTGAATTTCTGGTTTAGGGTTAATACGGTTTAGGGCATCAGGAATTGGATTTCAGGGTTATGCTGGATTGTACGGCACTGTACGTCTCGAAAGGGTTTGCTAACAAAACCGAGTGCGCTTAATTGGGATCCAGGTAGTACGTACTTGGGGCCAGTTGGAGTCTTAGGGTAGTTATAGTGATGATGGCAATATGTGCCGGAGTAACAGCCATCTTGGGAGCCAGAGTCCAGCAAAAGCTAATTCCGTCAGGGTTTTGGGTTTAGGGGTCTGGGGTTTAAGGCCGGTTTAGGGTTTAGGGTTTAGGGTACCCTCAACCTAAACCCTAAACCTAAAGCCTAAGCCCTAAACCGTGGCCCGGCTTAGCCAACCGCCATGCCACCATTAGGGTTTAAGTTTAGGGTTTAGGGTTATGACTTCTTTACCAGTCGTGCGGAAACTATGCACCGTCCCAGGAACTGCCCAAATTCATGCTGCTCTCAGAAAAGAGTTGCAAGCAACAGCAACACCAAGAGCGTCCACACATACTACTATAATGGAAGTAAGTCCCAAAAACAGCAACAAAGAGGGGCTTTTGGAACCTACAGTAATTTCTGTAACGGTAGTACGTATGAGGCCGACTGTCTTCCTGAAGCCACACAGCAACAGGTCAGGCAAGATTTCCTGAACACAAGGGTCGCTGTGAAGTACAGACTGTACATTATGTGACACAAGTGCCAGAAGAGTACTTATAGTCTTGATGGCCGTAATACTTGTAGCTAGAGTGGTGGCATTCCTGATCCCAGGGGTCACCTTCTAGGCCAGCCTAAACTCTTGGACTCTTGGCGGGCTACATCTGCAGACTTTCAAAGTTGCCATGTTTTCTTACAGGATTGGGCTGTCGGGCTTAGAACACAGATGCATACTTTTGCTTGTTGTACTTGCTGCGGCTGCATGGCAACATGGTCGACCGTTCAGCAGCTGGACTCACTACCAGTGCGGCAAGCTGCAATTTTCGACAGTATCTGGATTACGAGGCATTCCGCTCTGCACCATGGCCATGTTCAAAATGTCTGGACCGACGTCCGCCAATTAGCAATGCTTCCCATTAAACGTTGCGAGGTGCGAGCATGTGATGGTATGTGCGTCCATGTACCGGCGCCTTGTACGGGCAACTGGAAGTTTGCAGAATATTCGTGAATGTCGGTTTCGAGATAATGCCTTCTTCCCATACGTGCACATCAGAGACACACTGTAAGTTTCCGTTCTCAGACCTCAATGAGTCGCCAAAGGCTCTTCTAGCTGGTCCTGCAGTTCATGCGTAGTATGCCTGTTTCAGCTGCTATGGGTTGGCTGCTGTTCGATGTCGCTGGCTAGTACAGCGGTTTGAATTGGAGGTCAACGACTACAGCACTTTAAGCTTACTCATGAACTGCCCAGTTTTTTCAGCAGGTTTCAACACCAAGTCTAGCTAGCCAGTGTGGGCATACATACTGCCATTTTGGAACATGTCGCAAACAAACCATCATTTGTCATTGTGGTGTTGGAGTTCTCATCCCAGAACGAAAAAGGCTGATGCTGCTTAGCTCCGAAAGCAAAATCCAGTCTACCTAGATCTGTGTGCGTAATGGTTGTTGTTTGGCTACCCTTTCCCCCTTTCGGCAAACCCACATGGTAAGCCCAAAAGCCCAGCATAAGAGACCAATCCGCGCTTCAGGTCTTCGAAGCGTTCATGTCGCTGCCCCCTGGTGTCCGCGAGGCCTGCGTCAATTCGGGGGCATATACCACCAGATACGCACAGAAGGTCCAGAAGCCCATAGCCATGAAATTCACATGGGTGTGCGCGTAAGTTCGATAGCTCTTGGTAGGGAGTTATTAGATGGTGTAGAACACTTTGCATCATTTGTAGCATGGTACTGAATGTCGAAGTACAAGCAACAGCACGCGGCTGAGATGAAGGCCCTGCTAGCCCCGGAGGAGTTGTTGAGAATGCCCACATAATATTACTCGTACCTATATTATTGTGGTGGTGCCTGATTATAGCCATTTAGTATCATATGCCCCAATGCCTTATTCTGACTTTTAAGGCCCCTTGATGGATCATCAAGACCATGATGACTCCACAAAAACCCTAAACACTAGGCTTCGAAAACCCGCCCCCAAGCTCCAAAAACAGCCTCGTCAGGCTGCATCCCTAAACCTTAAAACCTTCACCTTAAACCCTGAAACCCGAAACTTCGAAGCCTTAACCCTAAACCCTGAAACCCGAAACTTCGAAGCCTAAACCCTAAACCCTGAAACCCGAAACTTCGAAGCCTTGACCCTAAACCCTAAAACCCGAGACTTCGAAGCCTTAACCCTTAACCCTAAACCCTGAAACCCGAAACTTCGAAGCCTTAACCTTTAACCCTAAACCCTGAAACCCGAAACTTCGAAGCCGAAACCCTAAACCCTGAAACCCGAAACTTCGAAGCCTAACCCTAAACCCTGAAACCCGAAACTTCGAAGCCTAAACCCTAAACCCTGAAACCCGAAACTTCGAAGCCTAAACCCTAAACCCTGAAACCCGAAACTTCGATCCCTTAACCCTTAACCCTAAACCCTGAAACCCGAAACTTCGAAGCCTAAACCCTAAACCCTGAAACCCGAAACTTCGAAGCCTTAACCCTTAACCCTAAACCCTGAAACCCGAAACTTCGAAGCCTTAACCCTATAAACCCTGAAACCCGAAACTTCGAAGCCTTAACCCTAAACCCTACAACCCGAAACTTCGATCCCTCAACCCTTAACCCTAAACCCTGAAACCCGAAACTTCGAAGCCTTAACCCTAAACCCTAAACCCTGGAACCCTGAAACCCGAAGCCTTAACCCTCAACCCTAAAAGGCGGCCCAGCCCAGAACTGCAGCCCGAAGCCCCAAAGCAGAAGCATTACTACAGGTGCTTCAATAATTACCCATACCATTTTTTGGGGGGGGAGGTACTTATTATGATTATGCTATGATGGGCCCCAAAACCCTAGTCTAATTATTAATTTGAGGCCAGACCCTGAACCGCGACATCCCCAACAAATTGAAACTTGCGAGTCAAATCCCCAAGCCCCGAACCTACTTGGAGGTTCACGGGTAGTTATAAGTAGGGTTATAAGTAGGGTAGCTATACTTACAACCCATCTTAGGGGACTTAGAACCCGACTTGTAAGTACCCATGAACCTCCAAGTACGCAGTTGCCAATGCCAAATGCGAAACCCAAACGTTATACCTGAACCAGAACCTAAACCCTAAGCCTTCAACCCAAACCCTAAACCCTAAAGTGCTGAAGGAGCTCACTGGCTTTCTGAACGCCGACGGCTTGAGCAAGAGAGGCTTTCTATTGTGCGGGGCTCTGTGGTACCGGCGAGCGGGGGTGCGGCGGGGGAGTAGGGTTCAGGTAATAGGGTTTTTGGGGTTTTGTTTTTTTGGAAGTTACAGTTTCATTTAAGTGGTTATCAAAATTATGGCGCCTTGTTTGGTCCCTATTATCATACGGCACCTAATAATCTATCTATCTATGTATATTGATACTCCTACATGTAGTATTGCCATTGCTAATACTGACATTAATCATTTGTTGAATGCTCAAGCTAATACCAGCATTACTACTCTAATGTTACACTTCTATAAAGCCTAGTACGAATATATGCATAACACAAATACTAATATCTATTAATATTGCTATTAATACTCCTACGCATATCAATAATCATATTCATATTGATAATAGTATTATATCAGTACCAATACTAACACACACCCGTATGTACTAACGTACATAAATATGCATACCAGTATATTAGAGTACCAATACTTTAGCTCACTCATGTATCCAACTGTTAGATTTTCGCGTGATCAAGAGTAATACGAATACAAGCCTGCAAATGTAAATCATCAGTAACATTATAGTACTAACGCTAACACTATTACTAATACTTATCACAATATTTATACTAATATCGATATTTGCATAGGCATTGATACTGCTACGAATACGAATGCGTAAACCCTATGCATTAACAGTAGTGCTATCACCAACACTATTAGGGACATTGATGATATGTTGAATATTCAAGAATGCCAGTAGTATTACCAGCATGGACACTCCTATTACGGCTAATACGACTATAAACAGTCCTAATTCCAATAATATTCACATGTTTACTCCTACGAATACCAATAGTATATTCATATTAATATGAGTACTAATATCATTACTAATAGACACCTGCATATACTAATGTACACAAAAATACATGGGAATACACATCATTATCTTAAGATACAGATATATACATGAGTGCATTCACGTATTAATGCTTTGGCATAAGCATATACCCAAAAAACCAATGTAACAATATACTTCTCGTTGTTGTATGAATATACTATACCAATATGCGATTATACTAATATACGACTACTGCAATATGCAAGTATACCGACATGACAAGTTAGTATACTAATATGCCAACATACTGATTTATTTATAAATGATTAGACAGTACATGAACATAGTACACATACACTAATATGCTAACGTACGAAAAAACTGGTATGTTAAGAAACTAGTAAACTAATGCACCAATATACTAGTGTATTCATGCACCAGTTGTATTAACATGTCAAATCCGCTAGTATACAAGTATACGAAGATTTTACTGTTCGAATACATTGATGTATTGATATACTAGTCTGCTAATATTCGAGACTATCAATATACTAACATATCAAAACTAAGTAACTAGTTCTAATATTGATACTAATACTAGCACTTCTGCAAATGTAAGCTGCTATTACACCCAGCATTAAGACTGATACTGATACTACTAGTAGCAGTGGTGCTGTATTACTGACATTGACATTGGCACTAGCGCTAACTCTAACACGAACATGAGCACTAACACTAATTTATAGTTACCAACATTGGTATGTATACTTACAGCAAACAATAGTACTAATCTTCATTATAATACTCATCCTAATTCCGATACTACCACAAAACGATTACGTAACTCATATGCCGCACGTCTGGTGCTTGCATCCTCAGTACATGGCATGTCAAAGTATACGTTGTATATCTACTGTAAAGGTCTTACTTTACAGCTCATCGTCGGGTGTGGTGTGTTTAGATACAATATCTCAGCCGAGTCACCTGCCAAGAGTACAGAGTCACAAGGCCATGGTCTGTCAACGAGCATATATATATAATATATGTATATATGTATACATGTATATATGTATATATGTATATATGTATATATGTATATATGTATATATGTATATATGTACATATGTACATATGTATATATGTATATATGTTTATATGTTTATATGTTTATATGTATGTATGTATACATATATGTATACATATATGTATATATGTATATCTGTATATATGTATGTGTATATGTATGTATATATATATATATATACGAATATGTATATACATATACATACATACATACATACCGAACCCATATTTGAATTATTTAGACCCTATACATAACCCTGTGCTCAGGATGCACTCACCGAACTTGATGTGCAACGCCTTTCAAAACAAGAACCTCAGCCTCGTCGGGGCCTCAGGTGTCTTTGTAGGAAACGGTTGATGATATAAATCCTGCATGACCCATTATAAGGAATATACCATAATTCCCACAGTCTAGGGTCCTTAACGTAATGCAGGATTTTTATGATCAACAGAAAGCACGCTTCAGAAGCCAAGTTGTTGCAGTCTACGCGATGAGTTTACATGTGTCGCCGTAGTCGCGACAGCGCACAGAGGAGTAAGAATCGTGGCCAGAAGCAGGCCAGGTCATGAGCATCAGGATAGAAGCGTTCATAGCAGCAATGCTCGGAATCTATGGCGAGTCATTACAATTAATCAACAGGGACGCCCGGATGCTTTACACTGCAAGACCGCTGACAACACGCCCCGCAAGTACTCAGTCCAGAGATTAAGACATGCAGTGGCAGTACCTGGACCCCAAAAGTATGTAGAATAATAGCCTTTTATGGGTAGTGGGCCATGATTTTACCTACTTTGGGAGGTTTAGGTAAGGGATAATGCCTCAAGCCCTAACCCTCCAGTTTTAAGACCGTGGTGCTTTTGGTCTTGCCGGGTGTCCTGTTTCCCTGGGGATCTAAATGCCCAAAAGCCTTGTATATTATGGTTTTTGGGCCCAAAAGCCTTAATATATGAGTCCTTAGATCCCTAGGGATTGGCCACGACATACAGAATTATCGTGGGTCAGTGTGTCTAAGGTGCATCAGTGTCTATTAGCAGTACGGGTTACAAGTGTTTGGTGGCAAGTTACCAGTATGTACCCTGATTTGGGTTGTCTTGCCTAGCATGGGCAAACACCCCACGCGGCCTGCTGGTACAGTGCAACACAAACAGAACCTCAACGCTAGAGGATGCTCGCAGAATCCTAAACTCCTGCACTCAAATTCTGCCGAAACCGTAAGCCTAGACCCCAAACCTGAAGCCTAAGCCCTAATCCTAAAGCCTAAACCCTAAAGCCAATACCCTTAATCCTAAAGCCTAAACCGTAACAAGCACCCATTGCGCCTGCAGAGACGGTCAGTGGGAATATGTCCATGACCTTCCTATTCTAACTATCAGGGTTTAGGTTTCAGGGCCTACTTTAGCCTACCAAACCCTACTTTTTTCGTAGGTTCTCATCATAAGCCCTAATATGGAATTTATAGGGACCCTACAAAAAAGGTTTAGGGTTTACGGTATACGGCCTATCTGGACCCCAAATAGCCTGCCTTTTTACGGCCTTTTTTGAGGAAATAACAACAGGGAACCCCACAAACGGCTGGTTTTAGAGGGTCCAGGTAGGGTTCATACTCACTTGAGAAATCCAGGGTTCAGCGTTGAAGGAGAACTGTTGTCCAACTCAATGCACGTAGGTTTTAGGTTTAGGGGTTAGTTTTGGGTTTGGGGTTTAGGGGTTTAGGGCTTACGGTAGGATTAAGTTGATACGACTTGGTGAGCAGGTTTTGGCGGGCGTCCACAGGTCTACTCCATGTCTTTGAGGTGTCTACCTAAAGTGTCAATGGGAACCTGAAACTTCGAGATGTAAGGTATACGAATAGTCCTCGAAGTACTGTGGGAGTCGGAAACTACCTACACGTCTCCCTAGGTGAAAATAATTCAGCATTATACGACCCTATATTGAATTCCGTTTGAATAAGCCGGTTCAACTTTGGTGAGACCCCGTCCAGCATCATATAGCCCTATATACAAACCCTTCAAGGGTTTTTAACTAGCAGCCCCGATCTTATCTCTGATCAAACCCTTGCGCCGAACTTGTTCCCCCGTAGGCGAGGGTGAGACTCAAACCTGATGCATCATGGCCGTCAGTCGTAAGGGCTTAGGGATGTTTGGTCCTATGGCATATAAGAACTCCCAGTATCGAAATCTGGATTCTCTACAGCTTCTTGGGAGCCCGAAACCCTCAAAAGATGCGTGCTTAGAGGCTTAGCCTGGCACCCTAAACTCTAAACCTTGAACCTAGGGTTTTTGTTCGTGTACGTGCTTCGAAGCATTGGGCCAAAAAAAGACATGAAGATTAAGGGATGACAGTGTCTTGCAACCGCTCTTTACAAGGTGTCATAGTAACTAGCTGAGACCCTGTAGAGAGGTGGAAGTTTACTTTTTTTTGGCTTGTGAACAAAGCCACCAAGAATTGAAAGCCCTTGAACCCCTAGTGCCGACCTTGATCCATTCAGGACAAGGCTATGCGGCAGCTCCTCAAGTGACTCAGCTTACACATGGGATGTAGACTGGGCGTTGCGGGTTTGGGATTTGATTTAGGGTTTAGTTTAGGGCTTCTAACAGGGTTAGGGTCGTACAGTGCAAAACTCAGAACCCATTTCCATCCCACGAAGCAAGCACAATTACACGAGCTTGTGCTAGGGGCAACGCAGCCAACACCTGCTAGAGCTCCATCAGGGAGTTTCCGAAAATGGGGGAGCATAAGAGTGCACCCTAAATGGTAGGATCCTGATTATAAGCAGCCCACATAAGCTACCCCTAATTTTCGGAAATTTGTGTTTTGAGGTTTAGGGGTTTTGGTTTCGGCGTGGCGTTCTTCTTTGGGCTTTTACTTTTGGGGTGTCTATTAGTATGAACCATAATAAGGAGGCTACAAGTTGAACTTTTAGGGGGGGGGTTCAGAAGTGAGCCAAGAAGGTCTAGGGCAAGTTGAAGCTCGTCATACCATAATACCCTAAAGGCAACAAGAGCAATTGTGTTCTGTTCTGGGGTTGCGAGCTAGTCCAGAGTACCTGCCTGGGTCGTTCTGGAAAACCCGGCTGAGGCATAGCTGGGAGTTCCGGAGAGTTTTGTGGGAGTCCCTTGGAGTTTTGTGGAGCTGCTGAGAGTCTTGCGGTTGTAGCTATACATTCAGTCTCCATTGTAGTTCGTTTACTTTTTCTTGCTCTAACTGTAATCAACTGTGTGTTATAGGATCCTTGCCATGTTATCCAAAAAGGGAACTGCAGTGGAAACTATGTGTATGTAAGGCCCATTTAGTTGGGTTCGAGGTCCCCGATACTATACTCCGAATGATTTCTGATGCCTGCAATTCTGCTGCTGGGGCCCTGGGAACCAGTGCCCAGAGAGCCAAGTGCTGAATAATTAGTTCAGGAATGTACATTAAATCAAAACAGGGAGCCCGATAACCATTAGCCCCAAGGGTCCAAAGGACCCAATAGTCAGGTACTCGGTGTTAGGATAATAATTATGTAGGTTAGGATTTTGGAGAGTGCATAATTATTAGGTACTTGGACTCTTGGGGTTACCACTCAGAGTTTATGGGTATAAGGTTTAGGGATCTCGCTTGGTTTTGGGATAGGGTCTGGGTGTCTTATAGTTACTCTAAATCAAAACAGGGAGCCCGAGAACCATTAGTGATCTTGGGCGCTCTGGAGGGGCTTGGGGAACGTGCCTGTTTCGTTCGGGACGCGTGTTTACCAGAATACCAGATTACGTCCATGAAGGGCAGTCTACACCCTAAGCCGGTTGCTTTCTAATACTAGACTAGTTACCTACACCTTACTATAGTTATGGTATAATATATCCCCAAAAACCTCATTCTAACCATTAAGGCCCCGTGTCTGGAAAAGCCCCCAACTTCGTGGAGAATCCCTAAACCCTAAACTCTAAGCCGAATCAGAGACACCGGATCCATGTCGAATGTGGCGCGGGCTTCGACGATACCACCCTAAGGGTCCATGTATCCATGTAGCATATACTTTGGGCCCAATGTACCTACATAGGGAGTACTTTAAGGCCAATGTATATACTATGTGAGTACATGATACTTAAAGGGTCATGGGACTTAGTAACTAGGGCCATAATTAGGGTAACTATACTTATAACTACTTATAACTCCCAATTAGGGTACTTATAACCCCACTCACGAAGTCCCATGATCCTCCAAGTGCCAGAGTGTCGAGGGACAGTGAGAGCGAAAATGGCTCTCGTCCAATGGTTGCCTGCCAGAGGTTTTCGATGGCGAAGAGGTGATCCAGACCATCGTCACCGCCCCCCCCCCCCCTGGAAGGGAGAGGGAGGATGCATCATGCCGCATGCGCTTTTGCCAGAAGTTGGAAGGCAAGGGGCCCTTGCTGGATGCCGCGCCAAAAACTCGAAAACCTAAACCTTTGTGTTCATGGAGCATGGCACTGAGAAGCAGTGGGCGTAGATGCAGCCCATCTGGCCCACAAGCGGCTTGAAGGATTTAGGGTTTAGCTTTAGGGCCTTTAGGGTATGGGGTTTAGGGTTTATTGTTCAGGGTTTAGGGTTTAAGAGTTTAGGGCTTTAGTCGTGGTTCCTTGAACGCCGTGTAATTCCCAGTAGCTTTGAAATCTCGTAGCTCCTCAACCGACAATCCACGACTCGATAAGCCCTATACCCTGGACCCGATAACCGAAGCTGCATCAGGATGTATCAACTCTCTGAGGAAGCGCCCGCGCCTCAAAAGGGTTAGGGTTTAGCGCTTGGGGTCAGTCCTTAAGATTCAGTGTAGGGCCGCTGCAGTAATACCTCAAAGAAGCCCCTGAAAGAACCTACATCATGCACAGCATATCCAGACTCAGACCGTATGAACACACCCTGATTACATATTTCGGGCTTCACAACAGCTTTGTGGGTCGCTGGGCTTATGTAAACCCTTGACCCGAGTCCTGAATGCCCGAAATCATAAACGGTGGAAGTGCATATAGAGCTCCCGTAGAGCGTGATACCACATAGTAGCAATCAGGAGCGGATCAATGCCACAGGAATGTTAGTTTCATACAAGAAACACGAGTACCATTTAACCGCTCCCAGGAAACGCAGACAAAAACTACAAGGTTGGACCTCATCAACCTTGTAGACCCTACGCAAATAGCCCTATGAACCCGTTATAAAGCTCGGTTTAAACGCCCCGAGCTGCAAAAACCCGCTTGGTCTACCTAGAGTCTCCATTGTCGTTCTTCTTTGGTTAATTACTGTAATTAGCCAGCTCTATGGCTAGGATCCTATGATATAGAGTTGCTTAAACTACGAAAATGAACTGCAGGGAAACTGTAGGTATATGCCGGTCAGGTTTCCCGCCCCTGCAGACGGAGAAGCTGGGGTCTGTCCCCCAGACTTTTCTGAGAGCCCTAGGGTTAAGAGTTTAGGGACCCGATACCCCTGAATCAGGGCTTAGAGTTTAAGGTTTAAGGAATTGCCTAAACCCTAAACCCCACGCCCCCAAAAAGAGGTATATTGGGCTTCTTGTTATACCATAAGGTAGATTCCCTAAGTGTGGGATAGCGGGAGTATCCAGGGTGTTGCTAGCTGGGATTTTGTCCTTTCTGGCCTATGGCTTAGGATCTGATCCTTTGTGGTTGGGCCCTAAACCTGAGGTTAGAAGTATGGGCCCCTGATATATGGACCCTTAGGCCTTTTTGAGGGGGTTCTAGGCACCCTTCAGAGTTTATATAGGGTATATCGTAGGTATTTAGGGATCCCAAGGTTAAGGGCCCATATTCGGGGCCCTGGCAAACCCCAATCCCAAAACCAAGCTAAACCCTTAATCCCTAAACCTTAAACCCCTAAACTCTGAGTGGTAATCCCAAGGGTCCAAGTGCCTGATAATCATATACTTTCCCAACTCCTGACCTACAGAACTACCATCCTAAAACCGAGTACCTGATTATCGTGTCCTTTGGACCCTTGGGGTAAACTGTAACCCCGAAGCTCGACCGTTTCAACCCTAAACTGCAAGCGCCAAACCCCAAACTCTAATCATCCCAGACTCTTGAGGCACTAACCCTAAGGCTCCATGTACCCGTATAGTCTCATATAGTATATACTTAGGCCCTAAAGTAGCTGTATAGGGACCCCTTTAAGGCTTAAGTATCTACTATGAAGGTGCATGGAGCCTTTGGGTAAGCCCTGGATCGTAAAGGCCCCTAAACCCCAAAGACCCCAAAGGCCCGAAAGCGCCAAAACCTAAAGGACCTACCTTACTTGGAGGGTCTGGGGACTTAGTAACTAGATATTTTAGAGACTTATAAATTTCATAACCCAAATTAGGATCTCTTTTAGGGTACTTATAACTCTACTTATTACCTACTTACTAAGTCCCCGACCCTCCAAGTAACCCCGAAGAACCTACTTTTTTAAGGACATATATAAGGAAATCATAAAAAGGAACCCTAAAACGGTGGGTTCTTTGGGGTTCAGGTAAACCCTACACCCCGAAAACCCCAGACCCTAAAACCCTACAGACCCTGAGCCCGATAAGATGCACACCTTAGGGGTACTTAGGAATATTTTTTCATTTTTGGTTATTGTATTCTCTAAGAAACAGCTAAAATGATAATTTTTGCTAGGGTTCTAAGTTCAGTATAGCTAAAGGTCATCACCGTCATGGTGGAGGAGATGGCGACCCATGCGAAGAAGTGCGAGGCTGCATCGTGTGTGCATTCGGGGTGTCTGGAGTTTAAGGCTCAAAGTCAGGATTTTGGGTGGGAGGTTGATCGCCGAAGTGAAGGTTTAATTATGGTTGGAGGTTGATCGCCGAAGTGAAGGTTTAGTTATGGTTCAGGTTTTAGGGTATATAGGGTTCAGGGTTTTAATTCAAAGCTGTTAGTTGCGCAAGAGTAGATTCTGGTCAGCCATGTTGACTAATAAATGAGGGCTCCAGCATTCCAGCTGTGCTTACATATAACTTTGTCTACATGCGAACTGTGTTCTCCGCGTCAATTGAAGGTTTAGGGTTCAAGGTCTACGGTTTCTGATGAATGAATTAGGATGTCCTTAAGGGGGGGTGGTCCAAGGGGGGTAGGTAACCTAGTAATCCCCATTATTCCCCAATACTCCCTAAGCTTCCCTAAGGTTCCCCAAAGCTCCCTAGTACCCTCCCCCCTTGAACCACCCCCCCTTAAGGATCCTATGAATGAAGTGTTGGGCCTAGGGGAAGGGACGGGGAGATGACAGGTTCACGGCTGCAGGATTTCGGGGTTTACGGTTGAGTCCTGCATTACCTTAATGACCCTCAATTATGGGAATTATGGTAGATTCCTTATTATGGGTCATGCAGGATTTGTATCATCAACCGTAGTAACCCCAAGGGTCCAAAGGACCCAATAGGTACTCGGTGTTAGGATAATAGCTACGTAGGTTAGGATTTTGGAGAGTATATGATTATTGGGTACTTGGACCCTTGGGGTAACTAGAGGTTGTAATTCTACGAACAGGTAAGAACTTCATTGTCTTCGTGTTGAGGGTCTCAAGCTTTGCGAAAAGATGTCGATTTATTTGACGGCATATGCGTAGCCCTTAAGAGCTTATACGGAGGCCGTTTACTCCCCTTTTGAACCTTAAACCCTCAACCCTGGCACCCTGTTAAGCTCCAGTAGATGCAGCCTAAAATCTGCCCTAAACCCTAAACTATACACCCCCCAAAACCTTAATTAATCAAGCCCTACCTGTAGCCGGAAAGACCTACTTTTTTAGGGTTCTTTATTATGGTTTCTATATATATATAGTTCCTTACCACGGTAGGTCTTTTCGGCTACAGGTAAACCTTAAATACCCTAAACCCTCGAACAAGAGGATGCCGAGTCTTTCGACAGCACGAACCTGGAGGTCAGCAAGTTCCAGGGCGTCAATGCCGACCGCCTCTCGGCGACAAAAAAGCCACCTCGGAAAAACCCTAAATAGTATATCATAGGCTTTAAACGCAAAGCCCATATGAACCCTATGAAGTCACAGGCCTGTATAGATGGAAGAGGACGAAGGGACTGAAGGGACCTTGATAGTCCAGTGACGAGTACATATTTCATGGGTTGCGGTTCCCTGCATAAAGAACTTTGCAGGTCAGGGTTTAGCTTAGCTTGTCATTCCCATAACCCACTGGCCTGTTGAGAGGCAATACCTATAGGCTCATACCCTACCCCTTTTTTTAGGGTACCTGCTTTTCTATATAGGAGATCCTAACCATAAGAGTAGGTACCCTAAAAAAGGCGTAGGGTATGACCCTCTAGGTACGACTGGAAAGGGGCTTTTGGAGTTGTTTCCGGGTGCTTGGCACAGTGCGAGTGTAATTAGGGTTTGCGGGTTTAGGTGAGGGATCAGGGTCTGGGATTTTAGGAGTTTAAGGCCAGGGTTCATGGCCCATCCAATTCCTGAGTTGTGCTGGTGGACAGTGAATGCTACAGATGCTTCTTACAATCCAGAAATGTAATCCGTAAACTCTGAACCGATACAACCTTTGCAAGCAAACTTTGACCTTCAAGTGTACATCGAAACCAGCAAGCATTTCTCAACTTGTGGTAAAGAAGTTCGTTGACAGCACAGTATGTCCTGAAAAGCCATGCGAACTATGACACCTTCGATGCTGGAAAATGATTTCAGGCAGAGTCATCGTTTGTTTTATCACTGGTGTTATTCCCAACCCAGAGAAGCGCTTTGCCAGTGATTCTTTGAGGGGTTCCATTTGGTATATGGGGTAGTTGGAGCCTCAGGGTATACTTACCATTCAATGACAGCAACCCTAAAACCCCAAACCCTGAACTTACCTTTGATTAGCAGGGAATGGAGGAATGGGCACGATTACAACAACAACAACTACTACTACTACTACTACTACTACAACTACTACTACCATTCTTCCATTCCCTATTAACCAAAGGTAAGTAAACCCTAAACCCTAAAAAACCGCTTCCTAGGTACTGCCAAGATCGTGCTGAGCCCATGGCAGAACAACACGGACAAGCGCCTCCTCATCAGCCTGGACGAAGATGTGCTGGGCTTGGAACCGAAACAGGGTTTAGGGTATGGGCCTAAATAACTACTATTTGGGCTCCTTTAAAGGGTTCTAAAAAGGATCCTAATAAGGTTACTATAAGTTGTATTCTTGGGGGGGATATAATGTAGGTATGGGTGTTGTGCAGTGTTGTGGTCTTTAGTGTTTAGGGTGGCTTGGTACGGACATACTGGTAGCGGCAACGGTTGATGTTGAGACGTGAGGATCTAGGAATCTAGGAGGCAGTGATGATATGCAGTCCGGGTTGCTGCAATTCAGAACGGTTCTTGATACGATGCGTCCAACCACATCACGAGCATCGAAACACACAAGAGCTTGACTTTTTCGGTGACTCCCATGCGGACCCTTACACAAAGGTCGTGATGTAGCCTATGGTGCGCATACTTCAGTCAGTGATCTTGGTGCTGATTGTCGCATTCTGTGCCTGCTCCCACGCCCAGATAAGAATCCGAACATGGCGACACATAGTCATCTTAACCTATGTTTCACCCATCGAGTTTAGCATAAGGACGGACCTTGTTGTAAGGCTTGGGCGAGGGGTAGATCCCTTGAGTTGTCTGGGGAGTATAGAAGCCTGAACCATTGCCAACGGTATTCCTCAGGATTCCTTTTTGTAACTATACCCAGATATAGCCCACAGCAATTATCCAGGCCCGTATAGCATGTATTTGGGGTTCTCGAAACTCGAGACCACGACCTTTGCAACACCAGATTCCTGCAGAATTCCTAAACCCGAATGGTTCGCTTGTACACAGAAAGGAGTCCTTTGGAAAAGCAACTTAGATAGTGAACAGGGGAACTTTGATCTTTTTGGCCTTATATATTTGCTCTATCTTCGAAAGTTTGAACTTATTGGGGCCCGGTTGTTGAAGAACAGAGGCAAAGTTCCAGAGTTTTCCTCCAGGGACCCAGGTACAGGATTTGAAGCGCGCGTCTGGCTTTGTGAGGGTTCATTTGTGGCCCCAAACGCTACAACATAAAAAGGTTATAGGGCATAACGGTATAACGCCTACAGCAGTAGGCTTATGAATCCCCAGGCACGCTGTTTTTTGAGGGCTTGCGGCTCAGGAAAAAAACAATATTTGGCCAGAAGCCATCAATACTTCCATGTCTATGTGGGTACTTCTCTTCCCTTTCTAGGATCCCAACAGAAAGCGAGACACTTGGTAACAGACTGCAAGAGAGACCCTAGTTAGAGAAGTCCCATATTGGTTTGTTTACATGATAGCCGTGGTCAGTTCGAAAGCGATAGAAACCCAAAGTATATACAGTGAATGACTCTGACCGCATCCGTAATTCTGTAGCTTGGTGCAGCTTTTGCAGCCCTCGCTGTCATGGAGGTCCCTGGGCCAAGCTCAGACTCCATCCGACGCCGCTGGATTACGGAGTACGGCCCGGTACCGGCCACCCAGCTGCCTTTGGCAGACTTGGTGGATGATGCAACGCTCGGATGCTGTCGCCGACTGACTGCCGCCGCGACAACGCACACCCCACTGCCTGAGGGTCAGATAGGAGAATTCTTCACCATGGATCAGTTCCACGGTTCTTTCAAGCCCTTGCTGAAGTCCTGGAGTGCACCTTCTGGCTTCTGTGGAGCTATGGCTGTGGCGGGGGTCGAGCTGCTGTTCGAAGCGCTTATCACGGGACCATTGGGAGTTGCCGGGACACCCCAGGCGCCCGACTTCATGTCAGATCTTGCATCCACGCCCCTCTGCTCCCTGGACTTACTGCCACCACGAGCTGAGTCACTGGGCTTCTGGAGAAACATACCTTATTACTAGTTACTTTGTGGAACTGTTCCTTAAAGGAACCATTATGACACGAGAGGTTGCACTTATTTCTCCTTGGTTACCTCAAAGCCCAGGTCAATCATGAAGCAAATTCACAGCCGTCGGACCAGCTACATCCAAGACCATGCTTCCAGCTTTGATGCCAAGGGCGCTCGACAGAAATATTTGAGCGCATGGTATGCGAACTACGAACTGTCTGACGTTCTCCGGGATTACTGCGCGCAACAGCGGGCATTGGGCGTGCCAGATGACCTCCTTGACCAGATTCTCTTTTTGCGGGAAAATCAGTGGCCGGCATACGCTGATGCTGAGCATGAGGAGCGGGAGCGGCTGCCTGAGGAACAATGCTTCGGAGGTTGCAAGGTGGGGGTTCGTGTTTTTGACTACCCATGGAACCCCACGACTCTCTCTTAGGAATGTACCTTTCAATCCCGCGAATCATCCCACCCCAAACATTAATCGGAAGGTATATTCCTTTTCTGAAGGGTTGTTCGTTGACTAGTGGGCACCAGCTTGGAAGCGCACTTTCGCCAGAGGGCTTTGCAAGTTTTTCTTGATTAAGGGTTTAGTTTGGCGGTGTTGGGTTTGGGTTCGTTTAGGACAGAATCCTGCCTTGGGAATCATGGTTTGCTGGCCAGAACCAATGGTGCATGAGCCCTGAGACTCCATGTGCCCATCTAGTAGGTGCTTAGGCCTTGAAGGGGTCTCTATATGGTACTTTGAGGAGTCCAACACCGCCAAAGCCCTCAGCCCTGAATCGGTCACCCGAAACCGCAAACACTTGAACAAAACTGCGACAACAACCACACATAACAACTGGTCCTAAACCCAAACCCTAACACCCTAAACCCTAAACTCCTAGACTCTTTGAGGCCTGTTATAAGTACCGGCTGAAAGGGTACACGAAGCCTCTGGGGAGTTTGTCGATCAAAAGTCGGTAGCAGTGCACGTCACAAACAGAACAACCCAGAAGGGCCTCACGGTGGACCTCAGGGTTTCGGAGCTTAGGGATATAATAGGGTTTAGGGTCTATAGGGTTTAGGGTTTAGGGATTAGGATATAGGGTTTAGGGATTGGGGATATAGGGTTGAGGGTTCAGGGATTAGGGTTTAGTTTAGGGTTAACAGTGGAACAACCTCGCAGGTGACTACCGAGAGTGGGAGTGAAGGTCTTCGCTTCGATCCGACAAAGGGAGATCGCTCGGTGATTGTGGAGATTCCAAACAGAGGGCTCTTGCTGCGTGCAGATGAATGGGAGGTCCGGTGTGCAGGAACGGCTGGATTTCCGAGGATTGCTTGTCTTGATGTGGGTGGCCACTTCACCTGCGCGGTGTTCTTCGAAGCACCTGCTGGCGACGGAGGTCTCACGCCAAGTACACTACATTTCAACACCACAAAGAGCAAGTATTCCAACCGCCACATGTTGCAGCTTGCTCACTTCCTCTTCGCAATGCGAGCTCCGGTAGCACCAAGGGCCGCGGAGGGACTGAGCGAAGAGTCGGCGCCCTCATCACTCACCCGAGAAGCCTTCGTCATTTACGACTCCGATTGATGCTGCGGGAAAAGGAAAGAGCAAGATCTCCGGTTGCCTCAAACATCTTCTCTTTGTCATAATTGGGTAACGTTTTACATTTTTTATTGGTACTTAAACAAACCCAATAAGGAATAACAAATAAATGTTTAATCCTATCCCGACCATGAGCTAGATGTTCTGAAATGACCTACTAGAGGGGCCTCAATAATCACCTATACCATTTTGGGGGGTTCCTTATACGTATAGTATATTGGGCCCCAAAACCCTACTCTAATGTTCAAGGCCCTTATATTACTTATATTACAGTGAGTTCAGACGTTCTTTAAGGAGGGGCTGGTAGAGGCGTCACTTGATCTTTGCATTAATTAAAGCATAACAGGGAACCGAAAGAAGGTTTTACGGGTCCAGCCAGGCATGGCTTGAACGGCCTCGTGCAGGTTGTTCATAGTGCTGTCCATGGTATCTTGTCACGAGGATCGCCGAAATGTAGGGACCTTGGTTTGTAGGGCCGTAGCTTACCCAAAGGGTCCATGTACCCATATAGCATAGACTTTGGGCCCAATGTACCTATACAGGGAGTACTTTAGGGCCAATGTATATACTATATGAGTACATGGACCCTGAGGGTTAAGAACCCTAACGAAAACAGGTTAGGCTTGCATCAGGGCTTAAGATGTGCCCGAAGCCCTTCAGCGTTGGCCTGCAACTATATGTCACAATCCTACATGCAGACACCTAGTTTCGTTTCGAACTTGGGCACTCAGGACGGTTATCGAAGCCATAACCTACTAAACCCTATAAGTTTAGTGTATTTAGCCCCCAAGCCCTAAATCCTCGAACTTCTACGCGCTCAGAAGACCATGCAAGAAGGACTGAAAGCTTGTGTACATACCCTTAACAATGGGTTCCTAAACACAGAAATGTAACCCTCGTTATGCGGTCGGTTGGGTCGCCAAAGCCGTGAAACACGAGATTCCATTCTCTGTGCTGCGGGGAAGGGTCGGATTTCAGCCCAATCCTCAGCGTTCAGGTTTGTGTTTAGGGGCTTGGTGCTTAGGGTATGTGGCTTGAAGTTTAGGGTTCAGGGGTTTGTTAAAGGTTCTACCAGAAGGGTTTTGGAAGGATTCTTTTACCGTTCCATGAAGGGTTATATAGTAGGGGGTTCTATGAGGTTGAGCTTTTGAAGCGTTTTTTTGCCAGGAAACGACCCTAACTTGAGCTTGGTCTAAACAGGCGCGCCTGTGTAAGCTCTTGGATGTTCCATGTTGGTGTAGCCGGGCGTACTTATCCGTGTTTGCGTCACGAACTCGGTAACATATATATATATATATATATATGTACACATCCATATACGTTCCGGCTGCAGATGCTTAGGTGTCCGAGCTCTTCTACGATGTGAGCGTTCAGACGGTCACAGAGTCGAGCTTCATACAGAGACTGCCGCGACCTTGGGGCTTAGGGTTTAGGGTTTATAAGGTTAATTACCAATACAAGTTTGGGGGACTTATAGTATAATGGGCCCGAAAACCCTATTCGAATTATCAAGGCCCCTATAGTATGTGCGCATGAGTGCGTTGTGAGCTTGCAATACTTATTCGGTAGCAATAGCGCCTTCCGCACCATTTCCACCCAAAGGCCCGGCCAGCTGTGTACCAGCCTGCTGTCCTTCCGTAAGGGTCCATGTACCCCAATAGTATATGCTTTGGGCCCAATGTACCCATATAAGGAATACTTTAAGGCCAATGTATCTACTATATGAGCATATGGACCCTTAGGGCTTGTGATTTCCTCCGACATCCGTTGCTTGAGCATAGTGGTTAGTTCTGATTTAGTTGCTGTGCTTTCTTGTGTCCTGTGACGACAATAAAGCCGCCTACTTAAAGGGTCATGAGACTTAGTATCTAGGGTTATAATTAGGGTAACTATACTTCTAATGGCTTATAACCCCAATCAGGGTACTTATAACCCTGCTTACTAAGTCCCATGATCCTCCAAGTATGAGATACTGCATTCGAGGGTCGGGGTCCTAGGTAGACCCTACGATGCCAAGGGTGCGGGGCCATTCCGGCTCTGCATTTAAATGCTAGAATCTAAAACCTTACCTATAGGTTCATACCCTACCCCCCTTTTTAAGGTGCCTACTTTTCGATATAGGAGGTCCTAACCATAAACCTAGGTACCCGACAAAAAGGGGTAGGGTATGACCCTCTAGGTACTATAGAGTCCCTAAAAGCACTAGAATCCTCAACGCTGCAGCGGCAAACTCGACACTGCACTCCAAATGGGCCCACTTCTGCTGCGGTAGGGTTTAGGGTTAACGATTTGTAATTCGGACTATTTCTTGGGGTTTTCTGTGTAAGCATGCAGCAGTTAATGTTGGTTTTGGTCTCCGTACCTCAACTTGGGTTATAGTTAGGGGTGACGACTATACCGATCCCAACTAAACTCCAAGGGCCCATGTACCCAAATAGTATATACTTTGGGACTAATGTATGTACATATATAGGGAGCACTTTAAGGCCAAAGTATATACTATTTGGGTACATGGACCCTTGGGGAAACTCTCTGATCCTTAAAGTAGTTGTATGGGGACTGTTGGCTGAGAGCCCTAACTGAACGTTTTGGGATGTAGAGTTTATGGGGTTTGGGGTTTAGGGGAGAGTAAGATGTCGTCCATCAAAGTCCACCCGTTCATGACAACAGCGACAAATTTCGACGAGCACAGCCATCCCACTGAACCACTAAGCATTCGGTTGCCTTAGAGTTACCAGCAAAATGTTCCACGTGCCCCAAAAGGATTTATGCTTTAGGATTTTTTAGAACGCAACTGCCCAGTTCCCAATTCTCTGGATTTGGAGGACTTGAATTCGGGCTTGAGTAATGAATACCCTAGGCCTTAGAAGCGTCACCGTGAGTGAACTTGAGGGCCTGTGGAAGTAGTCACGAGGGCTTGCAACGTGTCAGTGATCCCCATGCATGTGAGTCTCTAAATGAGGGTCCATGTACCCAAATAGTATATACTTTGGGCCCAATGTACCTATATGGGGAGTACTTTAATGCCAAAGTGTATACTGTCTGGGTACATGGACCCTTAGGGTTACATCTCCGACAACAAGACACCACGAACCCGTCGAGGAAGACGTGCTTCCCAGAGCTCAAGTACCTGGATGGCGACGACCCCGGCGTCCCAGAGCCGCTTGCCGGGAGCAACCGAGGTGTGGCCTATACCGTAACCCGAACTCCTAAACCCTACACCCGAAACCAAAACTCCTGAACCTTAAACCCACAAGCGTCTAAGCTTGTTGGTCCTGAGCTGCGGATGCGAATTCCAGGGCAGTGTTTAAGGTTCAGGAGTTGGGGTCTAAGGTTCATCGAGATTCAAATGTTGGCTCTTCATAAATTTAGCTTCTCGGGCTGGGTTGTTTGGGACTTGAAATTTCGAGCTTCAGACTGAGGTTCGAGGCTCAGAGGTTAGGGTCTAATCTGAAGGGTTGCGAGGTTGACACTCGGGGGTTCAGAGCTGAGAGATTGTTCCAGTCTTAGGCGCTTCGGGTTCGAATCTCAGGTCATTTGAGGGACTTAAGGGTGCTGGGTTAAGGGTTAAGGGTTTCCATCAGCTTCAAAATACCAACATCATTCCAAAATGTATGTCGAAGGTAAAGAGCCAATCAGGTATCCAATAACTCGAGTTTCGTTTGGTTCATATGGTTATGAATTATGAGCGTCCTTGACGAAGTCCCAAGCCAAGGAACTCTCAACACTAATAGGTTCTTGAACACAAAGTTTTGAACCATGAGCCCTAACAGCCCTAACATCTATACTTCTCATCTCGATGTAGCATGGCCCAGCTATACACTCCAAGCCTAAACCCTAAACAGCCCTAAACCTGGTCGACATCGGCCTTGGTTTATGTCGGATGCTGGCAGACATGGAAAAGGAGCTCACGAAGAAACCCAGATTAGAAACCCAAATCCAACCTCCTAGCCACTGAAAACCTAGTCCCTAACCTTACAGAGCAGCCTTGGCCCCAAAAGCTCATGACCGGGGGCCGAAAGTTTAGGGCTTGGGTTTAGGGCATCGGGATCTGCGCTTGTCCCTCAAGCCTAAACCCTCATCTGCATTTTTTGGGGTGAAAACGATTCATGCGAACGATATATTGACTCAGTCAGGCTCCTATACCGCGGTGCAGCTGGCTAAATGCCCTTGGAAGCTGCGAGCTGAAAGGGAGTTTGCGCACAGGCACCTAGAGTGGAGAACCCCCACCTCTCCAAGCGTGTGCACGCTGGTGTGCTGGAAGGAAGTGGGCTTCGTAAGGAGGGCGCCCGGGAGCTGGTGCAGGAAAATGCCACAGCTTTGGCAAAAGATGCAGACGAAGCGGCTCAGCCCATGCTACTTAAAGGGTCATGGGACTTAGTAACTAGGGTTATAATTATGGTAACTATACTTATAATTACTTATATAACCCCAATTAGGGGACTTATAACCCTACTTACTAAGTCCCATGATCCTCCAAGTAGCTTTCGAAGGGAAGCGAGCACTGCCCACAGACGAGGGAACCGTCACGCTTGCTGCACCAAGTGGTTCGAAAAGCGGTGATTCACCGGTACCAGCATGTAGCCAGCTTCGCACGCCAGGACACATGAAACAGATCAGGGCTACCATCGCCGTAGCAGTGACGAGGGATGATCCTCTTATCGGGGGAGACCTCGGTTTCGGACAATCCAGGCGTGAGGCTGCTCCTTATAGCCTACAAGGTAGAGAAGGTAACCTTTAACCTTTTTTGTGTAGTATAGTCCCTATACAATCCCTATATACCCAAAAAGGTTAACCTTTAGTTCCCAATGATACCCGACAAGTAGGATAGGGTCAGCGAAGAAGCTTCGCAACGAGAAGCCCCCGAACTCAGGCCCGAACCATCCGGATGCATCTCATAGTTTGTAGGACCCCTCTCGAAGTGGCATTGGAGTGTTACTGTCAGTCTCGCACCGCCGCACCCATCGAAGAGATTCTCCCGAGGTGATGCACAGCGTAGGGTTTACACTTGCCTGCGGCGCGATGTTCTTCTTCTTCTTCTGAATAAGTGGATCAGGGTTGGGAGATGCTAGACGCCACAAGTTAAACACGATTGGATTATATGATGGCATGATACGGTTTCTCAGCCCGCAACCCTAAAGCACTGCTTTTCATAGCTCAGGCTTCGGAAGCGCACGCTGTGCACCATGCTCTGCATCTATTGGCTGCTGGGCGGGGTTAAGGTTTAGGTTTAAGGGTTCGGCAGTTTGCTTCGGGACACAAGTGCTCGGATTTAATACGTTCTACGTTCAAAGCATGGATGGGGACACTCATGTTCCAAGTTTCTTTATCCTGCTTTATAGTCTCCAGTGTATTTCTTGCTGAGAATAGATCGGAAGACCTCGAGCCCGAAAATCCAAACTCCCACAAACCCACAAGAAAAGCAGACGCAGAACACGCCTAAGACCCTAAACATTTGCAGCGTGAAGGAAGCCCGTAGTTTTAAGCCCTAAATCCTTGTAATCCCCATGCCCAAACCGAGCACTTACTTAAACCAAAACCCTATAAGCTTCAAATCCTTGGAATCCCTGAAAGGATCGCCATAAGCTGTAAATCCTTTTAACTCCTGAAAGGAAAACCCTAAGCTTTATAAATCCTTGGAATACCTTAAAGGAGCGCCATAAGCATAACCCTAAAGGTCCATGTACTCATATAGTATATACATTACCTTAAAGTACTCCCTACCTTAACTTACCAAACCGGTCCCTAAACTCCATATTAGGGTTCATAATAAGAACCTACAAAAAAGTAGGGTTTGGTAGGTTAGGGTATATAGGTACATTGGGCCACCCTGAGGGTCAGCTTTTGCATCAAGGCTCGCTGGCGACCGTCACGAGGAGTTCATCCGCGGGCAGGCTGTCGCCAGCCAGCTTCAGGCTCTGGAGCTTCTGGGTGCTTGAAGGTTAGGGCTTTACACAGCAATGCCAAGGGTTCTTTTTTGTGGAATTTCGTGGCGTTTAGAGTTAGAAAGTGATTACAATTGTTCTTTCTGGACTTTGAGTGCGTATATAGTGGCTTTGCGGGGTTCCATCGGGTTTGAGAGGCATTTTGCGAGGGTTTGACAGCCATATTGTCTTGGTTTATTCCGAGTAGTAGAGTAGATAACCTTCAACCTTTTTTGGGTAGTATAGTCCCTATATAATCCCTCTATAACCAAAAAGGTTAACCTTTAGTTCCCCATGATACCCGACAAGTAGGTATTGGGGTTCATGAATGTGGGTTCAGAAAGCAAGGGCAGCGTTCAGGGGTTCAGATAACCGTAAACCCTAAACCCCTTCATGGTGTAGGGCTTTGGGGAGCTTTGTCGGGCTACGTAACGTTGTAAAAGCTAAGCAGCTAAGCCCTATATCATATCCATAGCAACAAGAAGTCATAACTAAGCCATAAACCCTCCTAGCCCCAAGTCTAGATCCTGTATAGCCTATGTAGGATTCAGGGTTTTTGGGGGTTGGGGTTTAGGGTTCACCATTTTGGCTCAAGCATCTCAGAATTTCAGTCCCTCTCAAGGATGTTGCCACCACCACCCACCCGAACACTGTCGCGCTCTTGCAAGGTATCCTTGGCAACACACTTCAGAACGCAAATATGCTTCGGGAGCTGCTACGAAGGGTTTGTCCTAAAGCAGCTCCAAAGCATAATGCCATGGGTAATGATTTGGGCAAAGCTCTGCAGGCTGCGGATGCGGTGAATGGCGACCAGCAGCAGAACCAGTTCCCACCGATTCCACCGCCAGGTGCAGCCGGAATCCCCTTCCCGCACATTCCTGGGTGGTCGAGCCAGCAAGGACATGTTGGAACACCCCAGCAAGGACAGGCGACACAGCAATGGGATGGCAAGCAAGGCCAACAGTGGCCACAGTGGAAGTCGCAGAAGCATAAGCAGAAGAACACATGAGGGGACCCCAGAGAGCCCAATACCCCTTAATTAAGGAATATGGCTTAAATTATACAGGGCTTCATATTACGATCTAAGCTATATTGCTTAATTAAGGGGTATTGGGCTCTCTGGGACAGTCAGGGCGGTGGCCGACAGCAGTGGCAGGCCGCACATCACCAAAAGCCAAGGCTCCTGCTGCGGTTCCACGGCGATGGTATCTTTCTTAGGGTTTAGGGTTTTAGGGTTTTTAGGGTATAGGGTTTTGGGGGTTTAGGGTTTGGGTTTAGGGTTTGAGGGTTTAGAGGGTTTAGGTCTTCGCGCGACAGAGCCCAAGCCCCTGAACCCTGTGCTTGCTCTGAGCCGGACATGTCGTGTTGCAGCGCATCCCACCGCCAAGCAAGACGTACGTCAGACCCAACATACTTGGAGGGTCGCGGGACTTAGTAAGTAGTTGTTCTATAGACTTATAAGTACCATAACCCAAACTTACTACCTACTTACTAAGTCCCCCGACCCTCCAAGTATCCTGTTTCGGGTTTACAGGATATAAGCCCGATCTCTTACACCTGGCCGCGCAGCCCTAAACTAGAGACCCCAAAAGCCCATAAGCAAAAGCATCTTATAGGGATCTCCCTACCTTATTGGGCTTCATTATAAGGGGGGCTATATGGGATATCCGTATCCTTATTTTTGCTTATTAATTACCTTTTATGGCGCCCTACTATAAGCCCTCTAATTCCAATTTCCCTTGAGAGGAAAGCTCCTGGCAGTGGATTCAGCAGTGGATTTCCCCAATGCACCTCAGCGATGGGTTAAGCTTGAGGGCTTCACGGGGTTGAGCAGATCCCTGAGGTTGCATGTACCTAGCCCTAAGACTCCATGTGCCCATGTAGTAGACACTTAGGCCTTAAAGGTGTCCCTATATGCCTAAGTACCTACTATATGATATTCTGGAGCCTTTGGGTAATCATAGTAGAAGCCAGAAAGTTGGAACATCGATACCCTCATGGCCGTAAGGTAATTATAAAGGATTCCAGCACCAATCATCCTAAACCAATGTTTCAACTTTCTGGGGTTCATTGTATGCAGAATATACTTAGGTTTGAAAGTATCTGCATAGGATCCCCTTTAAGGCCTTATACTATATCGGCACATTGAGCCTTGGGGTAAGCGTTTGAACATGCGCCCCCGCACCGGTTTGCAAGATATACATTTGCCTACTTGAAGTGCCATGCATACGTAGCGCAGAGTCAAAGGCTTTAACCCTGTGTAGCTATGAACCCAAACCGACATCGAAACATACCGAAAGTCATTCGTACGCTTTGCGTTGTCGGGCTCCACCACAGAATTTCAGTCATGGGACATATCTGTCTGTATTATATATGGACCTATGTCTACTCTGCACTGCCGCTTATCAGAAAGCCTCTATCTATCCATCAACTCTGAAGTATTGACAGTTTATATGGATCCCTACAAAGCATTGTATAGAAACACCGGAAAACCGGAGGTTACAGCCCGAACAGCAGGTTGTGTCGGTTCCAGGGAGTCGGAGAGATTCAGACTTGCTGAACCCCAGCAGCACCTAAACGGCTCACCCCGTGCAAAACCATTAATAAATGCCGTAGTTAACCTCAAATCCTAAAGCCGAAAAGGAAAACCTTCAAACCTTACCCCCGAGGCCACGGCAGACAGGTCAAGGGCAGCAGGGATGTAGGGATCGGGGTTTTCAGAAGCATTCTTATTCGCTGAGAGTCTATGTGTGTGTATATATATATATGTATATAGATGTACATACATAGGGTTCAGGAGTATCGTAGTTGTTCGATGCTGGTGCTTTGAGGGTTTATCGTCAGCTTTCAGACCTCCAACACTTACAGGCTTTGGAGATTAAAGGGGGGTCTGGAGCTTTGTACATATATAAATATACATGTAATATATATATATATATATATATGTATATATGTGCACATACCAAAGATGTAATGCCAACAGAAACTATTGTTGCTATAACAACACTATACTGATGCTAAGAATACTAACAATAACTATATTGTTGTTATGATTATACTCTTACTTATCATTGTTTTATTACTATTACAGTTAGGTATTTCTGGTAACATTTTTTCTCGTTGGGTTTATTCGTACGTGGAGGGTCGAGGGACTGAGTAAGTAGGTATTAGGTTAAAATGATATACAAATGTAGCAAATACATATCAATATTTTTAAAATCGTATATATATATATATATATATAGATAGATATGCATGAACTTCTTCCTCATTCACTCAGAAACATGCGCATAAGCGTTTATTGGGGGATCTTTGGTCTGGTTGCATGCTGAGGCTGGAGGATCCGGACGTGATGAATGTCGTTTGTGCTGCTGTCCCTGGGCATCAAGCCGGTTACTGTAGGAACCTGATTAAGAAACCCTGGGCCTATAACCCCCAATATTAATAGCATTCATATAAGGAACCCGAATAAAGGCTCAAGGTTTCTTAATCAGGTACCTACTTTACCCGAGCAACCATGAAGAGATGGAATGGGCTAGGTTAGTAATGATAGTGACTGTTGAGATAGCATTTGATTTGGGATTTTGTATTTATGAGAGCCTGGGATTTGAAGCTGTGCAGCCCGAAGGTACTCTGTGAAAGGTTTTCCCATACGGCAACCGCAGGGCCAAGTCACACTCAAAACCTGAAGCCCTAAACCCTAAACAGTAAACCGCAAGCCTACACCAGTAAAGCAAGGTATACAGCAGGTTTTAGGGTGTTGCGCGCCTTGACCTGCTGATGCCAGAGACTAGGTAATAAATGTACTTTAGGTTATCGAAGGATCATGAGGTACCCCGAAGTTTCGGAAGCTCCCAAACACTGCCAAACACTGTCCAGCTCGAGGTCATGGTCAAGGCAGTCTGCCGCATTCCAAAGTTTCAGAAGCAGCAGGCCCCAGGCGGCCCCCCCCTCCGTGCAATAGGGTTTTGGGTTTGGGGTTTAGGGTTTAGGGTAGGGTTTAGGGTGTAGGGTTTAGGGAGATTCGGGTGTTAGGGTGAGGTTCCAAGGGCTCATCACATTTTTAGACTTGTCAACTGAAAGCCCCGCTGCCTAAGCTGCCGGTGCTGTTTTGAATTTGAGCATAAGCGTTTTGTGGGGCTTTCTCTGAGTAAGGTTTCGGGGAATGAGCAGGTTGTGGTGTTGCTCTGCAAGAACCCTAAGCCTAAGGCTCCATGCACCCACATGGTATATACTTGAGCCTTAAGGGGGTTCCTATATAGGTACTTTGAAGCCTAAGTGTATACTATATGGCTACATGGAGCCTTAGGGTAATTATTGCATGTAAAGTAGACTTGGGAAGATCATAGAACCCTCAGGCTCCATGTGCCTATATGGTGTTTCATACTTGGGCCTTAGAGTGCCGATATTACGACCCTTTGAGGGCAGGCCTGGACCCAAGAGAACCTACCTTTTGCGGGTTCCTTGTTATGATTTCCTTATCGAAGTTCTTAAAATGGAAGGTTATTTAGGGTCCAGGTAAGTATACATGGGAACATGGAGCCTCGGGGCAAGGCCCAAGGTGACTGTAAACGAGATTACAGTTGAACTAGAGCCCAAACGGAAGAAGTACGTCCCTAGGAGGCAGTTTGCCAAACTTAGTAAGTTCCTTTCTGGCCCTATACGTAGAGGTATCTAGTCAAAAGCACGTTCTAGTGGGTACCAGAATTGCATAGTAGCTACCCCGCATGTGATCGCCAATGAGCGTCCAACTGCAGGCCTGGGGATGTAATCGAGGCCGCCTGTGACCGAGGGCAAATCCGCAATACCCCAACTCTCCTCCCGAACGACTGCTTGCTGAAACCCGTTCTTCAGGGAAGGCACTGCGCAGAACAAACCCTAATATGACCCCCCAAAACCCCGGTTCTGATGTTTCAGGCCCCCTAGAGTAGACACCCCTTATTTCAAGTAGAAATACTCCAAGCCTTTCCTCCTACGCTAGACCGCTGTGGTAGCCCGTTTAAAAGGGATCCGTAAAGGAGCCCTCAAAGCCTATTCCAATTACTGAGGCCCCCCTGTAGTACGCACAAGTTTCGCCTTCTGTTTGCAAGGCATCCTAGACCTCCGCATCGTGACCGCATTGGAAGGGTGCCTATACTTTGTGGATGCTGTTGTTGCTTTTAGTTTCGAATTTAAGGAGGGTTTTGGGGTGGACTTTCGGATCTAGACCTATGATTAAACAAACACCCACACCGATCCGTGACTTTTTCAGAAGCCTCCAGTGCCCGACAAGCAGCTTTTTTAGGAGTGCACAACATATGCCTTCACCCTGGGTGCACCAACAACCTGACCCAGAGGGTTCATATATACTCCATTATGGAATTGGGTTCCAAAAGACCATCCTTATTATGGTGTTGGGGATCTAATTCCATCATTCTGGTATACATGGACCCTCTGAATATTCATACCTAATCTGGGTTCTTGTCAAGGGGCTTAGTTGAAGTTACCCTGATAGGGATCTGTAGTAAACAATATGGCTTCCTTGTTATGGTATATTGTCCCTTGACAAGAACCCAGTAATCATCACATTCGTGCTCCCAAGGAGGCGATCAATCCATATACCTTGCATCTGTCAGAAAACCAAGTAACTAATTGCTATCATCCTACGCAATCCCCGTAAAACCATGTAAAACCCTCGAATCAGCCGTTCATAGCGATAAGCCCTAACTTCATTTTGTTTACGGTTTAGGTTTTTGAGGGTTTTTGGTTTAGGGTTTAGAGGTTCGGGTACGGGGCTTACGGTTCGAGGGTTTCGGGTTCAGGGCTCAGAGGCTGTGAGGGATTTTTTCTGAATTTTCCTCTTGCGAAACTCTTCAGTCAGGTTTGTGCTGGCGCCCAGCCGCTTAATCTCGTCAAGGCCATGGAAACTGATATAAATAAGTCCGACCCTTCGTGCCTTCACCCCAGATCAGGAAAATCCGGCTTCCGAAGATTTAAATGGGGTGTCGAACAAGGTTGTCGGGTTCCTGATAATGCAGGTATTTGGGCTGCAAGCAAAGGACACAATTGTAGACAGTAGGCCCCCAAAATTCTACAAAACTATGCCTAAACCCTAAACCCTAAACGCTAAGCGCTTGGGCAGGGGTACCAAAAACACCCCAAACGAACCCTAAAGCCCTAAACTCAACCTTTTACCCCAAAAGAGCCTATCAACCCTCAAACCCTGAATCCTAGCTCCTCTGGTTGGCTTGTGTTTTCCCGGCTGAACTCCAACTGTCCAAGCAGACCGAGGCGAGATGCCATGGATCCTAGACCCTTTCCTTTTAAGGGGTCTATAAGAGTCTATAAGGGTAACAGTTACTCTAAGGGTTACCATAAGGATTTAATTTAAGGGCCTCATAAGAGGGGTTTTGAGGCTTCGGGGGTTCAGGATTTACCTCCAAAGGCTTTACCCAGAGGCTTCAAAGTAGTTCGTTTTTGGGGTTCATATATAGTATCCTATAAGGCAATCCCAAAAAGTTAAGGAACTACTATGGGGCCACTGGGTACCTGGACCCTACAGAACCTATCTTTTTAGGGTTCTGTATTATGGTTTCCTTTCATAAGTCCTTAAAATGGTAGGTTATATGTGGGGGCTCAGGTACGGTTTAGGGGACCCTAATGCCTTAAACTAGCCACAAGGCGACGTCATGAAGCACGTGCTGGAGAACTGCCCGAAAGCGTCTCCCTTGGCCGAGGGGCGGGTTTAGGGTTTAGGGCCTTCTCAGTGTAATTTTCGCAAAGCAGAAACGTTATTGAGCTGGTACTGTTCATGGTTAAGCCCTAATGCCCAAACCCTAAGCCCTCTAACCCCCAAGCCGCACACCCCAAGCCCTCCAAACCCTAAGTCTGAACCAGGGGAGAAGATGGACTGGGGGTTCGGGGCTGTTTACAGTATTTCTATCCTGTAGTACCCCGGGGTTTAGGGTTCCCATCTATGTGTTCATACGCGTTCCCTAGGTGCGCATGCTAAGATGCAGGGTTTTGATTGCAGTCAAAAATCAGTTATCATTGCCTTTTCCCCAATCGGATCATGACAAATCCAAGCGCTGACATAGAGTTAGGGTACATAACCTCCGAAGCCCCGTATTAGGCTCGAGGTGTCCCTTGACTTTTGCAGTGACCGAACCTGACACAACCGAACCTGACACAACCATACAATTCCTAACGAGAAAACGACTGAACAAACTTCCGCCTAAAGCCTATAAACCCAACACCCAAGCTCCACGGCCAAAGAGCGATTAGACAAGTTAGCTCCGGATCCAGTATACCCTAAACCTACTTCACTTGGAGGTTCATGGGTAGTTTTAAGTAGGGTTATAAGTAGGGTAACTATACTTATAACCCATCGTAGGGGACTTATAGCCCTACTTATAACTACCCATGAACCTCCAAACAATCCCGACGGGAAAGCACCGAATCAGGTGTTACCATCCTACCAAAGACTGGAAGAGGCTGGAACTGAGACTTTAAAAGGTGTTCTCCTGGCGATGATAAGGCTGAAATATCGGTGCCTGAGTACCTAGTAATAGATCTGTTCACGCGATTGTGCATTGCGATTTCTTGTTGTTTTGGCTCGGGGTTTCCGACTCCTTGCGACAGGATGTAGCGTTTCCATAGTCTGTGGTGTTTGACGGGCGTGGTTGGCGCGGTTCAGAGTTTTAGGGTTTATTCGATTCGGGGTTACAGGCGGTGAGTGTCAGGAGTCTATAGGCTTGCTTGAGCTCTCTTGGATGATGCAGGTGGTACTGCGTTGGCCCGGAAGACGTCGTCTTATAGCCCCGAAGACCTTTCAAGAATCCCATATACACCCCTGTTTAAACAGAATCTATTGAACTCTCCTTTTAAAGCCGTGAAGACTTGCCAAAATCCACATACACCCCTTGTGAAAGTTTTTCCGAACTCTCCTTAGGCGGAACACGGCAGGGACACCCTTCACTAATCCATGATTGAACTCTCCTTAGGCAGAACACAGCAGGGAGATGCCACCTGCTTCCAAAAAGAGTCCGAGGATGATCGGCACCAGCTCGCAGAGTGCTTAAGCCGGGGTGCTCAGACGTGGTGCCTCGAGGCTTGGGTTCAGGTTGGAGGGCTTTTGGAGTTATGTAGCGTGAAAGTGTTGGCTTTTAATTTTGCGGATATGGTTTCAGGTTCTGCTCCAGAGATTTGCGTTGCGGTGTCACGATTTTCGGTTTCAGGGTTGGGGTTTCGGCGCTGCGCTGCATTTTCTACAACATGTACATGTAAACTATTCATAGTTTGTGATGCTTGCGCGGGTGGTGCAGCAGGACGGCGCATGTTCGCAAGTCTCTGACTGTTTGGTTTCGGAAGGGACCTGATACAGAGCCGAGATGGTTTGCACTTAAGACCGCTTCAGTGTATTCCCTGGTCGATTCGCCGGGTGTTCTTGAGAATGAGATCCTCGCGACTCGCGCTCGCCGTTCTAACAACCGTTTCCGGAGCATTCGAAGGCCGCCCAAAGCAGCACGGTTTTAGACTGACCTGTGACGAAACCCGAAACCCCCTGAGTAAGGCCTCAGGAATTACCCGAAACTGCAATCGCAAATGCGGCCTGCAAGCTGAATCTAATCTGAAGAATCTTGGATCATGTTGGGGCGGTTTAGGTTTATATGTTCTTCAAAGTGCCTCGTGCCCTAGACCAGCCCAGCAACCCCAAAAACCCCCAAAAAGCCCAAGCCCTAAATCCAAGTATCAAGCTGTTACAGACTTGGGCTCTCAACAATGGGCCGAAGTCCCACAGCACTCCCATTCCTAAGCTTGCAGACCCTACATAGCAGTATCTGTCGCAGAAGGCCCCTTGAAGAAGGTACCCCGACCTTCACAACTCCCCCTGTTTACGAACTTGCGAAGCCTTCAAGAAGAAGCCTTGACTTACAACAGTCCGGTTTCTAGTTGGACCCTAGTAGGGCCTGCTTTTCTTAGTATGGGGTGTATCAATCAACTTTGCGAAAGGATTCGAAGTCTCACGACGGCTTTTTATTCAAGCACCCTCAGGGTCCATGTACTCATATAGTATATACATTGGCCCTAAAGTACTCCCTGTATAGGTACATTGGGCCCAAAGTCTATGCTATATGGGTACATGGACCCTTTGGGGCAGTTCACTCAGGCCATGACATTGAGCTGGAGCGCTTGGTGAATGCGGAGAGCTGCCCTGCCGTTGCCCCAGCTTCGGGCCGTCAGCGAGTGCGGGGCGGCGCGCCGCTTATATAGGGGTGCTATTCCTTTAGGGCCTTACGGCCTTACCGACTCCAAGTACGCAGATAATCCTACTTGAGGGTCTTCAGTCTATAGGCAGTAGCCACTTTGGGCTACTTGGTAGCTTTCGGGTTTGGATATAATTCTATTGCAATACACCCAGTGCCCCAGGCTGATTATCACTGTAACGCCCTTGTCTTACACCAACTGTTCTTGGATGTTCTGAGAAGGGGAAGTACCATCGAATGAACACGTACTCGGATATGCCTGCTCTGGAGGAGGTCACTTGAGCCCAACACTCGGGGATTCGTTGGAGATATTCAAGAGTTAATGTTAGGATGTAAGATTTTGGGTGGCGGCTCCAGCACCCTGTACCTATAGTCTCCATTGTAGTTCCTTGTTTCGGCTAACCAAAATCTCTATTATAAGGTCCTAACCATAAAAGCTGTTAACCAAAAGAAGGAACTACAATGGAGACTATAGGTAGTATGCGAGATTCCCTAAAGCAAAGTTTTTTGTTTTGTGGGCATTGGGATCCTCGGGTCAGATCCGATGCCGATCCCGTTTATCAGAGGCTTCAGCCACGTCTAATACTGTTCTCTGGGGATACTAATGTGTGCATATGTATATATGTATATATATATATATACATACATACATATACATATATATATATATATATACGCATATAATATATATGTGTAGATGTATATATATATATATATATATATATGCATATATGATATGTGTGCATGTGTATCGAGCCCTTGTCCAAACGGACCCTGGAAGACCCGTAAGGAGCCCTTGTAAACCCATTGTACCGCTATACATCCCGTCTAAAGCCCCCAAACGCTTTGAAAAGCCTCAACAAATAATATCCAAGCCCGAAGCGCTAGATCCTAAGCTGCTTGAAGGCTGGCTTGGGAGTGGTCAGAGAGCTGGTGCAACTCTCGCGGGATGCGCCGGAGGTGCACGCAGCCGTTGGCTCTAGGGCTGTAGGCTTGGCATGCAGGGTTTTGGGTCAAGGGTCCTTGAGATCAATAGTTGGGGCCTTTGGGTTTAGAATTCGGGCTGAGGGCTTTGTGTTCGATGCGTTTGTATTAGTTCGGTAATGTTTAGACTGTGCATTTAGTAAGGCTAGATAAAACGGTCACCGGGACCGCACTTCATTGACGTTGCCTGGGGGTTTCAGAAGTTACTGTAGACTTAGATTGGCTTCAAGATCACCTAAACTTAGACCCTGAACACCACTTGAACGCTTCCAAACCTAAAACCCAGAATGCAATAAGTCCGAAGCACTCAACCCATGATCTTCAGTGATATCCTTATTGTTTACGGTTTGGCTTTCTGGGTTCCTATTATAGTACCACTACTTCAGCAAGTATATAGCCCGGGTGCGGGACACCAACGACCGGGCGGTAATCTACAACGTCGAGCAATTCCTCGAGAAGTGCGACCCGGGCCAGTTGGCGGCACATTCGCACACTGGTGGAGGCCAAGGTCGCAGGGGGCGGAGGAAGATGTGCCGGATGGGGCTCCCATAGCCCGGACCTATGCTGGCATCGCTCGATGATTCAGGAATGTGAGCGGAAGTATGCAAGTGGAGGAGGACCTCCTGGGCTTGGATGCCCGCCACAGCAAGTACAATTTGCTTACGGTGGAGCACTTGAAGCACCTGCTGCGGGAGGTGGAGATTCCGGAAAGTGGAGAAGTTCCAGACGAAGCAGGTCCTCTTGAAGTTGTTGGTCTTCCTCACCCACATGGATGTGAAGAGCGCCTTGTCCCTTGTTCCTAGTGGGTTACTGAACAGCCTAGGAACCATACTGAACTCCGTTAACCCTGAAGCCGAGAAACTGTGCCCGTCTTCGTACCGTCAGCAAACCAAGGCCATAGACCATGTCCCTAAGGGTCCAGGCAGTCCTTTTATATGGGTTTGATATCTAGAATGACACCAAACCCCCATAATAAGGAGTACTTGGACATTAGCGTGTGTGTAATTGACACCCAGGATATGTGCAAAGTCCAAGTGGCACTCTGGCTAAGTTTGGGTTTTGTCTACCCCTGAACCCCAAGCCTTAAATCCTAGACCTTAAATCCCATTGTTGCAGGGCATTAAGGCTACTATAGGGGCCTCAATAACTACTCAGACTATTTTGGGGGTTCCTTTTTCTGATTGTGCCTCAATAACTACTCAGACTATTTTGGGGGTTCCTTTTTCTGATTGTAGTATAGTATACCATCCCCCAAAACAAACGTATTCTAATTAATTAGTCAGCCCCCCCGCTCCATGCTAGAACCCAGAAGCAGAGTCCGGAGGTGGCGACGCGACGATCCTTTGACTCATTGTCGCTGCTGCTATGGTCTTCATTCCTCGATCTCGCAGGCCCGTAAACACAAAGGTTTTGGATGGTTTCGGGGTTACTTGGAGGGTCGGGGGATTTAGTAAGTCGGTACTTAATAAGTAGACTTATAGGTACCCGAAAAGGGATCCGAATTGGGGTTATAGTACTTGTAAGTCTCCAAGATATCTAGTTACCAAGTCCCCCGACACTCCACGTAGGGTAAAGGGTATGTTCCTTAATTCCCTTAGATGACCCTTAGAGACTCCTTTAAGGAACCCTGTAAGCCTTTAAGGAACCCTTTAAGGTAAACCTTTTAATCAAGGGGTGTTTCGAGCCCTTTGGGCTTAGGGCAAGACTTCGGGTATATAGACACCTTGTACCTACTTACCGCATTACTTTGGAGCTACAGTCGAAGAGTTCGATAACGAGTAGGGTTAGCTTGCGGGTTCCCGGCTTGTTGTGTCACTTCTTGTGAATAGTTCTTGCTACAGGCTACCCATTGGCTCCATCGTAGTTCCTTTTTGGGGTTCATATTCAGAATCCTATAGGGTAATCTCAAACAGGAACTACTACGCAGCCTATGGGTAATTATAAAATCAAAAATGCTCCGGGCTTAATGGTTTGGATCACGGTTGATGCCCTGGGGGCATTTACCCTACAATACTGTCATCCGAAGACATCACTTCGACAAACTGCACGCTTGCTGCTGATGTTGCTGGTACTATACGATGCGGACTGAAATGGCAACGTGCCTGAGCGACCACTACGACGACTACGACCCCATTACTTTCACAACCACCACCACCACTACCACCAGCAACCTTACAATCGGGGAGTAAAGAAAAGCAGAACAGCAATAATACACTAATAAGAACGGGCTTTTAGATGAGCACATATGCTACGGGTCAAACGATACTGTTGATGTGTACACACATACCCTGGTAACAAGAAGCCCCCTCTGATTTTCGGGTTGCTCTCCAGCAACGAACGAATCCTCACCAGTGGTAATGCAGGAATGTGTTCATGAGCAGTATGATGTGCCAGGTTCCATGGGGAACGAGAGTCAGGAGGGATCCTTCTACATGACGGAGGCAGTGCACAGGGCATTGGTGGCTCGGTTCTGGGCCAGTTAAAGGGTCATTGCTACCAGAGTTGTGCACTGATTTTGAGACCCGACAAAAGCAGACGGTGGTTTCGAGAAGGCCACATATTCATGAGGCTCAGGTTTAGTAACAGCGCTTGTGTAAGATGTGCTTCCGCCGTGGAGTAAGCGGCCTTAAGGGGTTGAAGGCTTCGTGCATGTGCTTTGTCTCATCTTATTGTGGGATGTGAGTTTGTTTTCTTTTGAGGTCGGGGTGCGGCATGTGTATTGAATGCATCCTGAGGTAGTGCAGGCGTTCGTTAGGTTGGTGGGAAAGGGCTTGGCAGTTGGTGGTCGTGGTATGACGTGGTATGACCTTTGGGTTTGCGTCCCTTGCTTGGGAGTGCCAACCTGAAGGACCAAATGACCCTTAAAAGTAGGGGCCCTATACATCCATATAGTATGAATCCCTATAATGGTATATGAACCTTAAACCCTTTTAGGGTTCATTTCGTCCTTAAGGAATTTCGTGTGGTTGGAGGATTCACGGGCCACACAGCATCGTGCCGAAGTCCAGGCTTCTGCAACTGTCTTCCTCGTAAAAAGAAGCCGAGCATGTAGGCTTCTCGAACAGGCGTGCGAAGGTAATCATGAACCCAAGAACCTAAACCCTACACCCTATAAGCCCGAAACCCTAAACCCTAAACCAAAACCCTAACGCCCAAACCTTGCACCCTTATCATGAGGCGCAAGGGAAATCGTATCTTTCCTATCCGTTCGTGCGGGCTTGTGGCATTTGGTTTGGGACATTTTGTATGTTTCCCTTAAGAGGATACATTGTTTTCGCACATGTTCAGTGGCTTTCAAGGGTCATCCTATCGATTTTCTTCTGCCACAAAAGGCGTTTACCGCAGAGATAATCACCCTGAAAGGGTAGGCTCCGTAAACAGCCTGAACACGCCGCAACCCCCAAACCCATTTCCGCCTTTGCCCCTAGAACTCCCTTAAGGATAAGCCCTCATAGCCACATAGAGCCCTTGCCCTACCTTCGACCCCATAGAAACACTCATAGAGCCCTTTGCTGACCCCAACAAATCTCAGGTGCTCTTACTGAATCGCTGGAGCACCACGTGGGTAGGGCCATTCGAGTTTTTGCTTCGGGGGTTGCTTCCAGAGGCTGTATCAGTAGTTCATAAAGAAACCCCCAAACCCTGAACCCCAAAATCCTATAGGATCCATCGAGCCCCGGCCAGGAAAGATATCAGAAGATCTTCATTGCGCAGGATGCCACCGCTAGGATTCAGGGATTAGGATCTGAGTGTTTCGGTTTAGAGTATATGGTTCGTGGGTTCAGGGTTTCGGGTTTACAGGTCCAGGGTTGAGTGAGAACCTGCCAGAGTTCTGATTGTCCTTGCTCTCGAGTTGATGTTGCAGGCTTTTTGTCTTATTGGCTGTAGGCTGCAGACTCAACTTTTCAAGTTTTGGGGTTCTTATAAGGTAGTGGGTTCTGACAGTTTCAACTTTTCTGTCCTAGGGTTTTGGGCCAGTCAGTTGTTCGTAGGTGCTTTGTAAGGGCACTTAAGGCTGTAAGGATGTCCAGGATTGTGTATTTGGTGTTTCCTTTACGGGGTTGATATGGGTGTCTCGGTATCTCTTGGATCTTGTTAGAGTCTACGGCATATATGGTCTACAGATAATTCTGGAGGGTTTTATGCAGGATCTTCATACAGAGCAGTGGCAGCTTGCTCAGGGGTCTTTATGTAATGCAACCTGCCCTCCAGGGTCTGGAGCAGTCCCGATTTTTTGTAACTCCCCAGAGACTCCAAAACCCCTTAATTAAGGAATATACCTTAAATCATATTAGGGATCCTCTTATAAGTTAAGGTATATTCCCTAATTAAGGGGTTTTGGAGTCTGGGTCCCAGATCTGCGTAGAGTTCAGGCTATGTGGATTTTGCGCTGTCTGTCTAAGCCCCAACCCCAAACCAAAGCTTCAAAGAGACCAGGAGACTGAAATGATGGGGCTGCCGAGGTGCAGTGCCCCAAAAGACCACGCAGCTCCGCAGAGGAAGCGGCTTACGCGGAAGGGGTCTGCTTCACAGTTGGACGGCCTAGAGGCTATGCATGCTGTAATGTCCCCCGACGAAGACAAGACTGATGGGCGCTATGTCGAAGATGGCCAGGACAAACCCTAAGGGTCCATGTACCCATATAGCATATACTTTGGGCCCAATGTACCTTTTTAGGGAGTACTTTAAGGCCAATGTATATACTATATGAGTACATGGACACTTAGGGTAATGTCCCACGACGAAAACAAGAATGATGGGCGCTATGTCGAAGATGGCCAGGACAAAGAAAGAATCCAAGAGGCCTGTCGACACAGCTGCTCCGGTCATTCCAGATGCCGGATGCCTTAGAAGTCTTAATAGTACACTTTTCAGTCAATCCATACCGTTTTTGCGCTAAGATGTACAGCTCAGCACAGAGACAAGCTGTGCAGATATATATATATATATATATATATATATATATATATAGCAAATCCTGAAACTGGCCCCAAGCAGTTCTGGCCTAGACTTACCAAAAGACACCTAAATCCTAAACCCTAAACCCCTTCTCCAGGAGAGCTTGCAGAAGATGCGAAGTGACAGCTGCAGTGAGACGGAGGCCCATGTGCCCGACAACGTGCTGAGGGTTGGGGTTTCGGGGCTGTGGGATCTTTGTCTGTTTTGTTTTTAAGTTAAAGGGTTTTAATGTAAGCTATCATGTAAGGAGACCATGTTTTTGTTTGTTAGAGATCCCTGAAATGGTAACTTAAATGAAATCCCTGAACAATTATCGCTTTATAGGGTTTAGGTTTTACAGTGTTTAGGGTTGGGGGGCAAGGGAGTTTATGGTGTGGGGTTAATGCCATAGGGTGTTGAGATGGATGCCTGGTTATGACCGACCGACGGCAGGACTAGGCGTCATGGCTTTACGGTTTCGGTAGTGCTTTTGTTGTATGTCCACGGTGGGTTTGGGCTGCGCAGGCTTCACGCTTAAGGTAATCAAGTAGACTAAGTAGACGATAGAGACGGACTCACTTTGTGCCGTTCAAGCAAGTTGTCTGAGACCAACGAGTGCGCAACATGTTCAACTAATTTCTCCTGTATGGTTTCACTTGAATAACTGTTTGTAACAAGACATAAGATTTATAGGTCCTAGGTCACGAGTACAACTTGCCTCAAGCCGTGTCAGGCAGCGCCACAAACTTGCTACAAGTATCATTTACCAAGAGCACGGTTACCTACATGGTAGGCCGCTGTTCTTGAAAAAGGCCTTACAAGAACTAACCCTTTAGAACCCACAACCGACTCGGAGGGTGTCGGGGAACTTAGTAAGTAGTTATTCTGTAGGCTTCCAAGTACCATAACCAAAATTAGGGTCCCTTTAGGGTACTTATAAGTCTACTTACTACCTATACTTACTAAGTCCCCCGACCCTCCAAGCAGCAACACACTATTCTGCGTCAGTTCTGTATCAGAACACAGGAGATCCAATCCCGGGGCTCCGCGTTTAGGTTTTCGAGGCCGAGTTTAGGGTGGATAGGGTTTAGGGCCTCCCGTCTAGGATCCAGAGGGTTCAGAGGTTAGGGTCTGTGGATGCAGGATTATGGTTTAGAGACCTTTTTGGGGCATTGCAGCATTGTCGGCAAAAAAGGGAAGGAGCCGGACTGTCCGAAGGCATCCGCAAACCTAAGAAACCAAGCAATTCGCGAAGCCATACGCTGCCCAAGCACCGGTCAACGCAGCATCACACCCGCACACACAATCATGCCAAAGCTAAAGCCTCACAAGCCAGAAACCATCTGAGATCGAAGCCGTGCACGTTTTCCTAGCCTTGTGCAGCGCAAGGAGCAGTTTGGGTTTTACCGAACTACACCCGTTTGTAAGGCTGAGCTCGCACCACGACGGAATATAGCATCCTGCGGAAGGTACTTGGCATGGTCGTACTGCTGATGGACGAAGCCCTGCATGACCTTGCCCTAAGGGTCCATGTATTCATATTATATGAGTATACATTGACCTTACAGTACTGGTATAAGGATTACTTTCAGCATTAAGTCCAAGGGTAAAAGGAGGGACCCTTAAAAAGGACCCCTAGGTATATACCCTTAATATAGCTATTATTATATACCCATTATATAGCCCATTATAGGGTAGGGGTCCCCATTAAGGGTCCCTCCTTTTCCCCTTTGATTAATGATCAAGCATGTACTATATCAGACGTGAACCCTTAGGGTTGAGTACCCTCGAAGATGACAACCATGGCCATGTGTTCCTCATGATGGCCAGTGTAGGATACTTATTTATCCATCAGCAGTATATATCAGACCAAACCCGAAGCCTGAAAACTTTGAATCCGAAGCACAAAGCACTTAACTCTAAAGCCTTGAACCCCAAATTACAAACTCTAGACACGAAGCCCTACTTAGTAGATGTCCCGCCGACTAGCAGGTTTACGACTTCCTCCTTGAAAAACGGGTGGAGGTGCCTATATCAGGTTTCTGGATGACGGGGTTCCGAAATACTGCTAATAACAATATCAATGACAATAGTAATGAAGGTTTTCATAGTGTCTTGTAGCTTTAGGGCTATTGGGTTTCCTATGTTTGTTTCTTGAGGTTTCATAGGGTTGCAGGGGATTTTTCGCTGGCTGAGCAGTGTTGCCTAATCGATTAGGTATTTAGTGTTTTAATCAGGGGCCCCTTTTTCTCTGAACCCCCCCCCCTAAACCTAAATTAAACCAGGACTTGCACATACAAGGTCTGTAGGTCTAAATTTGGGGTTTAGGGCTTCGGTTACAGTCTTGATTTGGAGGCTTCTGTTCTGACAACTATCCAGTACTGTTTAGGTTCCTGATCTCTGGCTTTTGCTTTGGGCGGGCCGGGGTCCCAAGCTAAACCTGAACCCTCGACATTAACATCGGTTTCTCATCCAAGGCTTGTTGTGTTTGGTTTGCAAACCCTAAACCCTACACCCTAAACCGTCTGGGCTAGTCCCCGAGGTGTAGGATTGTACTAAGCGAGGTGGCATTTTGGGAAACTTCTTAATTCCACTTCATGGTCCCTATAGAGGTACCTATTCATAAATACTTTTCAGGGCCCCAAAACGACAACTAAGTAAGCTCTGTTCAAGGGAAGTCCAACCTTGCAAGAGCACAGCATGTGCTAGTGCTTACCCTAAGGCCCCAAAGTAGTTCCTTTTGGGGGCTCGTATAAAGAATCCTATTACGTAGGTAATCCCCAAAAGGAACTACTTTGGGGCCTATGGGTAGGGCCGTGAAGGTGGAAAACATGCCTGGCACGAAGTTCCTCATAGCGGATGGGGACATCGGGCAAGTCCTACCATTGATGGGCGTTGCACGTGTAGAAGACCTTATTAGAAAACCCTGCCTTACCCAGGACACGGGGTCAAAGGGCAAAGCAAGAAAGACGCCATGTTTGGCTTGGCCGAGGAGTTTCACCCTCCCGAGGGTGTGAAGAACAAGTTCAGTGACACTGAAGAAGACCACGATCGTCGAAGGCGATGGGACACAACATGCTCACAGCCATTCAGGCAGCCACGATACACCCGGCTCTTTGCGCCAGGCATCTTACCGTCGTCTCTCCGGTAAGATCATCCCACCGCGGTGTCCAAGTGCCGAAATAGTAAGAAGTTAGTCGCCACACAAAATCGGTTATGAGTGCGATAGTTGAGCTTAAAGGCCTGCTATTTGAGTGCTCGGGCCTTTACCCTAAATCCAAAACTGCAAGGCTTAAGCCCTAATCCAAGTCTGCACGCTTTCCGGGTACGGGGTTCGCCGTAAAGCGAGCGCGAAGTGCACTCTACTTGGAGGGTCGGGGGACTTAGTAAGTAGGTAATAAGTAGAGTTATAAATACCCTAAAATGGGATCCTAATTGGCGTTATGGTACTTATAAGTTTCCCAGTGACTAAGTCCCCCGACCCTCCAAGTAGGGATTCCAGAGCTCCGAGTATATCGAAGGAGGGTTGATGGGTCAGGCGATTCTCAAACTGGAGTCTTAGGTCGAGAGTAGGTATAAGGGGTTTAGGGCATTAGGGGTTTAGGGCTGAACATAATCGAGTTTAGAGTAGGGGCGGTGACCTCTGGACCAGTACTTGGAGGGTCGGGGGACTTAGTAAGTAGGTAATAAGTAGAGTTATAAGTACCCTAAAAGGGATCCTAATTGGGTTATGGTACTTATAAGTCTCTAAAATATCCAGTTCCTTAGTCCCCCGACCCTCCAAGTAAGTCCTACATCCTAAGGCCCTGACTGATGCCCGTACCCTCGGGCTCAGCATCGCCCAAGCCCTAAGGCTCCAAAGGACCCAATCATAAGGTATTTGGGTATAGGATAGGAGCTATGTAGGTAGATATTTTGGGAGAGTATATGATTATTAGGTACTTGGACCCCTGGGGAAGAGACTTGTTTTGCTCCGTCGTTGGACCCAAAAACCTTGCATTGTGAACGTGTAGAGACTGCCAAGCGCCGGGTCCTAAGCTTTGAACTGAGTCCTCAGGGTCACGCAACCTATACCCTAAACCCTAAACCCTCTACGCCCTAAACGCTCATTTCGGTTTGTCCGAGCATCCCTCTGGGTAATCTACAGCCACATCTCGGTTTAGGGTGTGTTGGTTTTGGGTTAAGGCTTAACCATGTAGACGAAACGGTAATAGGCAGGGGGCTATGATGGGGTTCTGACTATTCGTGCAGTTTGAAGAAGTGGAGTTGAGTAATCAGAGGTTTACATTAACATTGGGATTTCGTGAGTGTATATAAGTCTCCTTTGAACAGCTTCTTAATCCTAATATAGGGGCTTAAACAATTCCCTATACTAGTTCAGGGCTTCCTTATTATTTTTGTGCAATGTGCCCCAAAACTGCATCCTAAATAATAAGGCCCTTATACTATGCCCGAGAGGCCCTGTACAAGCCCAGGCCCCTCAAAGCCCCAAAAGCTTAAACCCTCAACCCGAAACGCAAACCCTATAGAATCCCCAGTCCCGAACTCCAAAACACAAACCCTAAACCTACAGGACCCTAAGCCCAAAGCCCCCATAACATTTCGGTGAACTTGCCCCCTGCTTCGCAGAAGCACGTGACCTTCGAGCCCGACCCGGAGCCCCGTCGTTTCTTCGAGAGTCTGGGAGTTTGCGAAGATTAGGGTACCTTATTTGGGGGTCCTGATAATAAGGAGCCTACTATTTAGGGTACCATGTTAGGGTCCCCTATTTTCGGAAACTCCCATCTGGTTTGGGTTAGAGGTTCTTGCTTCAGGCTTTAAGGTGGGAGATAGGGCAGGTTCTAGGGTGTAGGACTGAAGCTTTGGGCTTTAGGGTGGGGGCTTAGGCGAAGCCTGAACGCCCAACAGCTCTACACCCAAAGCATAAGTAAGCCCCACACTAGGCCCTAAACCGTAAGCCCAAAGCCTTTAAGCCGAAGCCCATCAGACCCCCCATGATGCGGAAGTCCACATACCTAAACTCTAACCCCCCCTCCGCTTTCGAGCATCCGGAGCAGGAAGGAGGTCGCTTGTCGTAAATACTGGGTAGCAGAGTAGGCATAATCCTTGTTTGTTTGTAGCATGTTCCCTATATCATCCTAAAAGTTAACCTTGAGGTTCCAGGGTACTGGACACACGCTTAGATCCCCAATGCCCAACCTTTAAACTTTTTGGACTCTTAAAGTTTAGTAGGAGTCGGAAAGTTTAACCTTTTATATCTGTGGCTTCTTCGGGGGAGTAAGAATGAGAAAGGCCTTCTTAAGAGCTTCAGATCGATGTAGTCACCTTGGGTTTAAAAGGTTGTATACATGTTTCAGTGGGGTGTGTAAGTTGTCATTGGCATAGAGTTTTGGGATATACGGTCTTATAGCTATCTAGGGGCTACAAGAAAATATGGTTGCGAATCCCCAAGCCCTAACCTCTAAACCCGAAGCCCTAAACACTAAGCCCTACACCCCTAAGCCCTAAGCCGCAAACCCTAAGCCCTAAACCCTAAGCCCTAAGGGCTAAATGGTGCAGAAATAGACAAGTACACCTTCACAATTTTAGCCTCATAGTGCTGCAGAGGGAAAACTACGCCTCGGGCCTCTTCGTGTTATCATCTACTCGGTTAAGTCTGACTACCCATAGGCTCCATAGTAGTTCCTTTTTTGGATTACCCTATAGGATTCTGAGTATGAACCCCAAAAAGGAACTACTATGGAGCCTATGGGTATTAGCAGAGAGGACGATGCAAACCCCCAAAATCTGGCGGGCAAAGTAAAAAATGATGGAGGACGGCCAAACAAGATGCCACATCCTGAATACGCCGCATAGAGGCCCACTTATTTACATCCAGAGCCATTGACCTAAACCCTAAACCCCACGCAAAACTCTGTAAAGCCCAGCTGAGCGTGGATAACCTGTGTGCCCTAAACTCAAGCCTAAAAAGGCCTGAACTTCACAAAAGCCCGTACCCGAAATCCTCGCTGAAGCACTAGAAACCCCAGAACCCTGTACTAAACCCCGAATTATCCTACTCCTGAATCTTAAACCGTAAAAGCCCTAAACCTAAAAACTTGAAACAATCGGAGGAGAGCAAAGCTTGTGCAAGACTCGCCTGCCTGGCAAATATCCGCCCAGCGACCGCAGCGGTTTAGGGTTTACGGGTTAGGGGTTTACCTTGAAGTGTTCCGGGGTTAGGGTTTGGAGGGTGTAAGAATCAGGATTTGCAGGGATTATTAGCGCGTTTGGGTTTTCTAAGACCCTCCCCCTCCCCCCAAAAAAAAGTCTTTAGTAGAGGCCACTACTAAGAACTATCAGGCCTCAGTTACGTAAGGGGTAGTTCAGGGGTGCTGGTTAGGGTTTAGGAGTTTGTGTTGTAGTGTTTAGGGCATACTGGTTTGAGAGCCAGAACCGTTGGATACTCTGTACCTATAAAACTAAATAGATAAATGAATAAGTGAATAACCATATGTGTGTGTATATATATATTTATGTACATATATATATATATATGTATGTATATATATATATATATATATGGTCACCCCCCCCCGTTGACAGACCATGCCCTTTCAACTCAGTCGTCGTGCATGGTCTGTGATCGGGGGAGGGGGCACTGAGCTTTCAAAAACTCAATTCCAAAATTTCCAAAAATCTCTCCCCTAACTTTCCGGATTTCCAAAATTTCCGAAATTTCCAAAATTTCCTAAATTTCCAAAATTACCAAAAAGTCCGCCATTATGTTTTGTAAAAATCCTGTCGACTAGGTCGGGCCGTTTTTGAAATTTTCGAAATTGTGGAAATTTCGGAAATTTTGGAAATTTAGGAAATTTCGAAATTTTCCGGAAATTTCGGAAATTTTGGAACTTCTGGAACTGATTTTCAATGGGCTGATTGTGACCCATCGGATGACAGACCATGCGCTACGACTCACTTGCAAAGGCAAGGTCTGTTTAGACGATTGTCAGTGTTTATATATATACATATACATATGCATATTTTTTTTAAATTGGTACTCCTACGAATACTATTACCAATATTAATACTGACATTGATCATTTGCTGACGGCCCAAGCTAATACCAGCATTAACACTAATATTTACACTGTTTTAGCCAATACGAATAGGCACCATACAAATATTAATAATGATTAGTACTGACGTTCATACTCCTACGCATATAATAATGCCCATATTGGTAGTAGTGTATTTTAATACCAGTACTAATACACACCTGCATATACCAATGTACATAAATATACATACCACTATATTAAAGTACAAATACATTAGCTCATGCATGTATTTATCTGTTAGTATTTTCATGTAATCAGGAGTAGTACTAATATAAGACAAACGTTCATGCGAATACATAACCTCATTTTAATATTAGCACTAGCACTAGCACTATTACTAATACCAATCACACTGTTTATACCAACACCAAGATTTACATAAGTATGGATACTCCTACGGATACTACTGCGTATACTCTTATGCTGTTAACAGTAATGCTGTCACCAATACTAATACTGACATTGGTAACTTGTTGAATATTCAAGATAATGCCAGTATTAATACAATTATTAACACTCATACTAAGGCTAATGCGACTATGGATAATCCTAATACGAATATTAACATTAATACTCCTACGAATACCAATAGTCATATTCATATTGATGTGAGGACTAATACCATTACAAAAGACACGTGGATATATGCTAATGCACACCAGAACACATACCATTATCTTAAACTGCCGATATGTATCAATGCATTCATGTACTGATGTTTTTGGACAAGCATATACCCATATACCAATGTAACAATACACTACTTGTTAATGTGTGAATATACTATACTAGTATGCTATTATACTAGTATGCTACTATACTAGTATACGACTACTGTAATATGCAAGTATACCGACATGGCAGGTTAGTGTACTAATATGATAACATTCTGATATACTTATAAATCTTTAGACAATACACGTATATTGCATATACTAGTATACTAATACACTAATGTACGAATATACCGGCATGTTAATATACGAATATATTAATACAGCAATATACTAGTTTACTCATGCATCAGTTGTACTAAAGTATTAAATCTGCGAATATGCAAGTATACACATATGTTGCCTCTCGAACACATCAATGTATTGATATACTAACCTGCTGATGAACGAAACTATCAGAATAGTAACAAAGCGAACCTCACTCTAATTTTGATACCAATACTAGCACCTCTGCCATTATTAACTGATATTAAACCCAGCATGAAGACTGATACTAATACTAGCAGTGGTACTACTACTGGCATTGACACTGGCACTAACACTAAGACTAAAACGAAGATGAGCACTAACATTAATGTATACTTACTACTGTCGGTATGTACATATATATATATATACACTTACAGTAAACACTAATATTATTGCTGATACTAATACTAATACCAACATCAATACTCACCCTATGTCAATGCTACCACAAAACTCATAACTCACGTGTCGCGCGTCTGGTCCATGCGTCCTCAGTACATGGCATGTTAAAAAACATACTTGGTATATGTACTGTAAAGGATTTGCTTTACAGATTGTCGTCATGTGTGGTGTGTTTAGATACAATATCTCAGCCTAGTCACCGAACGAGAGTACACTATCACAAGGGCATGGTCTGTCAACGGGGGGGGGTGAGCATATATATATATATATATGCGTTGGCCCTGAAGTGCCTATATTATCTTTGGAGGCCAAAGTCAATACTACACGAGTTGAGGCCTTCATAAGTTATGATTAGAGAGGCTGACGGTTGTTATATCTAGGGTTTAGGGGTTTGGGATTCATATGATGTCATGGGGCCTTTATGTTGTAGGGTATAGGCAGGGTTTATGGGAGTTTATGGGTCTTGTAGGTTTTAGGCAGGGTTCCGGGCGAAGGCTTGGAGGGTTCCGCTCTGTGGGGTCGAAGTAGCAATGCGAAGCTGATGCTTGTGCAGGGCTTTAGGGTTTAGGTGACATCCACCCCATGCGGCTCTGGAGGGTAGCACGAAATCGTTGAGAAAGATATCCAAGGGCGGTCTTGTCAGCCATCAACGACTCTTCTTGCGATGCCAGCGGGGACCAACCTTCCACGGAGGACACAAAAAAGAAGACCCACTCTGTGTCTTCCACGGACAAGGGGACCTCAATGGAGGTCAAGCCTTAGCTTTCCTCCGACGACAGCGAGCCCCACGAGGTCAAGTCCAACTCCGGCAGCTACCCGGGGACGAAGTCCAGTCAGAACGCAGGCCTCCCACGAGCTCTACTGGCAAGCAACCACGACTCAACGACCTTCTCATCGCACGGCAATCCGGATGGGTAGTTTGACACCACTCAGGCGCTGTGGTATCCGAGTTGGTGGGGGCATACAGAAATTGACCGCAACACTCGGTGTCGCATGGTGCTTTCCGAAGAACCTCATTAATCAGGGTGAACCTTAAACCCTCAACTCAACCCTAACCTGGAGGGAGCCGTGCCGTGGGATATCGCGGGCGCATAGGAACCTGGGCACCAGTGCGCCTGCTCTCGCAGGTGAGATGACACCCAACAGCACAAACGTCCAAGAGGCATTCCCATGCCAAATCCAGCCAGAACCAATAGAAGCCCATAACACAAACCTCTGAGAGGTTTTCCTTAATTAGCTAAGACCAGCCAGCACCTGCAGAACAAGCTGTTAAAATGTCTCCCGACCACGCCGCCAGGCACATTCAGGCAGGAGTCACAAGACCAAAACTTGCCAAACCGGGGCCCACAGCTCACGCCCAAGTTAGATAGCCAGGCGCCAGAACCTCACAAAACACAACAAGTACCCAAGCAAAGCCCGAATCTTGATAAGATTGAGAAGTGGGTGGTCAGGGTGGGAGGATCCCAGGCGGCACGCCGCCGCGATCTTCCGTAAGGCTCCATGTGCCCATACAGTATATACTAGGGCCTGCGACGGGTTCCTATATAGGTACTTTGAGGCCTAAGTGTATATATGGCTACATGGAGCCTTAGGGCTTGTAGGCTCTTGCGGAGTCCTCAGCTCTAAACTACCGCAAAACAGACAGCAGCTATCCAGGAAGGCTACGTACCAGTATTGTCCAAAGGCCCAGGTTGCTGACGACCCCCCGGTTCACGGTGCTAGCATGCCCAGTAGTACCCTTATTCCCTTTTGTAGTCCTAGGTTCCTTATAAGGTACCCAACACCAAAAAGGGAGCCCTTTTCATTCCTAGGTTACTGGGCATCCTAGGGTAAGTTTAGTTAGACCCTATATCAAGGTTTTGGGTGTAGTGGTTCAAGGTTTGCAGGGGTTACACAAGTTTTCGGGCTTGGGGCTCAGATGTTTCAGGGTTCATCAAAAAAGACCCTCGTCAAGTCCTACACTCCACAGCCTAATTTCGAAACTCTAAGCCCTAACCCAAATCAATCACTGAACCCTGAACAGTCATAAACCTCAAAACCCTCAGAAGTTTGTTAAACGACGCCGGCAATCCAGATCAGGAAACAGCAGCGATGCAGCCGACGTGCGCGAAGCTCTTTGTTCTTCGGAGGCAGGGCTTGGGTCGTAAACTCTTTAAGCCTTTTTCTGAACCCTAGAATCCTCAAACCTCTCAAACGCTGCGACTCAAGCTCTTAACTTATGACAGCTCATGTTCCCATTCCCAGGGTTCCTCGAGATGCATATAAGAGATAATCGCCCCTCAAGCCCTGTTCGGTTCGAATTCTTCAGGCTCTTATTCCAGTGAGCCCAGAGCACGAGAGCACCACGAGAGTTCAGTATAGACCCTAAACCCGAAACTTTAAACCCCCAACCCTAAACCCTGAACCCGAAACCCTGATCCCGAAGCTATGCCGACCTCCAGGGGTCCGGATGTGATGAGGATCATGAAAGGTTCAAGAGTTCCGGAGCTTTCGTCTGAGAAGGGAGAGTGGGAATGCTACGGTTCAGGGCTTTACGCCTCTTTACAAGCAAACCGGTATGTATGTATGTATGTATGTATGTACGCAGTTTCGTTGCTTTGAAGCGTGGCCGGCGGATAAGAGAGGCATAGGGCATTTTGGTAGAGTCGATCGGCAAGGTTTCGCCGTACATGTTTATTTCTGATTCCCGAAGCCTTCAACTTTAATTAAGCCCTGTCCTACTGGCAGGGTTGCCCCTAAACCCTAAACCGTCGTTCAGCAGCGTTCATGGTGCCTGTGCCCCACATGGTGTCAGGTGCTGAAGACGCCCGAGGAGCGTGCGCGGATGGTCAGGCATCGAGCAGCCAAATGGGGGTTTCCGAAAATAGGGGACCCATATATACTGCCCTAAATAATAGGATCCTTGTTATAAGGACCCCAAAATAAGGTACCCCTATTTTCGGAAACTTCCAAATTACCTCAGTGTTGTTGGGTTTCAGGTTTTCAGGGTCCGGGACTCAAAGAGCAAAAACATGTTTTTAAGACTTTTTGCTGTTTGTTGGGTTTCAGGTTTCAGGGTCCGGGCTTCAGAGTTTTGAGCGTTGTGGATTTAGCGTGTGGGGCATTAAGTTTACCTTAACCCTGAAGAACCTACCGTTTTAAGGACTCATATAAGGAAATCATAATAAGGAACCCCAAAACGGTACGTTCTTCAGGTTGAAGTATCAATGGTTTGAGGGTTGAAAGGTTTTAGTGGCACTGTAATGACGTTGGGATCCTTTGGGATTTCAGGCTTTGGGTCGGGAGGGGGGACGAGTAACCTTAGGGAAACTTAGAAATATTTTTTAACTTTTGGTTATTATAATCCTAAGAAACAGCTAAAACTATATTTTTTGCTGGGGTTCTAAGTTCAGTATAGTAGCTGCAAGATGCAAAGCGGTTGACGTAAACCGCAAGAGTGAATGCAGAAGTATTCGCAGCAGCTGCAACAGCAACAGCAAGTAACGAGAGCAACAGCAACAGCAGCAGCAGCAGCAGCAGCAGCAGCAGCAGCAGCAGCAGCAGCAGCAGCAACGGCAACAGCAACAGCAATAGCAACAGCCGCAACACCACCACCACCACCACCACCACCAACAACAACAACAACAACAACAACAACAAGAACAACAACAACGACAACGACAACGACCATGACAGCAGCAGCAGCAGCAGCAGCAGCAGCAACAACAACAACAACACTAAACCATACTAAACCTTCATGCCCTAAGCCTGGAGCCTTCTAGTCTGCAAACTCATATGAGCCCTTTGACTTTGAACCTCAACCCCTACAACTAAGCCTTACATCTGCAACCATCAACGAACAGAAAGCATCACGTGCAGGTACATTTCCACACAGAAAGGCAGAAAGCAAAACAATAAACGCATGTATTATGTGTATGTAAATGTGTATAATTATGTATGCATATATACATAGATATAGATATAGATATGTATATACCTACAGACACGAGTGTATTTTTGATTTGCCAGAACCTTCAGTCTTGCAGGTACCTGACCAGTGCACCGCGTGAGCGCCACTCCGTGGTGGAACCGGAGGCGGCAGAGGCCTACACTTCCACTGCAAAGATTCCGGTTCAGGGTCTTGAGATCGTTAGCTAATACTGCTGATGGACAAAATCCTGCATGATTTTAAGGACTCCAAACTATGGGAACTATGGTATATTCCTTATACAGTAATGGGTAATGCAGGATTTTGTCCATCAGCAGTAGCTTTTAGGGTCTATGGGCTTCAGGTTGCACCAAGTTGTGACAATATCGTCGCCTAGCCCCTATATAACTGTGATACAACATCGCCTGGGCCAACACCACGCTGGAATTATTCAGGCCCCTATGCTAGACCCTTATATCAAACCGTTGTAGTAACCCTTATAGAGCCCTTCGAGAACCCCTAAAGCGAGTCTTCTTGTAATAATGAAGGCCCCTGTACCTTTTCGGGGCTTTTAGGGTTGGTTCTCAAGTTTGTTTTGGGTGTTTGTTCTTCGACAGTAAAAGCCAGAAAGTTAGAATATGATTATTCTAAACCCTTTATGGTAAATTATAGGGTATCCTACCCTGAAACCATATTCCAACTTCTGGAGTTCCCTTTATGTTTTGATGGTGTGTCATCATCAGGGCGTGTGGGGTGGTATGAGGCTTCCATAAAGTTCTACGGGATCCAGAGGCTCTAGAAGGCATTATGTTCTTTTCTACGTGGGCGCGATGGAGTTTGTACTTTTGGATGGTTCAAGGTCTTGGGTTACAGGGTTCTAGTTTTTAGTTTGGGACTTGGGGGGCGTAGGTGTAGATGGCATGCCCTTCTCGAAGTTGTTGCAACGGCGACCTTCTACCAGCTTAGTAGGTCGACCACAGGACCCCAAACCCTCAACCTACACCGTGCCCGCACTAACCCTTGACCTAAACCAGAGCACAGCAAGCTAGTGGTCGTCCCACCTTCCGGTCTTCATCTTGTTCGGTCTCCAATTGTTTCGCCGGGGATGAAATTTGAATCATACTCCCAAGTCGGGGATAGAGTTGTATCGGACTTCCTGCCCAGGACTATACGGTTGAAAATAGACGAAACCGACATAGTCACGAATATGTTTGCCCAGAGTTCCTTGTTAGATTTGTATTGAACGGCAAGGCAAAGCACTGTGATTTACAGTGCCAGCATTTAAGTTTGTACGTCTTTAGGGTTGAGGGTCTCAAGCTGTTTCAAGGGTTGGGGTTTTGGAACTTTTAGTTGTTTTGGACGCACCCGATGTTGTGGGGTTTAGGATTTAGGGCGAGTTCTACGATCTCGCTTGCATTTCTCGGCTTACAATATGCCTGTCACAGCCCCTACACTGACAAAACTTTTGCACAATGTACTGCAGCACCCTAGCCTAATCCTTAAGGTTCTATAGTTTGGGTGTGAGGATCCAACAAGTTTCCCGGGTCTAGCAGCTAGCACATGTTTCACGCTTCAAGACTGGAGCTGGCAGTCAGAGTTCAAGTTGTGGTGACTCTGAGCAATCCCCTAAACTGGGACCTAGAGTAAGAGTAGGCCCTTATTCCCTTTTTGGGGGCTTCGGGTTCTCTTATAAGCCCCTTTAGACCAAAAAGGGCACCCTTTTTATTTCTAGGTTACTCTCCCCTAAACTCTAAACCCTGACTCTGCCCCAAGGGACCCGAGAGGTCAGAGCCCTCAAAGCCATAACCCAAGCAGCTTCCCAACGAAGCACGACCATTGCAAATCCTAAGGGCCCAAGTAGTCCTTCTTGATGGTTTCGGGTACCGAACCCTACCGACACCCTAGCAGGTAAAGTATTTATTAAAATGTATGAATCGTTAGCTAAGGAAGCGTCTGTTGCTGGGTGCGTATGTGTTGCTGCCTGCTTTTGGCCGGATGCCTCCAACTGGAGCACCCTGGCAAGACAATCTGTGCCAACGACATCTGAGGATCTTGTGTTGCTGCTTCGCTGGTTGTGGAGGTTGGCTGGCAAAGCTGCAGTCTTGAAGCAGCGGCTTCGCTGCGCGTTCTGCAGGTGGATGCTTAAGTGAGTATTTCCCGCTTCGCGAAGCATGGGCGGCAGAACCGAAGCCGAAACCTCAAGTCCAAAGCACAGAGCTGGAAATCCAAATATCTGGAATAACTGAATGCAGAGGAGGATCAGAAGCTGGCAACGGAAGCCATTGCAGCCCTCATGAGAGCCTGGGGCCTGGATGGGTCAAGCAGAGTGTGGCTCAGGTTCCCCAATGTGGCCGAGAGTTCCAGGGTTTATATAAGGCTTCGGGTTGTAGGGCTTGGGGTTTAGGGTTTAGGATTTCGGGTTTAGGGTTTAGGGGCGCATCCAGGAGTTCCAAAATGATGCCAGCTTTAGACCGAATTGACCATTCGAGGTTTGCTGCTGATCCTCCACGGTCATGCACCGGGCTGCGCGGTAGACGATGTACCATGTAACGTATATATGTGTGTGTGTGTGTGCGTGTGTGTCTATACATCCACCGTATGTATATATATATATATATATACATACGGAGAGATACAGTTCGACTCAAAACAGTTTTCTTAATTCTGGGAACCACCTGAAGGCGAAGGTATACACTGTGTAGGTGTGTAGGTACATCGACGCTTAGCCGCAGCTCCAAATGGAGGAGCAGACACCAAGCGCGTTGGTGGAGCGGCCCTCCTTTGCGCTGCGCGAGGCCTCTGCTGTATTCTTTCTGCTTTCGGGAATTGCATCTGCATAAACTTTCAGGGGCGGAATGGACACAAACCACAGCAGTGGGAAGTAATCTTTGGACAAAAACCCCGTTCAACAGCTTAGGTGCTGTCTGCGGCTCCTAAACATTCTGCATGACCATACCACACGAAGAAGCTACACACCGTGTTCAGGAGACAGTGCTGGGTTTTCTTATGTCATCAGCAGCGTTCTTTCAGATACAGCTCTGCCCTGACCCAGATTGCTATACTTAGCGGGTTCACGACGGGGACCCCTACATTGCCCGCAACCGTAAGTCAGTCAGTGAGGCTTGCTGTTTTTTGTATAGCCCTCGACCCCAGGCCGGCGAAGCAGGCGTTAGTTGTGTCGATGCTGTTGACAAGACAGCCATATGCACAAAGTACGGTCGAATGTTTGTGCCGCAGGTATGTTGCTGCGTTCTATATGAAAGTTCCCGAAAATGTGGGACCCGAATATAGTACCCTAAATATTAGGATCCTTATTACAAGGACCCCAAATCAGGTACCCCGAATTTTCGGAACCTCCCATATCCCGAAATTGGAAGCAATAATGCTCAACCCAGGAATGACACCTCGATGAGCTTTCGTGGGAGCACTCAGCCGGACATCCTAGACGCCATGCTAAATATAAGTAGTGGCGTCTATGCTTCTACTTAGTGGAGAGTAGTAGGTAACCTTGGGTATACGCAAAGAGCCACATCGAAGGAAGCAAGATCCTCGCATACCTGTAACATACGAACTCCATGCGATCCAAGTTGTCGGTACACATATAGAACCTTGCAAACGGACTGTATGTTATATGTATGCAAGCTTGCGAGGGAAACGAAGAAAGAAAGGGTTTTGGCCTCCCTGTTGAGGCCACCAGTTTCCTGGAGAAAGCCCGCGACAATCCGGAGATTGGCATTTCACAGGCGCGCGCGGGGTGCTTGTTGTAGGATTTAGGGTGTAGAGCTCTGGGTCGCGTCACATTGCTGAGGGTGCAGGGTTCAGGGGTCTAGGTGCAGGGTGTTGGGATTACAGTCGGGTGTGTGGCTTTCGATTCAGCGTGTGAGTTTCAGGGCTTATGCTAGGGGGTACGGTTGTGAGTGTAGTTCGACTGCGACATGGTGGACGGGAAAAAACCCTTGCCACTTTGCCATCGCGCTTTCCAGAAACCCTAAACCCGAAACCCTAAACCCTAAACCCCTAAACCCGAAACCCGAAACCCTAAACCCCTAAACCCTAAACCCGAAATCCGAAACCCTAAACCCTAAACCCCTAAACCCTAAACCCGAAACCCTAAACCCAAAGCCCTAAACCCGAGACCCTAAAGACGAAGACTGACTGTTTTCGGCAAAAGTCTGTGGCTCTACCCATAGGCTCCATAGTAGTTCCTTTTTTGGATTACCCTATAGGATTCTGAATATGAGCCCCAAAAAGGAACTACTATAGAGCCTATGGGTATGACTTTGATGTGGTGCTAGAAATCCATAAAGTACCGGGGAGGTGCTGTCCTTGGTCGTTGGGATCTAACGTTAACAATCAAAGGTCATACATAGGCAGAAACGCAATGCAATGATTATGTACATAGACATGCACACATAAAGAGAGAGAGAGAGAGAGAGAGAGATACACACATACAAATTCATATAATCAGATAATATAAAAATGCAAATGTGTATATGGCTATACAGTCTATACATATCTGTCTTTCTGTCTGTATGGGATACTGGGGATTCAATTTGTTTTGAGGCTCAAGGATGCTATATACAAGCTCTCGGACTGTTGGAGATGCGGAGAGAAGCCAGAAGTCCATAAACTCGAGATGCAAAGCCTGGATAGGAGTTTAGGGTTTGGGGTTTAGGGTCTAGGATTTGGGGTTTAGGGTTTAGGATTCTCTTGCAGGTCGGACGGGTGTCTTCCGAGCTGAGTAGCAGAAGTATGCAGAAGCCCTTGGCTTAATTTCGGTACTTGGAGGATCATGGGACTTAGTAAGGAGGGTTATATGTACCCTAATTGGGGTTATAAGCAATTATAAGTATAGCTACCCTAATTATAACCCCAGTTACTAAGTCCCATGACCCTTTAAGTAGAGTATGCCTCCAATCCGCCCCGATTGCGTAGTGTCTGAAAACTTTGGATTCTGTCACCGAAACAAAACTCGCACCATCGCACCCTAACGGCCCCAACAAGCCTAGACGATTTACCTTGATGGAGAGATGGAAGTGGGAGCATAAGAACTCTCAGTCTCAGAAGCCACGCACTCCTCATAGTGGTCTTTGGGCCGTGTTCGGGTAGCAGATGCCGCCCGTACGAGGAGACAAGGACTACCAGAAGAAAGTGCTGCCTTTGAAGCCTGACGTAGCACCGCCTAACTCTGAAACTTGTAAGTATTCAACACTGTACTGACAGTGTGCAGCCAAAAATCCACCGGGTTAGGGCTCCTGGTCGGAGGCCACGCGCATCTTGCTGCGAGTCTTTGATGAAGCTACCAAAGAGTTCAACGGCGTTGATGCTGCAATGGCCGCTTGGCATAGAAGCCCTAAGCCCTATAAAACCTGTCGCTGGTTCGGTTACGGCTTCGGACAGGGACATCTGTACTATACGGCTATACTGGCTTATCGGGATGCCGGACGCCCTAACTGAAGGCTCATCCTTGCAAGAGACTTCTCGCCAGCTTCGTGCCGTGGGAAAAGCCCGCAAACGAAAAAGAACCCAAAAGCTACTCCGAGAAAACCTTACTGCGTGCTTGGAGGTTCAGGGTCTTGGCCCAGTAGACTGTATAGAGTCGAGTTGGTGCTCAATGCAACGCAACCCCCTCAGGCAGGAATCTTAGCCCGGGAAGGCCGAATCAATTGACTTCAAAGTAATGTTTTCCCTAAACTCTACACCCTATGCACACTGTTGATTCTGTTGTTGGAGGTGCATGGATGTGACAGGTGTTAATCAAGTATAGGCTAAGACACGAAATGGGAACTGGGAACTGGACTTCCCGTGCCAAGTGCTCGCATGTTGTCCCCGAATTTAATTTCACTGGAACCCTAAGCGTAATCCTCTATCCCAGAGATTCGCATCAACTTCAGCAACCCTATCACGTGCCCCCTTGCAACATCAACTGCTGCAAGCTGAGTTCTTGAGCAAATAAATCCTTCAAGCACTAAACCCGCCACGGAGACCCTCGACAAGACCACTGGGCTACAAAACAACACAAATACAAATAGCAGCTTCGACTTCGAACGGCATGCCGCTGAACAACTATCCCTCGAACCATAAAGCGTAAAGCCTGTCAGCCTATACATCCTAAATTCAAAACCCAAACCCCTAAACCCTAAACTGCGACTGTAAACCCGCATCCTGGAAAGAAGCCTAAGCTGAAAGGCGCACACCCGACAAAACTCCAAACACACCGTATAATGCAGAACCCTACATTAAATGCACCTACATACAGAGGTTCCCATCCTTGGAAATGCATGTAGAACTCTATACAGCCTTTACGAACTTGTCTACAAACCAACATCATGAAAAGCACTGCAGCAGCCTGATGCAAGCCATTTGTGCCAACTCCTTCCTACACACTCACTAAAAGAACTGAAGAAGTCGCTTCGAATGCTATTCAGCCGCCTGTGATATAGGGGCCTTAATTAATACTTTCATTATTTTGGGGGGTTCCTTCTTATATTGACAGTATAATATACCACCCCCAAAAAATACAAAAAATCTATTCTAGTTGTTAAGGCCCCTACATTACACGCCCAAAGGTTCACATCGACTTCACGGAGCTCGCCAGCTTTGCTGCAGACTTCGTGGGCTCCGCGAAATTCCAGGCACCCGGTGTTTACTCTGCTTGGTGTTCTTCTGGTTGGCGCCTTAAGACTTGAACTTCTTGGGTTTCTATATGTACTACAATAAGTAGGCTAAAAGTTTAACTGTTAATTTAGCAGAATGGAAGGGTTGAAGAACAGTGGCCTTAAAAATTAGACCAGGGTTTGCTGACTTTGGGTTTAGGGGTCAAGGGGCCTGCATAGGGGCCATCAGAATTAATTCCATAATGGTAGTACATGGACCCTCTGCTAAGGGTTTCGTTTAGGGTCCAATATAGTGGCCTTACGAATTAGAACAGGGTCTTCACCATTCTTTTGTTCTACAAGGGTTTCTATCTGCGATCTACATACAAACAGGGTTCTCAAACATTAGGGCCTTCATTGCGAGAATAGCACTGAGGGGTTTGGGGTTGAGAGGGTAATTAAGAGTCTCGTGCATCGTAAGCCCTGGGGCTTTGTACGACTTTGTCGTTTTGGTTTTGGCGGTTCCAAAGGCTCGTTGGGCTTTGATGGGGCTCGGGATTTACGTAGGGCTCAGATTGTTTTTGAGTGAGGGGAGAGGGGAGAGAGGGCAGGTTTCTGTTTCGGGGTTTACTCGTGTTTGCGTCTAAGGCTTGATTTGTTTTTAAACGGTGCTTGTTCAGGTTTCTGCACGAGTTTGAAAAGGGTGTTGCAAGGAATCTTTACTAATTACGTACTGCTGTATCAGGGTGATGTAAGGGCTTCGTAGGGCTTTATAGGGCAAGCCTGCTCGTAGGGGCGTTCTAGCGCTTTCTTGTTTTATGATCTTGAGTCTTGAGGTGGGGGGGATCGTTTTCCGGCCGCGTGTCTCAGAAGATACTGGGATTGCAGAGTTCCCATATCCTAGCGGTTTGGGGTTCTGAGGCTCTACAGAAAATGTGTTCGGGGTTTTTTGCCTAAAGCACTGACGGGTCCTGAGGGTCATTGCAAGACTGGTTTCACCCTAAGCATGGATTGCAAGGCAAAGTAGAAATAGGCCTGTCTCCAGCTACAGGTGCTTCTGGGCTGTTGTGTGCATTGGTTTTTAAAACCTAAGCGCTACATTCCGAACCGTAATGAGCTTAAGCCCGACACCCTGAAGCCTCCGGTTTGTGCGACTTCAGTCATAACAGGTGTCGGCATACCTTCTAACATTAACCCCTTGTATTATAGTACCCATATTCTTTATATTATGCCATACCCCAAGACCCTATTCTAATTCTTAAGGACCTGATAGTACCCTAAGGATCCATGTACCCATATAGCATATACTTTGGGCCCAATGTACCTATATAGGGAGTACTTGAAGGCCAAAGTATATACCAAAAGAGTACATGGACCCTTCGAGGCATAGAAAAGGGACACTTGAGATCACCGACTCTGAAGACTCTGCTGTAGCCTCCCTTCGGGATGTGGGTTTAGGGTCTACCTATAGTCTCCTTTGTAGTTCCTTTCTTGGGGTTACCTGATAGGATCCCAATTATACGTTTGGTTAAACCAAGAAAAGGAACTACAATGGAGACTATAGGCAGGGTTTGAGGTTCTACACTCTAGAGGGACTACAGGGTCTAGGGTTCGGTTTAGGGTTTAGGGTTTAGGGTGTTCTTGAACTTCTGCGGTTCAACTGCCCAAGCAGTAGGTTTTGGAGTACAACAATCAGTCCGAGAAATTGTAGTGCTTGGGACATAAAGCCGTCCCTATGCGGTAATACAGTACGTTTACCTTCTCCGAAGGTTCATGAGAAGTTGGTGGTAAGAGAGGTGCTGACTAAACCCTTCCTATCATAGCGCCCGGCTTCCTATGACACCTGCGGTCGTCTATGATCCTAACCCCAAACACCCTAAACTACCCCAGGCGCCTATCCCCTCAGCCCTAAACCCCGAAACCCTACAGTAGAAGCCAGAAAGTTGGAATATCATTATCATAATCCCTTTAAGGTAAAATATAGGGGATCCTACCATTAATCCATATTCCAACTTTCTGGAGTTCCCTTTAAACCGAAGCAAAACCCTAAGCCCGGAAGCCCTGAGGATGTCCCTTTTGAGCTGCCTCTTGGCAGAAGTTCTGGCGCCGGGGAGGCGGTCTCTGATCAATGGGGTGTAGGGTTTAGGGTTTAAGGTTTAGGGTTTAGGGTTTAGGGTTTAGAGTTTTGGGAAAAACGAGGAGAGGGGAGGGGGGGGGGTAGGGTTTGTGGTATCCTCAGAAAAACCTTGGAGCTTGGTTTCAGGGCTTGGTGCTTGGGGCTTGCGATCCTTGTGACACCTACTCTGCCTAGTCTATATCTACTTAGTAGCTGAATGGATACACTCTACACTTTTTGGGATAATATTACCCACTATAAAACCAAAAGTGTACACTTTTGGGAGGCTAATGAACTCAGCTACTAAGTCTAGAGTTCCAGAGAAGAGTTTGACAGTCTCTCCTTTCTGCATGCCAAAACTCCATGTGGCTGGTTGTCAAAATTATGGTCCCTTTTTGGGTCCTTATTATAATACGGCACCAACTATTTAGGGTACCCAACAAGGGACCATAATTTTGACAACCACCCATGTGGTTGCATGTCTCAATTCCCGGTATCTCTCTTGTGGTGGTGCGTTACATGTTTTGTGTCTGCCGAGGTTGATCCTGACCACTCAAAGCTACAGCCAACACGCCCGAGCCCGAAGCCCACGGCCGTTGAACATTCGGGAGTACCTGATCCCAATGCCCCCAATAGAAAAGAGCCCTTACCAAGAACAAAAGATATCTTAAACTGTTAAGCTCAGGAAGAGGACCACTCCGACAGCTTTCGAGGCCACGGTGATCCCGAAGGTTTGGATTCCAGCGCCTGGACCCGGAAGACGTCGTTCTTTCTCGGGTATAGGGATTTTAGGTGGAAGGGGGTGTGGGGCAAAAGCTGTAGGGGCTTTTGTGGAGAACGGCTTGTTATGTGAGGGGCTTAGGGTTTTAGTATTGTAAGTAGCGTTCTTTGTTCTTTCGGGTCTTCTTTGAAGCTGGAATCTGATTAGACCCTACCAGACTCCCACAAGGTTCCCAGCTTCATGGTTCAGCCTCAAACCCGAACCTCGAACCTCTGGCCCTGAACCCCCAAACTCGAAAACCTCGATACCTGTGAACCCAGAACCACGAACGCTCCGGTTGATGATATAAATCTTGCATTGCCTTTATGACCCTGAACTATGGGAATTATGGTAGAATTCTTATTACAGGTCATGCAGGATTTATATCATCAACCGCCCAACCCTGGTCCGTAAACCCCATGTCCCGAAACCTCCTGGAAGCCCCTGGAGCCTTATTCCTGAAAAAAATTCCAAAATGCTTCCCCGAAAGGGCCGTCAGCAAGTACCTATAGTCTCCATTGTAGGTCCTTTGTTTTGGTTAACCATTTTTATGGTTAGGACCTTATAATAGAGATTTTGGTTGACCAAAAAAGGAACTACAATGGAGACTACAGGTAGGTCCTTGCTTAAGATAGAAAAGCTGGCCTTGTAAAGCCGTAAGGAAAACTTGATTGAAAACGAGTACGTCCCCCAAGCTCTAAACCCGGTGCCCGAACACAACCTCTACTGCAAGACCATGAGGTCTCTAACGAGCAAGTCCTGGAGAAGCTCAAGAAGAATGCCGTGGAGCTTTGCATGGACCTTCGAAGCTTGCCTGGGCTTGGATGTACGACTTCCGTTTTGAGGATTGTGATGTTGGGCTTTGCTCACTGTGTTCATCTGGTCGCTGGTCTGGGTTTGGATGTACGACTTCCGTTTTAAGGATTGTGATTTTGGGCTTTGCTCACTGTGTTCATCTGGTCGCTGGTCCTGTCTGCAAAGGACTTTGGTGGTGAGAACAGATCTTTGGGGGTATACTTTATGATAGCATCGTGGCTACAGGAACCTACGAAATACGGCTGATGATATACATCTTGCATTACCCATAGTAAGGAATATACCATACCTCCCAAAGTCTAGGGTCCTTAAGGTCACGCAGGATGTATGTCGTAACCCTCAACCCTAAACCCTACAGATCCCTTGAAACCTTGAAAGATAATGCAGGATTGATATGGGTGGTTGTCAAAATGATGGTCCCTTTTTTGGGTCCTTATTATAGTACGGCACCTAATATTGAGGTAATACGGTTGATGATATAAATCCTGCATGACCCCAAAATAAGGAATATGCTGTAATTTCCATAATTTAGAGTCCTTAAGGTCATGCAGGATTTATATCACCAACAGTATTTAGGGGGCCCAAAAATTTTGACAACTACCCGTATTCTTAAAACCCTGAAGCTTCCAAGGCGATCACAAGCTCCCGGAGCGTGTCTTCCGGGTCCCTTGGCCGGGTTCGGCTTTCACGGTTTTAGGGGGGTTTAGGGTTTAGCATTTTGCTTTTTAGGGTTTGGGGGTTTGGGGTTTAGGGCTTAGCGTTTGGGGTTTTACGGTTTTGGGGTTTGGGTTTTAGGGTTTAGCATTTGGGGTTTTACTGTAGCGTTTTGGGGTTTGGGGTTTCAGGGGTTTAGGGTTTAGGGATTCCCTTAAACGACCACAACCTACTCTTGTATGACAAGCCCTAGTACAGAATTTAGAGGGACCCTAGAAAGAAGTAGGTTTTGGTAGCTCAAGGCGAGCATTAGGTACTTGTAGGCTTAGGTAGGTATTTTCTGAGTTGGGATGCACGGGTTCCAGTTATATTTACAGGGGTTTGGGGGTTGGCCCTGTGTGGGAGTATATACACGCTTCAAGCTTCAATGGTTTCGTGAACATCAGAGTATTTAGAGGTAGGGATTTGCTGTGGTTTGAGGGGCTTCACTTCATGGTTACCCATAGGCCCCATAGTAGTTCCTTTTTGGGGTTACCGAGCCCCAAAAAGGAACTACTATGGCGCCTATGGGTAAGGGCTAAGCGATTCTTAGGGATCGCGGGTCTGCTGGTGTAGGCCTTTGATGCATGAACCCGGCTTCATCAAGGGCCGTTGTGTTGTGGGGCTGCCTGTTATCATCTTTTACGACAGAGGTAGTCAGGGATGAGCATTGGGGGTGAAGGGCTTTGGGTGGGTTGCTGGTGTGTAGAGAGATACTTGGGTTTAGGAGTAAGGCACCTGGGGTGAGAGTGCAGGCATATTATTTGCCGATTTTGGGGAAACTTAACTGGAAAATTGCAATCGTGTGACGCCTTCAAAATGTAGCCTAAACCCTAAACCTAGGAGAGCACACTATGACTGTACCGGTTTCCAAATATGATTTCTCCTATGCCTAATGCTATGATGCATAATTTTTTTTATTATGGAAACTTAAAATAGTTGTTTATTACAAAAAATAATACCCTCACTTTAGCCATGTGAGATGCCTAAAGCTTAACAGGAACAGCCACCCAACGCCATCCAAAGCCCTAAAAAACCCTAAGGCTCCATGTACCAATATAGTATATACTTAGGCCTTCAAGTACCTACATAGGGACCCCTTTAAGGCTTAAGTATCTACTATAAAGGTGCATGGAGCCTTTGGGTAAACCCCTAGCTCTCGAAGAAGATTCTCGGCGGTGTGTCTTCGTTGGCTCTGTGGAGATACTGTTGATGATATACATCCTGCATTACCTTAAGGACCCTAAACTATGGGAATAATGGTATATTCCTTATTATGGGTAGTGCAGGATTTGTAACTATAGTACCCTTATAGCTCCCTTATATTAACCTTTATAGACACCTTTCAAGGAACCCTAAATTCCTTATTATGGGTAATGCAGGATTTGTATCCCTAAACCCTAAACCCTAAAACCCTATAGATCCCTTAAAGGAACCCCGTAAAGGTACCATTATAGACCCCTTTAAAGGAACCATCAAGCAAGATTTATATGATCAACCGTATGACCATCGGACCCTGGCCAAGAAGGTTGTTTGGGCTCCGGGTCCCATGGTGTAGGGAAGACTTTCGGGTTTAGGAAGGGTTTAGGGTTCATCTGAGGAAGGGTTTAGGTCTTAAGGTTTAGGGAGGGGTTTACGGCTTGAGTATAGAAGTTGAGTGTTTAGACTTGAAGGCATTGAACATGCAGGAGTGGTGAGTATCTATACTATAAGATGATCAGGTAGGCTTTATTGAATGCGAGATATCTAAGAAGAAACTGCTGGTTGGATTTTCGCCAGCTTTCTCTCAGGATCGCATTGCACACATCTACCCCGAGATGGCGTGCTCTGGCTGAGTCTACCCTCAGGGTCCATGTACTCATACAGTATACATACACCTAGGCCCGAAATGGCTTTGTTTAAGGACTATAGTAGAAGCCAGAAAGTTGGAACATGGATTTAGGAGGATTAGTGCTAGGATCCCTTATACTTTACCTTTGGGGCATTAGGCCAATGATGTTCCAACATTCTGGCTTCTACTATATTTGTGAGGCCAAAGAGCATACTACATGAGTACATGGACCCTCAGGGCTAGGATTGTGTGTTTCAAGTCTGGGGTGCCCGCTTTATACCCCTAAGGGTCCATGTACCCATATAGCACATACTTTGGGCCAAATGTACCTATATAGGGAGCACTTTAAGGCCAATGTATGTACTATATGAGTACATGGACCCTTAGGGTACTGTATCTGTATCCTGTAGCTCAGGGGACCAGTAAGTAAGTAGGAGATAACTAATTGTAGGCTCAACCGAAGCAGGGCACTTGTAAGCAATGTTATGCTTTTGTAAGCTAATTTCCATGTCCAACCGGATCCTTCTACAGTAGTAAACATGAAGCCGCGACACTAACCCAGCCGGGAAGCTTTCACCCAGAACTCGGTGTTTACTGGGTGCGCTAACCCAAACTCTAAACCCAAGACGCTAAATCCAAAATTGTGATGCAAGGTTGTAGACTCAACTAGAGTATTCTATCTCGATCTAGACTAGTCCTTCGTTCGGATGGAGTGCCTATTTAGGGCTTTTCAAACCCTACGTAGCAACCCAAGCTTCGCATTTCAAGTCACTGGTGCACGGAGGTGCGCGGCACTTTGCTGCATCTTAGAACTAAACCCTGGACCCTAAACCCTTAAAACCCAAAACCAAAAACCCTAGTTAAACCGTTAGAACCCTAAACCCCGAACAGGAAACCTTCGGTTCAGGGTTGCAAGGCCGTTCAATCTCTACTTGATGGGTCGGGGGACATAGTAAGAGTTATTCTTCAGACTTATAAGTCCCATAACCCCACTTAGGATCCCTGCATACGTTTACTTATTATCTTCTTACTAAGTTCCACGACCCTCCAAGTAAGCATTAGCTGCTCACTGGACCCTTACAAGTAGGGGAAGACCATTTCTTAGTTTTGTGGTCTCACTCCTCGGTTCCACACATGGGTAGTTGTCAAAATTAGGGTCCCGCTTTGGGTACCTTAAATTATTAGCGGACCTTAAATAGTAGGCGCCTTATCATGATAGAGACCCCAAGAGGGACAATAATTTTGATAACCACCCACATCACAGGTATTTTGGTCCAAATGCCACCAACCTGGCGAACCAGACCGTGTGTCTCTTGGAAGAATCCTAGTTAAAGTTGCTCTGAGGCCGAGAGTCTAGGGTTTAGCGTTTCGGGTTCGGGTTTAAGGTTTACCTTAACCCCAAGTAACCTACCTTTTTAAGGACTTATGTAAAGGAATCATCTTAGGGAACCTTAAAAAGGTAGGTTCCTTAGGGTCCAGGAAGGGGGGGGTTGGGGTTATGGATTTCAGTTTAGAGCTTGGGTTTAGGAGGCTTTGGGACTAGTTGGAGGTTCACGGTCTTGGGCTCACTACATTAGACTCACGCCTCAACTTCAAAACCGTTTATGCCTCAAGCTCTTTACCCCATGAATCCTGCAAACTGAATTATCCCCTAGAAAAAAAATCTTAGCCCGAGTAACCGATGCCCTTGCTGTCTGTTCTGGTTATGTGTGTCTTCCTCTCGATTGGACACGCAGAGCCTTAAAACCTAAAGCCTCGTAGAACCCTTACAGAACAGTTGATAGCAGCCCTCCTTAGAGTATGCTCTTTGTGGCCCAAGCTTTAGGGTTTTGGGTTCAGGGTTTACCTTACCCCTGCATACCCTACCGTTGTAAAAACCTATGTAAGGAAATCATACTAAGGATCCCTAAAAAGGTAGGTTTTGGGGGATTGAAGAAGGCGGCCTTGTTTAGGGCTTTTCGAAGAGGTTCCCTCTGCTGTGTCTACTGGCTGCTCTCCAACCAGCACGAGGCTTCCACTGTCGTCAGTGCTGGTGTTAGGCTTTAGGCTTTGGGGTTTAAGGGGTTTAGCAATTTAGGGTTTAGGGTTTTGGGGTTTTTGGGTTTAGGGTTTAGGCTTTGGGGTTTTGGGGTTTAGGGGGCGGTCTTGGGGCTGGTTGGGGGGGTTAGGTTGAGGAGGCTTACAGTACTTAACCAGACCCTAAACCCTAAACCGTGGGGTAGAGGCATGGGGGCCCCAAGGTTCGAACATCCCCCCCCCCCCTCCAAAGAAAGGCAGTAGAATCCCTTAAAACATGGACCCCTGCGAAAAGATGACCCCTGATAGACTGCGCCCACAATCTGAAGCCCTAGAAGTGCTACACCCTGGAAGCCCCGCATGAGAAGGCTCTCCTTCAGAACCCTCAACCCAAGACGTCATCAACCCCCAAAGAGAGGACCTTTGAACCTTAAACCCGAAGATGGGAAACGGGTGGTTCTTTAAAATAGGGTCCCTCTCTAAGGGTCCTTTTTGAATAAGGGGTGCCGTACGGTTTTGAGGACCTGAAGAGGTACCCTACTTTAGGTTAAATTCGCGGAGGCTTTTATAGCAACGTCGCCCTTAAACCCTCTAAGCCCAAAGCCCTACTAACCCCCCTAAACCCGAAACCTCAAACCCCAACTGCTGAGTGGAGGCTTTTATTCGGGGGCAGCCCTCCGACTGTCAGCTCTCGCGCCAGAGTTGGGCATGGATTCAGGCTCGAGTGCTCATCCTTGTGGGATGAGGGTTTCTAGGACCCAGAATAAGGCTTTATTCCCTTTTTTAGGGTTCAGGTTCCCTTATAACACCCTTTATACCAACAAGGGCACCCTTTTTATTCCTGGGTTACTCTTAGGTCTAGGATTTAGGGTTCCTTGAAGGGATCTATAAGGGTACTATGTAGGGGTTCGGGTTTAGGCTTTAGGGCATTTTTCGAGGGTCAAAAGGTTTCGAAACTGGGATTTTACAGGCTAAAGGGTTTAGGGTTCGGGCCATATAGGTACCAGAAAGGCATCTTGCCTGGAGTTATGATACTGCCAAGTCCATTTCGCAACTGCTTACTAGGTTCCGTGACCCTCCAAGTACTGCATAGGCTTGAATCAGGGTTCCTCAAAGGAAACCCGAAACCCTAAACCCCTGAAGCCCTAAACCCCTAAACCCTGAAACCCTAAACCCCTAAACACCGAACCCCTAAACCCGAAACCCTTAAGGATTTCATTCGGGCCTCAGACAGAGCAGGGTTCTGCCGTTCGTGGTCTTACTGAGTGTCAACAGAGTTCTCTTCGGAGGTCGAACTGCCACAAAGAGTCATATTTTTCAATGAATATATAGTCCAATTGAAATTTTTGTAATGCAATATTTTTCAGAAAATATAATCAACATGTTTATTATGTTCTAATCTAAAACGAATTTGTGCCCACGAAGCAGCAGCTATGGTCGTTGATCACAGACATGCTTGCGATGTTAGTTGCTTCCACCGCACAGGATTGGCTGCAGAAGTCGGTGCGGCTGACCACACCCGAGAAAATCGATGCCGTGCCTCGCCCTAGAGTTTGGCGTTCTTCTGGTTGGCTCTCAAGACTTTAACTTTTTGGGTGTCTATATGGACCATAGTAAGGAGGCTAAAGGTTTAACTTTTCATAGGGGTTCAGAAGTCAGCCAAGTAGAGTTTGGCGTTTGCTCCCTGGCCCTGGAGCATCCGTGGAGATTTCAGGGGAAGGGTTTCGTTCGAATGTACCTCTAGCCCTAAGCCCTCAAAAACCTACCTTTTTGGCGTCCTTTAATGTGATTTCCTTGTATAAAAGTCTTTACAAAGGCAGGGTACTCGGAGTTGAGGTAAAGCCTAACCTACGAATAGAGGTCTCCATAGTGTCGAACTGTCACAAGCCCCGAAATGCTAAACACTCAAGGTCGTTTTGGGGATCACGCGGGAGCTTGTCCGTGACAAACGAACTCTCTGGGCCCAGGCGTAGCTGACCCCGCCCCAACAAAAACGACCTCCCCTGCAACCTGCGCAACAAAACACCATGAAGTCCAGTCCAGTCCTTACATAGAGGCTCATACCCTATCCCTTATTCAGGGCACCTACTTTTTAAGATAACAGTTCCTAAGCATGAAGCTAGGTATCCTAACAGAGGGGTAGGGTATGAGCCTCTAGGTAGATTTTGGAGTGCTACGGGGCACAGAGTTTACAGATGATCGTTTAAGGTCTACAGGGTGCCCACGACCACAGAACGCAGAACCAACAAGCGAAGACGATGCTGCAGCTGCATCAGGTGCTGACGATCATGGCCATCCACGCCTTAGGACTGCTTGTGCAATCCTCAAGGGTCCAATAAGTACCCAATAATCATATACTCTCCCAAATCCTAACCTACAAAACTACTATCCTATAACCGAGTACCTAATTACTGGGTCCTTTGCACCCTTAGGGAACACCTTTCGGTTCGGCCTTTTGCCTTACCTTAGGGAAGGCGGACAAAGTTTTAGGGTTGACATCACATGGGTGGTTTTCTAAATTAAGGTCCCTTTTTTGGGTCCCTAATATAGTACGGCACCGAATATTTAGGGTACCCAACAAGGGACCATAATTTTGACAACCACCCACATTTGTCGGCTGGAGAGTTTCGGGACGTTTTGGGTCTGTTGAAGTGAACGCCAAAGCCCCGTGAAGCTGCAAGTAAAGCCCTTCGCAGACAAGTCCTTGGGTCGAGGGGTTTATAGTTCACAGTTTACGGCCGATTAGGGTTTATAGGGTTTTAAGGTACAGGCTTAATTGAACACTGCGACCCTTGCAGCAGCTTACATCCTTGCGCTTTGAAGCGCCCTCAACCCAACACCCCGTTGATTCACAAGGCTTAAGCCCCAAGGTCTGTAGTGTTTAGGGATCACCAACTAATTCCCCCAATACCCCTAATACTCCTAATACCCTAGTGCGCCTAATGCCCCAAACCCCTAATTCCCGAAACGCCTAATATCCCAACCCCTGGGCACTCTACACCCGATTCCTCAAACGAGACTTGGAGGGTCGGGGGGGGCTTAGTAAGCATGTAGACTTGTATGTACTATAACTATAACCTTAATAAGGATCTTCTTTAGGGTACTTGTACGTCTACTTTTCATCTACTTATTATTAAGTCCCCCGATCCTCCAAGCAGACCCCTAACCTGAAAACCCCAAACTTCAAAACCTTAAACCCTAAAGGCCCTAAACCCTAAACCCTAAACTTCTTAACCTTAAATCCCAAGACTCTCCAAGTACTATGTACCGGAGGAAAGTTCCCGGCGTTTCGGGCGGACTTCCCGTATGTGAAGCACCACACACAGGAAATGCCACTGAGATCACATAGAGGGGTTTTGGGTTTAGGGTTCCAGACGGGTTTGGGGTTTTAGGGTTAAGGGCATAGGTAGAAAACAGAACCGAAAGCTGGAACAGCGTTATCCTCATGCCCTTCCCCTAGTCCATGTACCCATATACCATATACTTTGGGCCCAATGTACCTATATAGGGAGTACTTTAAGGCCAATGTGTGTACCATACGGGTACATGGACCCTTAGGGTTCAGACAGATCATAGGGAATCCCAGCATCAATCAAATCCTGTTTCTGTGTTACAACTTTCTGTGTTTCTGTAAAGCACATGTCAGGCCAATATATTATATACTATAGAGGAATATAGGCATACGGACCTGAAGTTCCGAATGGTATAGAGGCGTGAGCAATTAGTTACAGTCTGCTCTTGTACTGGTAGTACAGCATGCCTCAACACCTTGTTCTTATTATCAAGGCCTCAAACCTAAATTCTGACAAGAACCCAACCTGGTAGAGGAGCCCTACAGAAAACGGCCGCTGCACCTGTTTTTGTTTTTAAAGAGGAGCCCTACTCCAATTATCAAGACCCCCAACCCAAAGGCTCCATGTACCTGTAGAGTAGATACTTAAGCCCCAAAGTAGTCCCTATATAGGTACTTTAAGGCCTAAGTATATACTATATGGGTACATGGAGCCTTAGGGCAAAATGACTCAGGCACGACCTGGCTTTGGCGCAGATCCTCCAGAACAACCCAGAAGCGCGGCTCTGAGCCTGACCCCACTTGGTGGACTTATAATCCTTATTATAACCTACTTACTAAGACCCATGATCCTCTAAGATGGCTGCGTTTAGGGCTTTCTATTTTGGTTTAAGGCTTTCGGGCTTGTAGGTCATAAGGTTAGTATTGCAAACGTAAGGTTCAGAAATACTGGGTCCACAGTGTCGGTGTTGAGATCGCAGGGTGTTAGGACGTCAGGGTTTTCGGAGTGTTTGGGCCGAGTGTGAAGAGGGGAGTAGAAGCAGCACCCTTAACTGTAAATATACCCCTATATAAACTTAAACCCTACAACTAATAAGCCAAGTGTGAGTTTCCGAAAATAGGAGACTGTTAAAAAGTACCCTAAATAGTAGGATCCTTATTACGAGGACCCCCAAATCGGGTACCCTAATTGTCGGAAACTGCCAACTAAGCCGGGCGTGACCTCACGGCTGGTAACCCCAAAAGAATCCAACAAGAAGCGCGATGCCTAAGTGTGAATACTTATCACCTGAGAGGCCATGCCTCAAAGTATAGCAGGATACCCTGTATGGTTTAAAGTATACGCATTTAATATTAAGCGATATATATGGGAGGTCTGGGAAATGCAGCCCCTTTCCAGATATCTGTCCATGCTGGTAAGTTGGCACGGCGAGAAAAACTCAAAGCCCTAAACCCTAAACCCTAAACCCTACACCTCAAAGCCCCAAACCCTCCAGCCTGAACTCAAAAGCAAAACCGATATCGTAAGGATTCTGGGAAATATCCCCTCAGGGTCCATGCACGCAAATGGTATATACTTGGGACGTAGGCCTTCAGGTGGTCCCTATATTCCTATATAGGTACTTTAGGGTCAATATCAGTACATGTACCCTTAGGGACCTCTAGCAACCCTAGGTCGTGCCATCGTTTAACCGGCTGGATGCCGAGACGCTGGTCTGCATGGAGCATGTTTTTGTTGTGTTCTTAAAGTTCTCAGGTTTAGGATATCAAGTTGGAGACTGAGGTTGTAGATTGTAATATGAGTTCTCAACCAGAAACCTTGAACCCTGGGAACCCTGCGAGGTTTTGCCCTGCTGCATACATGGCCGGGCCTCTACACATAGGGGTCCTTTCCGGGAGCAGAAGCCTGGAACTCACAATGTAAAGATACAAAATAACGAAACCAATATTTATTGTCCCCTGGGTTTGGGGTCTTGGGTAAAGGGATCGGTAGTAGTAGCAATAGTAGTAGTAGTAGTAGTAGTAGTAGTAGTAGTAGTAGTAGTAGTAGTAGTAGTAGCAGTAGCAGTAGCAGTAGCAGTAGCAGTAGCAGTAGCAGTCGCAGTAGCAGCAGCAGCAGCAGGAGGAGTAGTAGTAGTAGCAGCAGTAGCAGGAGCAGGAGCAGGAGCAGGAGCAGCAGTAGTAGTAGTAGTCGTCGTCGTCGTCGCTGTAGTAGTAGTAGTAGTAGTAGTAGTAGTAGCAGCAGTAGTAGTAGTAGCAGCAGTAGCAGCAGCAGCAGCAGTAGTAGAGTTCCCTAGTATATATATATATATATATGTATATATATATATATGTATACATATATATATATATATATATACACATACAAGCATATATATATATATATATATACATATACAAGGTTGTATATGTATACATACATACACTTGCACCTTCTATACGCCGAAGCTAAATTGCGAGTAGGACGACAGCTGCCCTGTCTTGCAGGAAGAGTGGGGTTTACTTCAAGGCTCATGGGACTTAGTAAAGGGTTATAATTAGGGTAACTATACTTATAATTACTTATATCCCCAACTAGGTACTTATAGCCCTACTTACCAGGTCCCATGATCCTCCAAGTAGGGTTGGGGGTTGAAGGCTTAGGGTTTAGGATTGAAGAACAAGCCATGTCGCCCTGCATAATACCAGTAAAAGCTCCAGCCCCCTAAACGCCCACACACTGCCATACACTCTAAACCCAAATTATGTGATTAATAGAACCGTAAATCCTGGGCCCTAACAGCGAGAGCTATCCAGACTAGCTTCGAAGCTGAGGACCAAGAAATTGATCATCGATTGCCTCAGCGTCGATTTCGAGCCCCTATGATCCGCATTTTAGAGCTCTCGTGGTCAGAGCTTATTTAAAGTTTTAGGGTTTAGGGTCGTTTGGAGGTCGGCCGGGCTTTTCCGGGGTCAGGCTTCAATATCGATCAAGTCAGTCATATTGGCGCTTCCAGCCCTTTTTTGTTCCTATCATAATCTACCACACACCCCTTAACAAAAAGGTCAGCTTCTCTAATGATGAAGGCCCTGGAGTTAGGATGTGCAGAGATTGTTGAGGTTTTTCGTTCGTGCCGAACCAGTTCGATCCGAAATCCTTCACTTTAGGCCTGGCGCCCCACAGACTTGTGACCCTAAACCCTGAACCCTAAACCCTAAAACCCCAAACCCTAAAACCCAAAAAGGAAGCCTAGAAGGTTCAGGCTTGAAGGCTGGTGACCCTAAACACAGACGCAGAACTCTAAACCCAGCAGTGCACGCCCTTAAGGAACTATGATTCCTTACTTAAGGGATATCGGAGTCCCCTAAACCCTAAACCCTACAGATCCCTTTAAGGGAACCCTATTGGGATCTCTGGGGACTATCCAGCAGTGCACTGAGGTTTAGCCAGTTTTTGCTGGGCGAGAACACTGCTGCAAATCTGGTCATGGTGAAGGATCGCTTGCGCCTCGCCTGTTGCGGGCTTAGGGTTTGGGGTTTGAGGTTTAGGGCTTAGGGTTTAGGGTTTAGGGTTTACCTTAGAAGCTGCCCCCACCCTGTATGAGTGACTATAAGGATTAGATAAGGGCCCTAATATATTCCTATTATGCCACTATTACAGGGTGGGGGCCCCTGCTAAGGTTTACCTGCGGATCCCAAAACTTGGCGCCCACTATTTTGTAGGGTGTGGGGCTACGGGTAGGGCATAGGGTCTAGAGCTATTTGGTAATGGTGAAGGATCAATTGCGCTTTGCCTGTGCTCTTGCTTTCGGCCGGCCGGTTATCCAAATACTCAAGCGGAGCGAGCATGCACATGCAAACAAATATCCTAAACTCTAAGCCTGAAGTATTTTGGGGTGTTCAATGATAGGAGCATAGAGTAGAGATTCAACTCTGAAAGCGGTTCTGGGTTATCGACCCGAGGTATTCGCAGGACTGAGTGTTCCTTCCTTTTTCAGGGGTTTAGGCTTTGCATGGGGAGTAAGGAGCTAGAACAAATGTTGGCGACATCATGATGACTTCATATCGCTTCGAAATCTTCGGATGTTCTACGGGGTAAATGTTCTATAGGGCCAGGGATGGGCAGGATTCACGGCGGGTTTACTGTATGTGCCGCAACTAAGCTGCACCGCGTTGTTGGAGCATCTGTTGTTGACACACGCCCGTTGGCATACACGGGTCCGAGCACGCAAAGACGGGCTTTCTCTCACGCCAACTATTCAGAGAATAGTTTTTGCGAGCTAGAGCCCGACGACGTCGACATGAGAGAACTTGCACCCACAGGCTTTAATGCAATGATATGTTCTCCCAACCCTGCTCGAAGCGTTCAACGTTCTTCTTTACAAGTCTGCAAACATGATTTTTCCCCAAGGCCGTTTCCTCATTATTCTGGGCCCTGTACTACCTAGAGACTAGATGGCCCTTTCTTGAAGGTTCATGGGCAACTTGCAAAAAGGGTTCCAAGTATGTTGATTGGGATGTATGACGGTGTACTGCACTCATGGCTTGTTGAACCAGATATCCATGACGTCTTAGCCACACCTCTCATCCTACACGAAGCCTTCAATCCCAACATCCTAATCGCAAACCCTAGCCGTAGCCAAGGAAAGGGCACGGTCAAAACGGCCATTCCTTCTTCCTGTTCCGGATCTTTGCGCAGATGTGCGGGAAGCTGGGTGACTGGACATTTAAGCATCATGTTTCACAGTGCTTGAGATACAGATGCTGGTTGTTTACAGAACCATGCATCATCTATATTGGATACCTTAACCTACCAAACTCTGTTTTTTTGTAGGTTCTTATTAATTATTATGAACCCTGATACGGAGATTATAGGGACCCTACAAAAAAGTAGGGTTTGGTAGGTTAAGGTATACAGTAGTCCCAATGACTTCTCAGTACTCGCAGGCGTCGCTTAGGGTTGCGAGTAGTTGCGAAAAAAAACGGCTAAACCCTGGAAACCTAAACCCCAGACCTAAACCCTAAGGCCCTAAACCCAACACCCTAATCCCTTATGCAACACTGGTACCCAAACCCTTAACCCCTTAATAGCTGAGTGGATACACTTCACACTTTTGGTGATAATATTACCCACTATAAAACTGAAAGTGTACACGTTTTGGGGCTTATGAACTCAGCAACTAAGATGTACCCATATAGTCGGTACTTCGGCCTTAAAGTATCCATATAGGCAGCCCTTCAAGGCCTGACCCTGAACCACTGAACCCCCCAGAGACTCCAAAACCCCTTAATTAAGGAATATACCTTAAATCCCTACTATAATTTAAGGTATATTCCTTAATTAAGGGGTTTTGGAGTCTCTGGGCCTAGATCGAAAGCCCAGCCCGAGGCCCTAAGAGTCAGAGCGGCTGCCTCTTCATGAATCCGATCAGCACGCAGAGGGCTTTGGGTCTTGCGTTTAGGGTTTAAGGTTTAGGGGTTTGGGGTTTAGGGTTTCGGATTTGCAGGTTTCATGGTAGGGTTTCGGGTTGGTCGGTTCCAGGGCAGCGTCTAGGGTTTGGGATTTAGAGTGTGGGGGTGTGGTCTCTCGTTCATTCAAGGATATACAAAGGTTTAGGCCTTCGGGCCTTCGGGTGCGGGAGTTAACTGAGTTTGTCGCTGTGAGGATTTAGGGTTTTATCCGGCGTCCTTGGGCTTCAAGATCGCAAGAATCTGGGTGCAATGGTGTGTGTGTGTGTGTTTCTCATGGGGCCCAAGGGGTGTACAGGGGGGTGTTAGTTCCCCATGATACCCGACAAGTAGGCAAAGCTATCGGTAATGTTAGGATGTTTGTGCTGTCTGTCCCCAGAGACTCCAAAACCCCTTGATTAAGGAATATACCTTAAATTATAGTAGGGGTCCTAATATGATTTAAGGTATATTCCTTAATTAAGGGGTTTTGGAGTCTCTGGGTCACTAGCACCATCCCAGCACACTTCACGTCCGCATTGCAAATCCGGCCGGGTTGGGTTGAAACCCCGCGCGAAACACAAATCCGACATACTTCAATGACTGAACCTAAACCATACCTGCACTCATGCCTTCTATAATTCTGTACATACCCGCTATCCGCTATGAAGGATCGCAAAGGCTCTATGGAAGGGTAGTTGCGGACTTATGCCCAGAGAACCCAGCACCCCTTAAGGAATGAACCAATAGCTCGTAAGAAGCTTTGTAACATGTGGGTTGCATTCCTTAATCACTCTCTGGGAATCATTCAGGAATGAGAATCAGTTCAAGCGCTGCACGCCCGGCTTGAAAGCGCTGCAGGCAGGGTTGACTTCATTCAAACTGCCGGGATGTCTTTTTCGGGGCCGCTCTCAGGACATGTTTCATTACACTAGGACTCCCTCTTTCTGTTCTCATATAGTGCGTCGGGGGCTTCGGTCTCTTGGCTTGAAGTTTCTGCGATTTTGCCGGTTAGTGAGCATCGCACAGCACTTGGAGCTAGGCTTCTCCTGGTGTTTCACGATGTCTAGCCTGGACCCTGAACCCTTAAACCTTATGCCCCCAAACCCTATAAACCTTAAACCCCCAAACCCTAAGCCTCTAAACCCTAAATCTCTCAACCCTAAATCTCTAAACAGAGTTTGGGGTTTAGGGTGTCTGAATCCTAAACTCTTATTCCCTAAACCCTTAAACCTTAAATAAACCTCCGACAACCTGAATAAACTCCAAGCCTCCGACTCGTCAGACTCGACTCAAACACATTAAACACAGCAGCTTCGACAGCAGGGATTGTGGAAAAGGTGGGCTTTTGGATGATGTTCGGGCTATGTCTCGATTTATCCGAACAGGGTTCAGATTCAGTTTTATTCGAAGCTGTTGAAGACTAATTAGAGGTCTGCTTACACACAGGGCTCGATCAGCCTTCATAGCTAGCCACTGTATAGCCCAGTTGCCGATGTAGTTTGTCACTCTTCCTTAACCCCCGCGCAGCGGCCGAGGTGCAAACCCACAACACACCCCAAGGGTCCAAAGGACCCAATAATCGGGTACTCGGTTTTAGGATAGTAGTTATGCAGGTTAGGATTTGGGAGAGTATATGACAGTATATGATTAATTATTGGGTACCTGGACCCTTGGGGACAGGTAACAGGGCTTTTGGTGGTAGTTCTCCCAGTCCGCCCGCGTACCCGACCGGCACAGTTTCAGGTTCCGAAGAAATTGAAAGAGGTTCTGGTACTTGAAACTATCTGAAAGTAGGACCCTGAGGGTTCTGAGGCCCAAGCGCGAAACTATAAACCCGAAAACACGATGCAGGCCCTTTGGAAGTTGGATGGTTCCGAACTCAGCCAAGTTGTGCAAAACGGGCCACTGATGCCGGTGTAGCTTGAACGGGGTGTAGGGGTTTGGGCTTTCGGGGTTGAGGTCAGGGTTCATGAATTTGCTTCAGGATCTATAGAACCTGTGGCTTCGCTTGTTGGAGTTTGCTGGCTGGGACTTTCAAATCGGTCTCAGCCAGCTGGTTCTCAACATGTTGGGGTATCCTTGACAAGGTCTCCTTTTCAAACTAAATACAATAGTCACATCATTGGGCAAGGAGTTTCCGGAAATAGAAGAAACGTTAGTCTCCATTTGCCCAATTCCGTCACAAAAAGCCTTGTATAACATGGTCTCTAGTCCCAAAAGCCTTAAAATATGAGTCCTAAAGCCTCAGGGATCTACTATATACTTGGGCCTTAAAACACCTCTTTAGGAGCCCGTTTAAGTCCAAAGGATATACTATGCCCAAACTCTCCATTGTAGTTCCGTCTTAGATCCAACCCACCTTCCAATTTTCTATTATCATGATTATTACTATTATGGAATCCTGACCATAGACTTGGCTGCTCAAAAAAAGCTACAATGGAGACACAGGGTATTACATGGAGCCTAGGGCAAGCACGGACGCCCAAAAGCGCTGAAGACCGGGCGCAGAAGCCCCTATGCTACGGTTTACAGGGTTTAGGGTTTTAAGTCGTGGGCCCTGCAGTCGGTAGTGGGCCTTAGAGTCGGCATTAAGCCCTCGAGTCGATTTTTAGATTAGAGTATCCTTAGGAATTATTTCTAATTTTTGTTCATATAAAACCCAAGACAACATTAAAGATAGTGTTTCTATTATGGTTCTAAGGGGGGGTATACTTGTAGTAGATATGCTTACTGCAGCAGTCTCCAAGACCCTACTCTAGTTCTTACGCTTCGTTTTCAATGCGGTGCAACGCCGCCTATACAGGGCTATCATAAACTCCTTGGGGAGGGGGTGTCGATCAATTTGGGCTCACGCTGTCACATTTGCCTAGACCCTAAGCCCTTAACCTCAAGCCTGAACCTTAACCTAAACCTTATAAAGCCCTTAAAGGAACCCTTGAAGGAACCCCAAAACGAGCCCTTAAAGGAACCCTAAACCCTAAACCCTATACCCTACCCTAAACCCATAAGCCCGAAATTCCTAAAACCCACAATCCTGAAGGAAAGGCCTGCTACAACGACTTTATCCTTCTCAGAGGCGGGCGGCGACCCGGTTGATTCCACAGAACTAACATAGAAGGCCGTAGAAGCCTAAATAGGTAGTGATACTATTTCTGACGGGTTCTTGTTTTTGTAATACTGCAGTTTGAACCCCGAACCCTTTTGATATGACCAGGAAGCCCCCTTGTAGCTGCAGCAGTGCTTTACTATGGTCTTGATGGGGGTTCCATTGGGGTCTTTATTGAAGCGTTTCGACAAAACAGAGTTTGCTATCAGCGAATTTTGCATGCCAGTATGTATGGGGATACTGCTATAAAACCATACATCCCAGTTTGGATTGTTATACCCCACAGCACAAGGGGCTTGAATTTCCGATTGTGTTGGGTTTGGGGTCACCGCAGGAGCCATAAGCAGTACTCGTGATGAACTGACTGGGTTAGGGAAAAGTAGGCTCAAGACTCGAAGCGTCATGTAAGAATTTGTGGGACATGGGCCAGGTGTCCAAAATGGGTAAACGACAGGAAGCAAGGCAGCTCGATGTGATGGCTTTCAGGCTTTGGGGTTGAGGCTTTAGAGTTTAAGGGTTTAGGTTTTTGGGTTTAGAGGTTGGCGGTTCTCCACTCACTAAACCCTAAACCCTAAACCGTGGCGGTCTTGGGCCTCCTGAGATCCCTGAGCCTTCGTCTCGACGTTGGACCAAGCTGCGGTGCGCGCAGTACCCAGAGACTCCAAAACCCCTTAATTAAGGAATATACCTTAAATCATAGTAGGGATCCCTACTATAATTTAAGGTATATTCCTTAATTAAGGGGTTTTGGAGTCTCTGGGTACCCATCCACCCCTCACAGTCTGGATCGAGCCCTGGAAGCTGAGCACCTACAGGGCACTCCAGAAAGTTGAAATATGGTTTCAGGGTAGGATACCTTATAATTTACCTTAAAGGGGTTACGATAATGATATTCCAACTTTCTGGAGTTCCCTTTACGTACGTTCTTTTGGGGAGAATTGCATGCCGCGGCATCGACCCGGCCTTCAGCGCACGCCAAAAGGAGTCTTAAGCCCCTGCAACCGTTGGCTCCGGCGTGCTCCGGGAGGCCACCCGCATTCAACATCACCCTGATGTGCCAAAAAGTGCATCACAATGCTGATATAGGAAAGTATTATTTCTTGATACTCATGTCGCATTTGAAGCATAAGTTGTGTATGGTTACACGGATTCTATAGGGCTTGATTGCACTTGAAAGGACCTCTTGGGGTTTGACGACTAAGGTTGGATCAAGGCTTCGTTCCCGAAACCTTAAACCCCACTACCCTTCCATTCGCCAGGATCGAAGGCCATGTCTCGCTTCGCATCGCCGGAGCATCAGGCTCTCTCAAGGCCATCCGAAAGTTGAACCCGGAGCATTCACTAACAATTGACTCATAACTTAACCATTGCCGTGTTCATGTTTAGGGTTTAAGTGTTTCATGTTGTTCAGGGTCTAGGCGGTCCAAGCGCACGAAGAGTCCTGGAATGTCGCAAGTGCTATCTGAATGTTTACGGTATCTAAAGCCATAGTTATGTGGGCCTCGGACCCTTGGTGTGTGACAACTGGACATATGGATTACGACAGGTGCCAGAACAAAATCAATGCCCTTCCCTAAACCCGAAACCCTAGACACAGAGACAATATAACAGTGTAGGTTTAATCAACTCGTTCGTTGTGTTTGCGTAGTTATCTCAATCTCACTCTCTCTGTATGTCTCTTTTGACGGTTGTGTTTTGTTTGTTTCTCTCTCTCTCTCTCGCGCTCTCGCTCTCGCTAGCTCTCTCTCTTGCTCTCTTCGCATGTGCATGCACGCATGTATATGCATTCAGAAGAAGGTAATGTAATGATCTGTAATGAAATGTAATAGTGTATGTATGTAAGTATGTATGTGTGTCCGTGTATACATGTAACCATTTAAACATACACACATATATACACATGTGCATGCATACATCTTTGCGTATGTACAGATAGGCATGTTAACATATAGACATGTTAACATAAAGACCTATACAAAATACCTGTATATGCACATGCATACGTGCACGTTATGCTCGCTCCCCTCCACGAATGTTTGCAACGCTGAATTCCGTATGCTTTGTCTTTCCGGGCATGTGGGCTATGACATCGCAGTCACGGGTATTGTGTTTAGATGTTGCCTTTGTTGTATGTATCCATGTTACTACGGCTTCTTCATACGTACATCTCTGTGGTCAGAACAATTAGTAGCCATATAGTCCCAATACTACGTCATTAACGACATACGTCACATAGAACTACTGCACTACGGTTGATGATATAAATCCTGCATGACCCATAATAAGGAATATACCATAATTCCCATAGTTTAGGGTCCTTAGGGTAATGCAGGATTTATATCATCAACCGTATCATACACCCATAAAGTCCCCATTACTACACTCTCATATGCCCCCAGCACACCTGTACTAAGGCTTCTACTTTACGCACCAGCTCTGTGAACTCCTGTCAAGGCACAAATTCAAAGTAAAACAATAGAACAGCGCGTAGACCCTCGACCCGATATCAAACCGCAGCAAAGCCTAGATCTGCAATCAACACACCGAATCCAAAACCACAATTCGCAACTAAAGGAAATTAATTTCTTCCATCAAAAACCCTGTGTAAGTCTCAAGCCGGAATCAACTAACTGCCCGAAGTGCTCAGCCACCCCAAATTCTGAATCATAACTGTTACGCACTGCACCCTCAATCCACGACCCTCAAGCAATCAACTGCCTATGTAAACCCCACGCTCTGATGCAAGAAAGCACAAAGACCCTTCTAGGCTTCTCTGCCTTTTCGATGCCTACGACAAAGACGGAGGCGCACTGCGCCCCAAGCCCCGTGCGGCCCACTCGGTTTGTGATTTAGGGTTGAGGGCGGTTCGTTGAATGTCCACTCTTCGGTTTCTTGAAATCTATGTTTGTCTGGAGGCTTGTAGCTAACCCAAAGGCTCCATGTACCCATATAGTAGGTAATTAGGCCTTAAAGGGGTCCCTATATGGGTACTTTAAGGCCTAAGGATATACTATATGGGCACATGGAGCCTTTGGGTAAGCTTGTCTGGAGGCTTGTAACTTATGTCGTAACTCATTTCGGTTATGGTTGAGCAAACATACCTCTCCCTCCGTGTTGTGGTTGCTCTCTCTCTGAGGCTACCAGAATTGCGACTGAAATCACACAGTGTCTGTTTGGGGGTGAACGTCCTGCTGTCAGTCCTTAATCACTGGACGCTGTAGCTCAGGCTTGTGGGGCTTGTGTCTTGCGTATAGCAGGCAAAAGTGGAGATCGGAACAGTTAATAATGCTTTTTTCCTGAAGGTTTTTCATCCATGAAATAAACCCTAAAGTCAGACCCCTTGGGCCTAGACCGCTTCGGCAGAGGCAGCGCCTTGTGCAATGCCTTCGACGAGCTTGCCGTGGAAGAGCGCCAAAGTCAGAGCCTCAGTTCCAGCGAATCTTACTTAGATCACTACTTATGGGGGGTCAGTGGACTTCGCAATTAGCTACTTCATAGAGATATAAGAATCATAACCCCGGGCAGCCAAGTAGCCGCATACGGTATGGACTTAAGCCCAAAGCCTTGAACCTAGACGCGGACACAGTTGACCTGACATGCACAGCGAAATCGGTGGGGCAGCCAGCGCCGCGCCAGGCCCGAAACAAATACCCAAACCCTAAACTCCTACAAATGAGTCCCAAACGCCGTGGGGTAAGCCTGCGGGTCGTGCATCCCCTTCAACACCCTTATTGAGCCCCATACAATGCCATACAGCACCAACAAAAAGCATCGAAAACTCGAAACTCCAAACCCCTCAAGAAGAAAAGGGGCCCTCTAAGAAACGGTTTAAGAAGGGGCACCTAACTCGACGAAACCGCCCCCTATGTTTACGAACCCCTAAACCCTAAACCCTAACCCGCAGTGGTGAGGTCTCACGCAGTGGCTGAACAGTGACTCTGAGGTTCCGATGCAGAATTTGGGTTGGTTTCGGGTTCAGAGCTAAGGGTTCAGGGTTTAGGGTATAGGGTCTAGGGCTCAAGGTTGTCGATTAGGTTTTCAAACTCTCTTCTGAGGTGGAATTGACGTAAGGCCTTTGGGTTCAAGGTTTGACGGCTTGTCGATTGATTCTTAAAGGGCGAGGAGCTTACAACAGCGTATAGTGGAAGGAGGAAGGCAGATCAAGGGGCTTATACCTCACTTATAATTATATTCTACCCATGAACCTCCAAGTACCAGGCTGCGATGACACAGACCGACGCGCTTGACCCGGAGTGGATTTAGTGCCATGGTCCTTTGGAGCAATGGTCCGGCGAGGAGAAAGATGCTGAAAACCCTTTCACCCGAGGACAAGCTGCAATTTTCAGTGGTCGCGCCCGCGGAGTGGGTTGTGCGATCGGCGACAACGACAAGGTGTCGCATTCCGCCGTCCGTGGCTCTGGCTCTTGGCTTTAAATGTTCAAAAACTCGTTTTACAGGCTTTTGAAATTGCCAACTAGGTTTACCGAGTTTTGCCAGCGTGAACCCAAGCAACCTCCAAAGCTTGCCTGCCTGCAATGCAAGGGCTGTAGTAGTTTCTCGATGGAGTTTGAAGTTTGGGGGTTCGCATATTCGCCAGGCATGTTCGCTGACGAAGATTACCCCAAGGGTCCAAAGGAACCAATAATCAGGTACTCGGTTTTAAGATAGTAGTTATGTAGGTTAGGATTTTGGAGAGTATACGATTATCAGGTACTTGGACCCTTGGGGTTAGGCTTAGTGCGAGAGCTCCGTGTTGATAAGCAGCGGTTCGATACCCGAGTTGTCCAGGGCATCAAAGTTGAGGGTCTCTGCGCTCCCTACTCTACAGTAAACCCCATAAAGTTGGAAACCGGATGAAGGCCAAATAGTGCTGGGATTCCTCAGACGTTACTCTGAAGGATTGAGGCTATGCGGTTTCCAACTGTTGGGCTTCTACTCTACATGGTCATGCCAGGCAGTCTGAAAGTATCCATCATGGGTCTTACGGTGGTGAAAAGTGGCGGGTTTCAGGGATGGCTCCTCCACCTCAATCAGAGTCCTTTTCTTGAGCACTCTACTGATGCGAATCTTTCCTAAAGTCCAGCATGTTGTAACGATGCAAGCTTTACTACATCTTCGAAGGAACTCTGTTCTCACGGATTCCCATATAATGTCTGCACAGCTTTGTATGCACCCAGTGTTGGGAGCTAACCGCAACCACGTCTGAATCATAGTCGCAAACACTGTGACATGTACTTACCTCGAGGGTGCCATTTGCCGCGTCGCAGAATTACACCCTAAGAATCCCTGAACCCTAAACCCTCCAGTTCTTTAGCCCTATAGCCTTAACCTCAATCCCAAGACCTGCAAGTTCAAAGCCTAAACCCGAGACGCTGAACCTCAGGTTTATGCCAGCATATATATATATATATATATATATATACCCGGATTTTGATTGACCTTGAGGCCCGGCAAGCTGCAATCTACCTAAACCTGAACACCCGCAAAGCGAACTAAAACCCCCTCCGCAACTTTAACAAGCACCCTCAAAATGGGTCCTAAGTACCCACATAGCAGAATGTAGGTCTCTGTAGTAGGAATTACTATTATGATTTGGGAAAGCAACCTCGAATGTAGGGTCTCTATAGTAGGAATTACTTGGTGTTCTTCTGGTTGGCTCTAAAGACTTTTCACTTTTTGGGTTTCTACATGAACTACCATAGTAGGCTAAAAGTTGAACTTTTGGGAGGGGTTCAGAAGTTAGCTGAAATTGCTATTCTGATTTGGGAAAGCATCCCCGAATGTAGGGTCTCTATAGTAGGAATTACTATTATGATTTTGGAAAGCATCCCCGATATCAGCATCTAGGACTCTTTGGGCCTCAAAACCTTTGGCAGAAACCCTAAACTCGAAACCCTCATAAACCCTGACCCCAAGGGTCCAAAGAGGGTTTAGGGTATAGGGTTTAGGGTAAAGGACCCAATAATCAGGTACTCGGTTTTAAGATAGTAGTTATGTAGGTTAGGAATTTGGGGAGTATACGATTATCAGGTACTTGGACCCTTGGGGTGAACCCTTCTTAGACCCCCCAAACTACCCTGTAATATGCCCTAAGGTAAAAGCCAGAAAGTTGGAATATGATTATCCTAACCCTTCTATGGTAAATTATAGGGTATCCTACCATGAAACCATATTCCAACTTTCTGGAGTTCCCTGTAAATACCGACTGTTAAGGGCCATAAGGGCCCCATCAAAAGGCCATGGGAGGTTCCTGGTTGACCTTAATCCTAAGGGTCCATGTACTCATATAGTATATACATTGACCCCAAAGTACTCCCTGTAGGTGCATTGGGCCCTAAAGTATATGCTATATTCTGCTATATGGGCACATGGACCCTGAACCCACCCTGAACCCTTCGCCCTAAAGGGAACTCCAGAAAGTTGGAATATGGTTTCAGGGTAGGATACCTTATAATTTACCATAAAGGGTTTAGGATAATCATATTCCAACTTTCAGGCTTTTACTTTAATCCCTAATCGTTTGGCAGAAGTGCTGCGTCATCATCCCTGGCGCTTCAACGATGCTACAAAACGCGAAGGCCATGGCTCACCAGGGTCTCAGATTTTCTTTGTGCTGGGTTCATGCCGAGAATGCAAAATTAGGACTGATCGGCTTAACCTTACTCCACACCGAGAGCGCAGTGCTTCGTTTTGCGATTTTGGAAGCATCTCTCTTGTCGGAGACGTTGTGTCATTACAGTTCTCCGCCTTAGTTCCGAAATGCCCCGAAGCAACGGAGTCAAATGTTCTTGGAGGCCCCTGACAAGAGGACAGCAGTGATCTTGAAATTTTGTTAGGTTCGGACCCCAAAACCCTCGACCCTCCTTAGCACGCCTACTTCAGCAAGTTTAGCCCACTGTTCCCTAAGGCTCCATGTGCCCATATAGTATATCCTTAGGCCTTAAAGTACCCATATAGGGACCCCTTTAAGGCCTAAGTATCTACTATAAAGGTACATGAAGCCTTTGGGGTTTCCTTCAGAATGAAGCCACAGCTCTTAGCATCTTCAGGCTCCTACCCAAAACCTCAAGCCAGAGATTCCAATATCCCTTAATTAGGGAATATTCCTTAAATTATAGTAGGATCCCGAATATGATTTAAGGTATATTCCCTAATTAAGGGGTATTGGTATTGGAGTCTCTGGGAAACCCTAAGCAGCAAAAGCCATGTTAACCTAAGCCCTGAAACCTAGACTTGATGTCCCGAAAATTCATAGCTGTCGGAAGTTGCGAACCCATCTAAATTTTTAAGCCCCTCATACTTGTAATTCGATTTCCTTTGGGTTGGGATTGACCTGCACCCAAAGAGATTGTTTTTGCATAGTGCAGGCATTGCCCTGAAAAGCTTAGAGCCAAAACGCCGTAAATCCTAAGGCCCTCTACTTGGAGGGTCGGGGGACTTAGTAACTAGTTATTTTTGGAGACTTATAAGTACCATAACCCCAATTAGGATCCCTTTTAGGGGACTTATAAGTCTACGTACTACCTACTTACTAAGTCCCCCGACCCTCCAAGTAAGGGTTACCTGGACCCTGAACAACCTACCTTTCTAAGGACTCATATAAGGAAATCCTAGTCAGGAACCGCAAAAAGGTAGGTTATGTCGGCTTCAGGCAGGGCTTGTTTAGTTGAGCTTTGGGTTTGGGGCCGTGGGTCGTCCCGTGGCTCTTCTTGCATCTGTTGCTCCTTGAGGCGAACACGAACGTGGGCCTTCCCAGAGCGCTGCGCTTTCTGCTGAAGGCTCTCGGCCCTGCCTACCAAGCTTGGTTCTTGTTATTTTGGTTTCCCGTCTTTGTGGAAGTCTTTCATCCTGTCTGTTAACATCAGCAGAATAGTTGTCCTCGTTGCTTCTGGGTTTGCCCGGTAGTCGTATCTTCGAAGTTGGCATGAGATCTTTGGTGTCAGTATACTGTGTATGACAGCCACTAACTACTGGGCCACGATAGTCATCCTGATACGCCTGGCGCAGCAGAGATCGAAGTTTCAGAAAATGGGGGCGGGCCCTGCATAGTAACACCTAAGCGAACCCCGGGCTCAAGCCTTCGGCTGCGAATCAAGCTTTGCCGGGCTCAGGCGGGAGTGAGTCTGCAGTGTAGTGGGAAAACCCGCACCATCCCAGTACCACACACGCTTAGACTGCCCCACAGGCCATACCCAGAGACTCCAAAACCCCTTAATTAAGGAATATACCCTAAATCATATTAGGATCCCTACTACAATTTAAGGTATATTCCTTAATGAAGGGGTTTTGGAGTCTCTGGGTACTACAGTAACCTACAATGATTTTCCACATACCCAATCAGTACAGTAGATACCCATCATTCGTGACAATAGCTTCCCCATCTAGATCATGCTTTGAAAAGCACCCAAGCCAAAACTACCGAAACCTACCCCCGTTGCCGGGATCGGGATAGATTTTAAGTACATAGTACTTATGTTACCCCCAAAGAGCGTTATCACCATAAGCCTGGTACATTTACAAAGCCTCGTCACCCTAAAAGAACCTGTAACGGCCTATCGACTTAAAACCCGAAATCCTAGACGAATCCCCTGAACCTGAACGCGACGGGTTTTCCAAGTTGCTTCCTTGTGGCAGGTCAGGGAGCAATGCCAGCAGCATGAGAAGGCACAGTGAATCCGTACAGATCAGTGATTAGGCCACCCAAACCTTCATTTTTTCTCCTTATTACGACTTGCCTTACATATTCCGTAAGCATGGTTTGGCTGGGAAGTAAGCAAGCATGCTCCTAATTTCCTCGGTCAGCATATGGCCGCTTTTGAGGCTGGGCTGTCGTGGGCTTCGATTCTGCTTTAGCGGTAGGAGTTTAAGGCGGCCGTGAAATAGTGTTTTGTGTTTAGGGGTTGAGGGGCCGAAACTCTAAGGCTTCGAGCTATTCCAAGGATAAAGTGGGGGGCACTGTAAGGGCTAGGGCTACGGGTGTCCGGGAACCTCGATGCTTCAAGCGTCTGGAGATTGTGGATGTTCGCGCTTAGGCTACCGAGGTTCAGAGGGCACGGGTTTTGTAATGTAGGAGCCGGAGTAGAAGCATGTCTATGGGGAGGCTTCCATACTGCAACACAAGACTTGGGAAACGATGTGTTCGGAGGCCTCACAAGGTGGGATGAAGGTAGGTGGGATTAAGGATCCCTTATATAAGGACTCTTATTTGGGAACATCCCACCTACCTTCATCCTACCTTTTGAGGCCCCGATGCATCGCCTGACCCGGAAGTGATCAGTCATCATGTGCAGTAATAAGCGCTTAAAAATGTTGCCAAGCATTACTCCTGAGTATTTTTACAGTATACTATACCAAGACCCCAATACCTACTCCTACGGCTGATGATATAAATCCTGCACTACCCATAGTATGGTATATAGCATAATTTCCACAGTTTAGGGTCCTTAAGGTCATGCAGGATTTACATCATCAACCGTATCATTAAGGCACTGAATCACGCCGGAAGCTATCAAGTCCTGATTCTTGAACTTCCGCCCAGACGACCCCTCTTCCAAAGCAACAGAGCCCTAAACCGCCAACCCGAAATCCCATCCCGTCTTCGAGCTATTTTAGGGTTTAGGGTTTAGGGTTTAGGGTTTAGGGTTTAATTTAATATCCTGCATACAACGCCAGACAAGACTCATTTGGTGTTGTTTGGGCTGTCGCGCTGCTCGTATCTTTTTGACCAGGGTCGAATGATTACCCTAAACCTCCAAGAAAAGTCTGCCTTAAATGATGTTTCCCAGACTACATATGTATGTATATATATATATATGTATATACACACACATATACTACCAGTTTGGAGTTGGGCCCCCAAAGACCATCCTTATTCTTGGGGACCTAAACCCGTAGTAATAGCAGATAGAGAGAGAGAGAGATGAACAACAAATGTATGTGTATATATATATACCCTCTAACCCTATACACCTTAATTCAGGTCGCAGACATTCTGAACCCAAGACACCTCAAGACTTAAAGCCCCTCAGACTCAAGACTTCAAGAGCTGAATGCTAATACCGCACTTATAGGGCCTGAATAAATTGAACCGGGGCTTGGCATGTACTGAAGTTGTTCATATTGGGACAAGACGGTTATGTCACTACCATGACTCGTATATTCAGGCTTCTAGACCTACACCCTAAGGGTCCATGTACCCAAATAGTATATACATTGGCCCCGAAGTACCTATACAGGGTAGCCCTTGAAGGAACCCTGTAAAGGCACCCTATTTGGATCCTGAGGGACAGTGACTAGAATCCTCCTACTTGCCAGAATTCGAGCTGTTCTCGGCGCGTCATTCAGTTTGGCAATATCGCCACATGGGCAAAGGCAGTGCGGCAAGGGTCTTGAGTTTGCAGCTGCGTTTGAGAGCAAATTAAGAGATTGGGTTCATAGACTTTCAAATCGGCGAACATGAGTCCCTAGATCCTGTGGAGCTATATGGTTTGTTGACTAGATTTGACAGCTTCGGCGCCGACTTTCGATTGGTGTCTTCAGCGTGAACTTGCGGAGGCTGCTGCCTCAGTACCGTTTGCTGCAGCCGCAGGTTGTAACGGCTTTCATGATTTTTCTGGTATCTTGCCCAACACATGAGTTTAAGCGGATGTATACATGTATACGCACATACAGATAGATTGATGGATGGCTGGATGGATTCCCCCATGGATTATGGGTGGATGGATGCATGGATGGATGCATCCATAGATCGCTAGATAGATGGGTAGATAGGCAGATAGGTAGATAGATCGGTAGACAGGTAGATAGATGGTGCACAAAAGTCTCCTCAGCTCATCACCCTCCACCCAAACCCTAAACCCTCCACCCGAAACCCCACACCCTAAACCCCAAAACCTTCCACCCTAAACCCTAAACCCTCCCCGCTAACCCTAAACCCTCCACCCTAAACCCCAAAACCTTCCACCCTAAACCCTAAACCCTCCCCCCTACACCCTAAACCCTCCACCCTAAACCCCTAAACCCAACCAAAACCAGCTGCAACCCATTTAGCCAGAAGAGCGAATGAAACCAGAGCTCCTGGAGGGGCCGCACTGATGAGAGTCGGTCTGGAAAGGTTTAGGGTTATGGTTTAGGGAGGATTTATGGTTATGGTTTAGGGAGGATTTAGGATTAGGGTTTAGGGAGGATTTAGGGTTATGGTTTAGGGAGGATTTAGGGTTAGGGTTTAGGGAGGATTTAGGGTTATGGTTTAGGGAGGATTTAAGGTTAGGGTTTAGGGAGGGTTTGGGGTTTAGGGTGAGCGTCACAAAAAGCACTTTGTCAACGCCGTCGAGATTTTGACCGCCGCGGGCTACGTGTCCTTCTCAGCTCCGCTCATGAGGTACTAGATTCTAGATTGCAGCGCCACGGCCAGGTGACCCGACCCAAGAACAAATCCTCACTACGTGCGATCACCGAGTCCCGCAACGGCGTCGACGATTGTTCATTCTGGGCGTCAGATGTGACTCCTTGAACACAGACTGCACTAGGGCAGACTGGTTTTTGGAGGGTTTAGGGAGGATTTGGGGTTTAGGGTTTAGGGAGGGTTTAGGATTTTGGGTTTGGGGTTGTTGGCACCTTATAAGCTAGGGAGGGACATGAGCTTCTATATACATGCCACTTTCAACCTCATGAAGGGAGCCTGTCGTTTGGGATTTATGAGCAATACTGACAGAGACTCGTGGGTGTTGCCGCATCTGCTATTATGGGGCTTGAATAAATAGAATAGGTCTGGGGGGTATAGTATGCCATAATTGTAATAAGGACACTCCCCCCCCACCACAAAAACAAGTTATCGTTGTTAAGGCCCCTACATCAGACACTCAACCGTAAACCCTAAACCCGGATGCTCGCAGTTCATATGGGAGTTTCCGAAAATAGGGGACCCTAAAACAGTACCCTAGATAGTAGGATCCTTATTATAAGGACCGCAGAATAAGGTACCCCTAATTTTCGGAAATCCTAAACCCTAAACCCTTTATAGAACCCTTATAGATCCCCTTTAAAGGAACCGTTATAGATCCCTTTAAAGGAGCCCTAAGGTACCCCTAAGTTTCGGAAACTCCCATATGAAGGACTATCGTGGCGACACTCCTGGGGAGTCCTGGGAGGAGCCGGGCCCGGATCAGGGACTCAAGGTTTAGGGTTTAGGTAGGGTTTAGGGGTTTAGGGTTTAGGTACGGTTTAGGGTTTAGGGTTTAGGGGTTTAGGGTTTAGGGGTTTAGGGTTTAGGGTTTAGGGGTTTAAGGTTTAGGGTCTAGGTTTATATGCCGTAAAAAATTATAAACTACTATAATCTAAGGTTTAGGGCTTATAAGTTTAATTCTCCATTGATTAAGGAATGCCTGGACCCCATACAACCTACCTTTTTGAGGAGTCATACAGTGAAATCATAATAGGGAACCCTAAAAAGGAAGGCTTTATAAGGTCCAGGTAGGTGGGGTTTACAGAGATGTGGGTTTCAGGTTTGATTGGGTGATAAGGACCCTTACGGGGGTGACGGGGAAGGGGGTAGGGGGCCTGAAAGGATCCAATATGGACTTGATAAATTAGGGTTTAATAAGGCTTATTTGAGGAGGTATAGATTCAAGGTTGATTAGGGTTTCGGGTTAAAGTGTGCAAGGGTTTAATGGTTTGGGTTCTGTATATCTAGCTGTCTAGCTGTCCATCCATCGATCGAGTTGCTTGTTTTTGACTCCTGGTTGAAGTACGACTGCTGTTGCCTATGTTCAACGTGTAATCATGGCTACACGTTTCTAGCCAGGCTAGCCAGATGTACAAACAGATCGGTTTGGCTTCATTGGAACTAACCCATAGTTTTGCCAAGGATTCCTCAGCGCTCAGGTGCTTGTTGGCGTGCTTGCACAAGACATGAGTTCATGTGAACTGGAACGAACAGATTTGGTAAATACTTTGCCACACCGCGTGAACTCCGAACACCCCTTCCTTGACCACAAATATCTTACCTTCTTAGGCTTCCTTCTTGTGATGTCCTTATACGAGTCTTTCAAAAGGTAGGTTGTTCAGGGTCCAGGCTTACCCTAAGACAAAGCCCTGCGCAGCCTGAAATTGTTAACAGCCCTGAACGGCTTAGAGCCAAACAGCGCGCTCAATACAGGAGCAAAAAAAAGACAAAACTAAACCCCCAAACCGGAACCATTATGAACCTAAAGAATCCTCAACAACACCTTTCGAACTAAACCCCAAACCTTAAGCCGAGGTTTGTTTGGATTCGAAGAGCACGGTGCAGGGCGACACGCAGGTGGGACGAGGTTTAAGGAAGTTGGGCTTCAGGGTTTCAGGGTTCAGGAAATGCGTTTAGACTTTGAAGAGTTTAGGTTCTTGGGACTTGTTCCGTGTGTCCTTGTGCAGGTTGGACCGTTGTGAATCCACTTGCCGCAAGCATCTTAGTCAAAAGAGAGCGTCCCTATGTGACTCAGGGCACATGCAAATTCCGCTCGGTTGATGTCGTAAGTGTATATGCCCATGGACCCAGCGTCGTGATCAAAGCGGGCTAAACCTCAAACCCTCAACCCATACGCATCCATGTGCTAGGCCTTGGGCCCAACAGGGACCCTAGCCAGAGCCCCTGAGGTGGTTTTCCTTGTGCGAAGGGTCCTGCCATTCAAGTTTGTTTAATTTGTTGCGTAAGGCTCCCCGAATTTCTGCCTGGGCCATTAATATGCATGCCCTTGCAGTTTCGGGGCTCGAAAGTGGGTCCTGAGGCCCAGGCTACATCATGGGGCTCACACATGCAATAATGGATTCCCTTTCCGGTTTATGGATGTTACCTACTTGGAGGATCATGGGACTTAGTAAGTGGAAGTACCCTAATTAGGGTTATAAGTAATTAAAAATGTAGTTACCCTAATTATAGCACTCGTTACTAAGTCCCATGACTCAGACCGACGCTAAAACTGACGAGCAGGTCATCACCATGGACCTGCAGCAGCCTTTGCCCTTCGAACCATAAAGAGCTTTTGTTGTGGGCACGGCTTGGGGTTTGGTAGGATTTCGGGCAATTTCGGGTGTACTGTTTCGGGTTTACGGCCGTGTACTGGAGTATTTGCGGACTACTGTAAGATTTTCTGGCCTCAAGGGGGTTTTGGAGAGTTTCCAGAGTGTTTGGCAAAGTTCGGGTTTGCTTGCTGGTACTCAGGAACTTTGTAGTCTTCTGGGAGTGGGTGTAGGCTCCCAGACAAAACAACCCCGGAAAAGGCTTACGGCACGTTTGCCCAAGCACGTTTGAACCACGTTTGTATGCCGTCTTGGTTTGATTCCGCGGCATGGCAGCTTTAGGCGAGGTTGAGGGTTGACTGCTGTCAGGTGGAGGGGCTCAGACTAGTAGCTACTGGTGATTCGTTCGGGCATTGCCAGTCATGTTCCATAATTGGGGTTTAGGGCCTAGGGTTTACGGGTTTAGGGTTTAGGGCGCTGTGCGTTCATCATTTGCCCTTCCAGAGCAGACGGTTTCGTCTGAGGAAGCTGCAGGGACCATGATGTGAGATCAATGAGAGAACTTGGGGAGTGTCTGCACGACATCCCTACCCGGCATCTGCAGGGTGTACGGTTTAGAGTTTAGAATTGGCATTAAGGGTCCTGTTGGCCCTTTGCCTGTATGACTAGTAAATGAGTAGGCGGACCTTAGCTTGATGTTGCTTTCAAGAGGTCGGGTTCATAATGCTTCTTTCAGTCTGCTTCGGTGGACTTATATAGTGCTTTGAGCAAGGCTCTAGTGTCGGTGAGTGTATATGCATTCGGCGACGGTGTCCTTGCGAGGATAGTCGTGCTAGAAGCTCTGCATCATGCACACGCATATACGTGCATCTTACAGTAGTCCCTACTTTAGGGCCACCGTTTGGACTATTTGGTTCCATGGACCAATGGACCCTTAGGCTGAGGGACAGACACAGCTCAAGCATGATGCCACCCTCGGCCCAGGGAACTTAGCCGGCGAAGCTGGAAATGTCCGATGCTGTCCAAATTACAGATATATATATATATATATATGCAAGATTCCCATCGTTCAGGGTACCAAACCCCGACGTATACCCCAAACTCAAGGCATGAATGGTACATAAAGGTAATCGGCGGCAGGTTGCGAGCAGGAAAAAACGGGCCTCAACAATTAGAATAGGGTTTTGGGGCCCATTATATTATGCTTACAACAAGAAGCCCCAAAAATAGTGTTGGTAATTATTTACGCCCTTTTATTATCTTCAAGCTTGCTACTCAGAGCCTGAAGATGAAGGTTTCGAGCATGTGGCGGTTGTGGGAATAGGGTTTGCCTATGGGATCATACGCGATCCTTTTTTAGGGTACTTACGTTTCTATACAAAAAGGTCCTAACCACAAAAAGCTAGGTATCCCAAGGGAAAGGGTTAGGGTATGACTCTCTAGGTAGGGTCCACTCCCTAATTGAAGGCTGCTGGCTGTTGGGAACGCTCCCTGAAACCAGAGACCCTAAAGCCTAAACTAAACCCAAACCCCTAAACCCTACACTCCTAAACCCCTAAACTCCTAAAGCTCTAAACGTCAAGCCACAGGCTTACCAGCTCACCGACCGGTGCTCGTTCCGGCGGCCCGGCTTGCATCCAGTCCTCGCCGTAGCATGATACCCAGAGGCGGTTTAGGGTTTAGGGTTTGGGGTTTGGGGAGGATTTAGGGTTTAGGGTTTAGGGTTTAGGGTTTGCGGTTTAGGGCTTAGGATTGTGGGTCCATATGTACTACTCTTATGGAATTACGTCTTAAAAAAGCATAATAATCATGGTCTTTTGGTGCCTAATTGCATATTAGTAGTACAGATGGAGCCTCTGGGTAGCAGAAGTATATATGGGCTTCGAACCAGGAAACCAGCCCCTGGCAAAGAACCCTAAAAGCCCTTGAACCCAAATTCCTAAACCCTGAATCCTTGACCCTAAACCCTAGTCCGGAAACCCTATCCCTGAACCTTGAACCCTACACCCCAATCCCTAATCCAAGAAGCCTGATTCATGATCTCTATGGGAGTTTCCGAAAATTAGGGGTACCTTATCTGGGGTCCTTATAGTAAGGATCCTACTATTTAGGGTACTATATTAGGGTCCCCTATTTTCGGAAACCCCCCTATATACATTCCAATTTCTACAGCTTGAACCCTACAGGTCCTAAAGGGCACCTCCATCTCTGCGATGCACGCCCAAACCCTCGGGGTTTGGGATTGAGGGTTTCGGGTCCAGGGTTTCGGGTTCAGGCTTTTAGTAATTTAGGGAATTTTAGGGTTTAGGTTTAGGGTTGGTGGCTTCGTTTTCTGTTGCGGGCTTAGGGTTATAATCCAGGATCTTAACTACTGGCTTTTGCTGCACCTTAAGCCCTGAATCTTAACCCTTAAAACTATAGCCCATGCTCGTCATACCCCTAAAACCGGAATCCCCATGGAATCCTTGGAGGAGCCCTCGAAGGTATGGGATCCTCCAAGGAAACCGTAAAGGAACCCTTGGGGTTGAGGGGTTTAGGGAGTGAACCCTAAGGGTCCAAGTACTTAATAACCATATACTCTCCCGGATAATAGACTACATAGCTACTGTCCTAAACCCAAGTACCTAATGATCTCCCTAAACCCAAAACCCTAAACCTAAACCCGAACCCTCACGGAACTTTCCTAGGTTCTCTTTTGGTCATGACCGGCTCTTTGCTGCCTCATCGCGATGAGGTAAGGGCTGGTCCCGGTTTAGGGTTTAGGGTTTTAGGGCTTTAGTGTTTTAGGTTTAATTCGGGCTTTTAGGGGTTTAGGTTTTATGGGTTTAGGCTTTAGGGCCTTGTTTCGGATTTAGGGGGCACCTACCTTCTTAGATGGATATGGGAGTTTCCGAAAACTAGGGGTACCTTTTTGGGCGTCCTTATAATAAGGATCCTACTATTTAGGGTTCTATATTAGGGTCCCCTATTTTCGGAAACCCCCATATGGCAAGAAGTAGACCAAGGGCAACCTTTCAACAGGGGCAGAGTAGAGTTGCTCCTGTTTCTATTGTCATTGGTGGGCGGCCCAGGATGGGAAACTATAGAGCCATGGTGCACACAGACACACACACACACATGTACACACTCAGACTTAGGCGCATACACACATATATAGGCAGATACGTAGATAGGTAGATAGATACGTACATACATACACACGTACGTACACATACATACATACATACATACCCAGGCCTGCATACATGCATACATACTGACAGGCATCAATGCAGAAGGAAGTCCGTTTGCAAATACATAATACCGATATACATATATATATATATATGTATATATATATTTACGCACATACCTGCATACATGCAGGCATGCATACATACAGACAGACCTACATGTATTCGCGATGCCAAAATGATGTTTTATCACAGTTTCCTCTACAATATCTAGCGTGAAACTGAGTGACGCATCGCGATCTCGCTTCACGGTCATGTCTGCCTGGTTTTGTTCATGCACTTCTTGCATGGTCCGTCATTGCTTGGGGATCTACGCGGGCACGACATAACTTTTGGTCAGGAATCCGGAGCAACGATGGTATTTTAAACGGACTTCAGAAGATTCTCTGACAGCTCATTCTCTGTTTGTTTCTCCCCGATTAACAAGTAAACTCAAAACCCTTATCAAGAGGCCGTCAGACTGAAGCTCTATATGCAACCGCCACAACAGCCATGAGTAGGCTGTGTCCGAGCTGCTTGTCCCAGTGCTATGCCCAGAAAGACATACATTGATTTAGGGATCAGGGTTTTCAGCACTGCTGCATTGATCAGAGAGTCTTCAGTACTGCTGCCGTGTTCGGAGTTGTCTGCACCGGTTTTTTTTGTCACTGGCGCTTTGGGGCTAGAGCGAGACTTGATTTCGGGGGTGTGCCGCTCTTTAGTGGACAGACAGACCCTTCGCGCTATTCATGCTTTCAAGCAGTCTTCAAACCCTTTAACACAGGGCCTGTATAGTTACAAAAGGGTTTTGGGGCCCAAGAGACGAAAATTAGAATAAGGAACCTCCAAATCCTATAGGTAATTATTAAGGCCCCTGTATAACCGCAATTTCCGACACCCGTGCAGATGCAGCGGACCGATTCACAGCGGTCTTTTCGCTCGCCCCACACGACGCCTGTACGGCGGCAGCTTTGTGGCATTGCGTTCGTCTAGGTTCTTGAGTCGTACCCTTTTAAATTGCCCTTTTCATTTTAGGGTCCCCTTATGAAAAAAACAGAATAGGAAGAACATGGGTGTAGGCTAGGGTTTGGTCCAAGTACCCAAATAGTAGGGTTTCAGGTCCTCAAATCCATACTCTGAATTTTTTGGATTTTGAAACCCTACTATTCGGGTATTTGAACCCTCTGGGTTTGTCAAGAGCAGTCAGATTTGGGTCGTATTGTCAAATCTCGGTTGATACATTCCGCTCCTTGAACTCGGTCATTAGAGTCTTTGCATCCCCCGACTTTGCAAGAAATGATCATTGCATGACATACGACTACTTCGCTTGGGAGGTTGGAACAACCGTAGACCAACAAACCCGAAAGCCCAAAACGCTTTGGGAATTTTGGAGAGACATAAACAGGCACCAACTACCATCGTGGAGGCCTGCCCTCTAGTACCTTCCCTAGGCTTGGCCCTAGAATGCACTACATTCTTTAGCTAACTGGATCCTCGGATAACTTCTTCTATCTTTAGGATCCGATAGCAGGACATAGGGTTCAGGGTTCGGTATACATGTCCGCTTACCCAGAGAGACCCCAGAACTCCTTCATTCATTTGATCAATATACCTCAGATTAATTAAGAGGAATGCTGAACGTATTTCAAATTATACCTGTGACCCCAAACCCTACAAAATAGTAGGTTATGAGCCCTTAATTAGAGGGTAGAACCTTCAAAACGGTAGGGTTTCGGATCCCCAGGTATACATTCCTTGACCATAGGGTTTTGGGGGTCACCTGCCCGCGTAGAGACGAACCACGCAAGAGACTCTGATTCTTCCTTTGGCTTATTTCACAGGTAAAGTCATGGGGTCTGCTGAAACTGTTAGCAGGCTTCCACATGGCAACGGTCTGTGCTTGTTCAAGTTCTTTCCCCAAGGTAGCAGAATCCGAAATTGTAAACTGCGGAATGTGGCTGCGCAGCCCTGCAGCCGAAAAGCACTGAGTCCAAATGCCGCAAGCCGAAGCCGTCAGTCTTTCTAGAGGTCGGGTAGGGATTTCACTCACAACCCTTGTGTTCCAGCGAGTCTAAGCTATTGCTGTTCAAAGCCTAAATTTGCAAGCATGGACAGCTGACTTGATTTCGAGCAGCCTTGCATGCATCATGCATCACTGTGCGTAAAGACTAAAAAGGGGTTACGGTACAGGCGAACCTGAGAGACAAGACTGATGAGAGCAGCAGAAGCAGCAGTTTCCGTCGTCGTCCCGCCTTGGCGTCTTCGCCGTGGTTGTATGGGAGTTTCCGAAATAGGGGACCTAATATAGTACCCTAAATCGTAGGATCCCTATTATAACAAGCCCATAATTAGGTACCCCTAATTTACCGGGATGGTGGTGAGAAGGGACTACTACGGGCTATTTACGAGGCCGGTTCTTCTGATGACAACGATAGTCGCATATGCTGTGATGGCGACGATGGTGACAGTGATGATGCTGCTGAGGGCGAAACATGATACTACTAAACTAATGATACTAGCAGTTACTAATATGCTCTTTGTCGTTGATAGTTGTGGTATCAGCAAGAGCAGTCCCCCATCAAACAGCCAAGGACCCGGCTCTCGACAGACGCTTCACCGCTGCGCAGCAGCGTGGAGACGTCGACGCAGACGCCGCAGAGGCCACTGGCTGATGAAAACTCAAGGTTCGATTTGTGTGTTTGGGCTCTGAGTGTTTAGTGCGTAAGGGGTTTAGGGCTTTGGGTTTAGAGAGATGAGGGTTGAATTTGTTGGGGCTGTATACCTATAGGAATTCTTAAAAGGGCTTACTGTAATTAGGTTTCAGCAGCAGCCTACTCCATTTGCGTTGGTTCGCAATCCCTAAGGGTCCATGTACTCATATAGTACATACATTGGCCTTAAAGTACTCCCTATATATGTACATTGGGCCCAAAGTATATTATGCTATATGGGTACATGGACCCTTGGGGAATCTGCGAGTCGAGTTGAGCATTGGAGGTCTGCTTCTGCGGCTCAGGGTTCAAGATCGGAGGTTTCAGCTGCTCGTTTCGTCTACCCATAGGCCCCAAAGTAGTTCCTTTTTGGGATTACCTTATAGGATTCTATATATGAACCCCAAAAAGGAACTATTTTGGGGACTTTGGGTATTCGGGTGTTTCTGATGGCGGGGGGTGTGGAGGCATTGGCAGCGGAGACACAACACGTGCTCGCACCCAGCCACAACGCTTGTCATCGTTTGTTGCTGCACACGCATGTGTGGAATATTTCACCGACTTGCTGCGCATCCTACAGTTTAGCACAAGAGAATCCAATAAACAGTCTGGCCGAGTCTTGCCTGAATAAGCAATAGATGAAAGGCGTTCAAGCTAAACCAAGACAACGAGTTGCGAAATATGTGTGTGTATGCGATTGGACGTATAATTAATTATGTAGATGTGTGCTCATGCATGATAATCACGAGTTTAAACATCCGTAAACCCAAAGCCCGAAACATCCCGTAAGCCCTAAACCGAATCAACAAACGAATCCCTTTGCAGGAGCGAAGCCGCGTCGAGCCCTGCGCCTCCAGGCGCCTCACGGGCAGTTTCGCTTTTGCGTGTGAGTTTGGGGTTTACGGTCTAGGGTTTTGGATACAGGGTTTTGGATCTAGGGTGTAGCGTTTATCGCATTTGCTCTTCAAAGTTAGGGTTTAGCGATTTGTTTAGCATCAGTCTTTGCCAAGGTCCTGGAAGCCTAAATCAGCTCTTTCGAACGGGCAGGGAAACTGGAGGCTGAGTTTTGCGTGTGAGTCTAGGGTTTCAGGCTAGCGTTTCAACCGTTGCCCCTCATTTTTGCTGATTAACGTGCGCAGAGGAGGTGTAGACTTAAAGGTGTTTACAGTCAGGATGCAGACTGGTTTGAATACTATCTCCCCGGAGGGGTGCACTGGCACCCGCAGAAACGGCAACCGCAACGTCAAGAAACATCCCTGAACCGAGCCTCACTGGAATAACCACCACTCTGTGGCAGGCAGAACTCCCCCACGGATTCAGTCGCGGCTGCCCTTCGTCGTCAAACAAGGGCTTAGGGATTTCTGCAGCCCAACGACCTACCTTTTTTAGAGAATTTTCTGTATAGGCAATCATGTGACCTATATAAATCATAATTAATTAAAAGGAGCCTTAAAGCTGGTTTTGTGAGGGGTGCCACAGGTAAACTCCAGACCAGCCAACTACTTCGGGGGATATGTTTTTTTTGTTACTGTGTGTAGCCCTACACCCTCAACCCCGAACCTTGAGCTCTTAGGGTTTAGGATATGAGGTTTAGAGTTGAGGATATCCTCAAAAAACGTTTGAGTCAAGCGGTAGTTCAGCCTGAACCTTAAAGCCCAGCTAGGGCCTTGCAGGGAAGCACGGTGTAGAAGCCTCGTCAACAATGTGGATGGCGGTCCTGCTCCAGCTTGTTTTGCTGCTTGAAGCAGCATGACTGGTAAAATAGGGGCCTCAATAATTACCAATACTATCGGGGTCCGTATTATACTTATAGTATAATGGGCCCCAAAACCCTATTCTACCTGTCCTATACGCTGCCTGGTTCACCACAGTCTACTTTCGCAGTAGGTGGACTTAGCAGTTACCCATATAAGCCTATAAGCGTGATAAGGTCGTAGGTAAACCATAAATGCGCATGATCAACTTGGCGTTGGACTTAAACCCTAAGTCCTCAACCCCAAACCCTAAACTCGCCCCAAACCCTAAACCCGTAAACCCCAAATTGAAGGTTTAGAGTTTAGGAAAAGTTCCTTCAAATTAATCTCAACAACGCCGACCGTGTTGTCTGGCTGGCTTAACTCTAAGTTTTGGACATATACTTCTACTGTACTCTAAACATGAAGGCTGGACCTTGACCTTTTAGGAGAGATTCAGGAGGCAGCCAGATGCCGCTGATGCTACGCCCTGAACCCTACGCCAACAATGTTCCCTTGGTAAGGCTTTTTGGAGCCTCCCGGAATACAGACACACGATATCCGAAAGAAAACCACTCCAATGCAATTCCTAGTTACCCTAAGGGTCCATGTACTCATATAGTATACACATTGGCCTTAATGTAATCCCTATATATGTACTTTGGGGCTCATGTATCTCTATATGGGTACATGGACCCTTAGGGTTAGCACCACAGCCGGCACCCTTGTCCCGTATAAACATCATACTCCTATACCCGAAAACTGCAACCCTAACACAAACCATGCAGGGTTGTTCTGCTTTGTAGCCGGTTTAGGGTTTAGGGTTTAGGGTTTGGGATTTGTAGCTACTCTAAGCGATGTATCTAAACCTTAAACTAAGCCCTATCAACATTGGTCACTACGAATTACCATGCCCTTTGAACCCATGGAGTGGCCCTTACTTGGGCAGATCCTGGCAGGCGTCGACCGGCTGAACCCTAACCTAGATGAGCCTAAACTTAGATGGTTGCTGTTCGTCTTTCAACTTAGAAGGTAGTCTTCGCAAGATGGGCTATCGGACTTATTGTAGCGGTGATGATAAGGGTGGCTGAGTAGACTTGTTATGGGGTGGTTGTCAAAATCAGGGCCCCTTTTTGGGTACCCTAAATATTAGGTGCCGTATTATACTAGGGACCCAAGAAGGGACCATAATTTCGACAACCGCCCTATGTCAAAAGCGCTTCCAAGCACCGGCGACGCTTCCGAGACTCAGGCCCATTGGGCGCTGGGGGCTGGGTGCCGTGGCCTTCGCAGCTCAGTGCGCACTTGAGATTTGGGATAGTGGTCTCTTTGGATTGGGATTCAGTACCCAAAGAGCCCAATACCCCTTAATTAAGGAATATGGCTTAAATTATATAGGGCTTCATACTATGATTTAAGCTATGTTCGTTAATTAAAGGGTATTGGGTCTCTGGGTAGTTGTTTTCGTCTGGGTGAGGGGATGGGTAGAGTTGACGGTTGGGGTTTAGGTTCAGTGTTCAAGTGGATAGTTGTCAAAATTAAGGTCCCGTTTTGGCTACCCTGAAGAATAGGTGCCGTATTAAAAATAGGGACCCAAAAAGGGACCCTAGTTTTGACAACCACCCAAGTGTCAGTGGCGTTTGCCCAGAGACTCCAAAACCCCTTAATTAAGGAATATACCTTAAATCATATTAGGGGATCCTACTATAATTTAAGGTATATTCCTCAATTTAAGGTGTTTTGGAGTCTCTGGGTGCCCCACCTAAACCCTAAACCCTAAACCCTAAACCCACCCTGATTTTCCGGTTCCGCGCAAGTCCGCCTCAACCCAGTGACCGGTAAAGCAAAATAGCCCCGAAGCCTCATCAACTAGGATGCCCAGTAGTACCCTTTATTAGGGGCTACCTTTAAAGGGATCTATGAGGGTTCCTTAAAGGGATCTATAAAGGTTCTATAAAGGGTTTAGGGTTTCCGAAAATTAGGGACTAGGATGCCCAGTAGTACCCTTGTTCCCTTTTTGTAGTCCTAGGTTCCTTATAAAATTACCCAATACCAAAAAGAGAGGCCTTTTTATTCTTAGGTTACTGGGTATCCTAGTCAATGTAGTACCTCTAGCCTCCATTGGAGTTCCTTTTTTGGTTAACCAGTTTTATGGTTAGGATCCTATAATAAAGTTTTTGGTTGACCAAAAAAGGAGCTACAATGGAGACTATAGGTATGAACTTTCGGTCCAAAACTGCTGTACTATGAGTCCTGAGAGCCTTCCAGGGTAATTCCGGGTCCAAAGGATCCAAAAAAAAATGGTATTTGGGTTGAGGATAGTGGAGGTGTGGGTCATTTTAAAGGGGAGTATATGAGTATTAGATACTTGGGTCCATAAAATCCCACAACCTGAACGTTAGCTTTCTTTTCGGAAGAACCGTAAAAACCTATGTGTCCAACTATTTGTTGCATACCGTGGCCCGCAAGTATTTAAATAAGAAGGACTACTTGAAGACCATAAAGTGTTTAACATTTTTGTGCATGAACCCTTTGGGTTAGCTGAACACTCTAGCCTGTTCTCAATTGAGGTCTGGTGCGTTGTGGCTGCCTGCAGAGCCGGCGAGTTTTGAAGATAACACAACTCCGACGGTGGGTCTGGCTGAAAGGTTTAGGTTCACGTTTAGGGGTTCACAGTTTAAGCGGACTGCAAGGGTTTAAAGTTTTTAGGGTTTGGGTCTGACGTAGTGCTTAGGTTATATAGGCTTGTGCTTAGGTCCCCAATTAGTTTTCTGGTACCGGGTCCTCCCTATCAACATTGAACAGTAGGAAAACAGAGATCCCCATATGTTCTACTACGATGACATACACCCATTACCGTCCACGACGGCCTGTAAGCCCGGATGCATATCTTTTCTGAGCAGCCTTGGTAAACCTTTGGATGCCCCTTGTATCCAAGCCATTTACAGGTGGGTAGTTATTAGGCGGGTAGTTTCCCATAAGCCTCCCATACCACTCCTATAAGGTAAAGGGGGTCTTATGGGAGTACTATGGAAGAAGAACTACCCACCTGTAAGGGGCTTCTATTGTAGGAACCTTTTTCATCAGTTTGGCGGGGTCAACGCAAAGCGCTCAACACCTCTGCCCAGAGACTCCCAAGCCCCTTAATTAAGGAATATACCTTAAATTATAGTAGGATCCCCTAATATGATTTAAGGTATATTCCTTAATTAAGGGGTTTTGGAGTCT